GCCTTGACGTAACTTATAGTCGAAAATAGTCCACAGCGTGCGGCGTACGGATTGATTTTGAGTTCTTGGTTTTATCAAGTGGGTACACACTGCCTGTAGCACTTCAAAGAACTGCATGGAAGTATGTTGTTATCGTGAATATATAGTTTGTATTGTTAGGAATAGAAGGTTTAAATTTAGAAGGTCAGTGGAATATAGAGTTCGATGTCAGTAGAAAACATAACACACAGCAAGTCACCAAAACATTGTTAGATTTAAAACCAATTTATACGAACTTTAAACCAGTGTACAAGCGGTTTTACTAAATATTTTCTTTGAGCGATCACACATTAGTAATTTAAGCTAGGGCTTCGTTGTCTTCACTTAATTTAAACAGGATTTTCTGGCCAAAATCGCTTAGTGAATTAGTCATACATAATAGCTTCGACATCAGTAGAAGAGATTTATAACCTTCTCATTGTTTTCATCCAACTCGTGACCGCAAATCTGTTAAGCCAACTAGTCCCGAAATAAGCTTGTACGAATTATTTTGAGTTTTCAGACCAAAGCTCTTGGGTTTTGTAACGAGATAAGTCCCATTTTAAAAAACATTAGTGTAAAAGTTGTGCCGAATTCTGATCCCAGAACAATAAATGAATTCCTATCGGAAGTGTTAATCGAGATATAAAATTACTGATTAGGGATGGTTGAATCTTTTGCTATACCGTACACCGTACGTCATTAAGCCTCCGGCAACAAATTTTGATAATTTCCGCTCAATATCGTAAAAAGACCGTACAAACATCTTGTCTTAGTACTGCAGGATGGCAATTTACTAAAAAGGTCATAATACTATTCCTAATTGCATCAGAATTTCCATAATTTTTTGTAAATAGCAATTTGTCGGGGCAAATCTATAATTCATAGTGCCTTCTACTTGATTTGATTGTCATGTTCTGTGCGGACAAGGTGTTAACAAGCTTAGAAGATATGGTAACTCCACGCGTATGTATAAATTTTTACATTTTGTGTCTTTTTCATATAGTTTGATAACATCTAATGCTAAAAGATACTAGAATTATATTTCCATGTGAACGATTTACTATAGTAACCAAAAAACATTGCTATTGTATATTTAAAAGCTCACCTTAATTGTCTTAAAACAGTTAATTAATTAAGTATAATAGCCCAATACTTTAGCAATTATTATTTCGTGTAGTTATCTTCATATCTTTACGATGGAGATATCGAACGATAGAAGGGATAGTATTACAAATGAGCTCTCATTCCTTGGGGCATGTTGTTTCTATAAAAGTACTTATAGGATTAGAGCATTGAAATGTCCTCCAAACACTAAAAACCTCACGTTTTATGCTTTTCAACGTACGTGTGGCCGTGTAGTGACCGCTTAAGACAAAGCAGCTCTATCCCAGTGTTTAAAACGATGAGTCTCAAGGTTTTTTAAAAACTCCATTTTGGACGCACGCGGGTCCACGTAATGAATTATATAAGGAGGTCATTCAGTCTCTTTAGAAAAGTTCTTTGAAACATCTCAACGAAAGTGAACCAAAACACCGAAAAGCTGCAATTCAATTACTGGGTTAAGGCTTTGAGAAAAACATCGTTCATATTCATTATACAAACGTAAGGGGCTGACCTCGCAAAGAACAAGTCGTAAGTCCAGAAATTTTCCAATATTTTACTCAATTAACTAAAAAAAAATAGTATTAGCAAAGCCAAAATGTTTGTTTCCAATTCATTGACTCAAAATCCATTTAATAGATAACAGGACTAGCTAAACTATGTTCCGAATTGAATGAAAGCTAGGGAGATCAAATTGAGATAAAAAAAATTATTGTATATAATTACTGCAATAGCTAGCTGGCTTTCTTTTTTTGAACATTGTGATTATCAATTCAAAGCATACATTGAGTATATGGATTTTAAAGAGAGCTATTAGCGAAAGAGGTTCAAAACATTTTGTATAGTTTGATGCCTTTTTCCATTTAATTAAAGATTTTGAGTGATGCTTGAGTTTGGTATTATCAGAAGTACTTCTGGTATTATGAAACACGTATTTAATTTAATTCATATTGATCACTTGAAAATCGTCGATCTTACATAATTGAATTTAGAAGTGAAATCAAAACAACCATGAAATAGGTATTATATGGAGGATATTACATGGGCGTGCGGAGATACGGATTTTATAGAGGTTTTCAACACGAAAAGACAAAACCTGTATCTCTAAGCGACCATGTTATATTCTGTTTATCATATAATTACATATGAAAGCAAATTATGTCGTAGGGACGGTCCATTTAACTTTTGATTTTGAAAAAAAAAAAATCCTGCAAGCCATCTTCACCAAAAATAAAAATCGTGCACAACATTGGAAAAAAAAACTTGCACCACCCTAAGCCAAAAAAAAATGTTACATACAAGAAAAAAAAAAATCCTACACACCACCAAGAGAAAAAAATATATTCTACCCAAAAGCCACGAAGAAAAAAAAAATCTTGCTCACAAGAAATCATCCACCCCCCCCCCCCCCCCCCCCCCTTCCTCAAAAGCTAAATGGACCGTCCCTTGCGAAATGGAAAAATATAGGCATTTCATAGATAATTATATGATAAACTAATGTACTTCTCTTATTAAATTGTTTGTCTCTATTTGAGTTTTACACTTTAACAGCTAGATTTCGTTTCACGTCTCTAACGCGGACTTCATCATCCCTTTTCGTCACACAAAATGCTTTCACGATCTGTCATAGCGCCCCCGTAGTAATGATTTTTGCATTTGACGTAATAGAATATTAATGAAAACAACAAAAAACAAAAGAAAAGAAAAGCTGTGTTAACACGGGTTAACTGTCAGTTGATATCTCTGTGATTATTATTATTTATTAGCCTTGCACAACAGATAAATTCTATATAAAAGGACTCATTGTTTTTAAATAAAACAAAATAATATTGGATTGACTGTTTGGAATAGGTTGTACTATTATGATTTGAGTCTTTGTATCATAAAATCTATTATGATGTTGTTCTTTATATAAATATAATTGGTCTGAATACGAAAAAAGCAAGTGCAATGACGTCTTATTTACAATTCGGCACCTTCCTCGAATAGAGACCGCGACCCAAAAATAACACATATATAGAGGAATGAACTTTTAACAAACATCGCATTCGAATAAACAGTGGCCCAAGACCTACGTTTGACATTAAAAATTCATAGCTTTATATAAACCTAATAATTGTAAAAACGCTGTAGTTACTAAATGGAACATTTTAAATTAATGAAAGGAAAACATTAAAGAAAGGCGAAAGAACGGGTTCAGCCTGCGTGATCTTCTTTTGCCTTTTTTATTTATTCTCTCTTTACTAATAAAAATGCTTATTTTCTATAACAGCGTTTTTCAATCAGGTGTGTTTTATAAAATAAGTTAAAAGATACCGTATCTATACTATACTTATTAAGGGCCTTAATAAATTTTGTGAATTTAAAGATACTTTAAAAGTGATACATGGTGAAAAGCGGCGCGGAGTTTGAAGTCATTAGTTTATAGCAATAACTGCAATTGGACATGAATCTCTATCGGAAAAGAAGTGATTTAAAGACCTATTTTACTGAAGATCTCGCGTTTTAAATTCAATTCAAATGTGTTGATAATGACAGGAAAGATCAGTTGGAGTACTTTGAAATGCATTCGGCACGAGTATTCGGTTGAGGCGGATAACACCCACCTAAGCTACTAGTATTATACTTTTATAATCCTTTAAACGAAGACACGATATCGACAATAACCCATGATTTAATGAGCCTAGTGGTGTCTACATGAATACGGTACTGCAAAGTCATCATTTTACGGACACCCCTTAAGCCAGTAATCTTGGACCCAAATTACAGTATGAAATCTGATTCCATCTTTGTTATCGACATTACGAAGCGTACTTTTTCCATCTTACAGTTCCTTGCCTTGCAGCGTTCCATGCCTACTGGCCAGTTATCATCTATATCCTTTTAACTGTTGCCCCACATATCCTGAAATATGACAAATGCATTATCGATTTGAATAAAAGCGTAAATCATGTGGTCGGGAGTAACCCTGCCTTCCCCAAAGGCTAAACTCCTGTCATTATAAAAGGATATCAAGATTCGCTATGAAGCAGAGTTTTTCAAGGAAGTCCCAGTTTATTTTGAGCAATGTTCAATCGTACATTGAAGGATTTTTATCCGCTATACTTTTCTAGCTGTCTCGTAACTAGTCGAGAATGCTGCAACGACCGAGCTACAAATCACCTTTCTTCGATGCTATTTGCTCGTATCCGGCTCTTTCATCTCTTTTGGCTCGTTCGATTCCTTTCAGTATACTAAAATTAACCATAAACAAAATTAATCTCTTTGCCCGAGATTAACATTCCATACTAAGATTTAGTTGAATCTGACTGTTTATCTTGGGAAAAACTTTATTTTGACCCTGACTCATTCTGTTTTAATATGTACTTAAAGTAAAGCCGCGCCAAAGCATTACATGAATGCCAGTATAGTTTGGAATTTGATTGAATTGTTATTAAAAATTTCGTATTAATAGTCAAGAAAATAGATAAACGAAAATGCCTCATGCCTTTTGGCGAGACTAAGCCGGCTTGTAAAAAGTTTTCTGTACATGTATAAATTAATGAATAAAGTCTGCCAAGAAGATTATTGCAAGGATACCGAAAGAAGATCCAGATCGTTTATTACGCTGACGGGACAATCGAATTATAGCGGCGTGCATTTAGATCGTTTACAAATCATCTGAATGTGTAGGCGTGTGGTCCTAGGGGCTAAGCCGATAAGATACTTAAAGCCTAAAAATAGTGATTAATAGCACCAAGCTATCTTCTTTTGTCCATAAAGTTTCGGTAATGCTAAATGATGTTGGAATGTTATAGGCTTCGCTACAATAGTAATTGGTAAATTAATTGCAATGTTAACATCTTCTGTCCAATGAACTCGTGTCATTTTGTCCACAGATATAATCTCCTACTGTCTATAAAAGAAACGTTGTTATAAAGGCAAAAAGAAGGAAGATAGAAAAATGATTTCTAACATAAGTGGAAACATCACAACAGCGGGCAACTCTCCTGGCACCATTGGACCTGCCAACATTGCTGGAGCTTTTTTCGTCGGTTTGCTAATGCTCGCAACTCTGTTTGGTAATTTCTTGGTTTGGGCAAGTTTTATATCGTTTAGAGAACTACGAACCAAGTGCAATTATTTCATTATCAGTCTTGCCGTAGCTGATATCATGGTCGCCTTGCTTGCCATGCCTTTTTGGTTTATTCTCCAGCTTGAACCGGACATTGAAGATCAGACAGCACTAAGTCCAGCTTCCATGTTTTTCTGGTCGTGTATTGATATCTTTTGTGGGACGGCATCTATTATGAACCTTGCTGCAGTCAGCGCGGACAGGCATCTAGCAATCACCTCACCGTACACTTACCATAAAGCCTTAACATCATTTCGGGCTATTATGATCTTATGCTTCGTATGGTTTTATGCTACTACTATCTCACTACTAAGGTTTGCAGTCGAGGCGATTCCCAACAATGGATATCAGTTCTTAATTGCATTCGCTAGTTTTTTCGTTCCTCTTATGGCAATGCTGGTCATGTATGCTCGCATCTTCGCTGTTGCAAGACGACAAGCAAGACTTATCACAAAGAATCTCAGCTATAAAACAGATATAAAAGCAGCAAAGACAATTGCAGTCGTAATAGGTGCATTTGTAGTGTGTTGGTTGCCTTTTTTCGTCATTATCATCGGCTATGCTTTCGATAAAAAGTTTCTAAAGAATATGCAGGTATACAGTGCTATTAAATGGATGGAATACTTAAACAGCTGCCTTAACCCAATCATATACTGTTGTCTAAACCGCACGTACAGAGGGGCCTTTAAAAAGCTATTTCAACGCTGGAGAAAGTCCTTTATGAAGACATTTTTCTCAAAATATTCTGATAGTAACGAGGATGATAATCTAAATACAACGTTCCTTACTCGAAACGCAAAGTCACCGACATTGTTCAGAAAATCTACGGATTCTCTCAGCGTCTCTAAAACACTGGAAACGAACGGAAGCACAGCAAAAAAGTCATTGATAACCACAACAAAAGACGAGGAATTATTGAAGCAGACTCCAGTTTAATGATGCATTGTAGTTTACAGGTCTTCAGAGTGCTGAAAGCATAACTAGCGTGAAAAATCATTATGGGACAGTAAACAATTATTGCTTATGGACCTAAGGCCGGCATGATAGAGTGGAAACACTAAAAACGTACAATAATACTATCGGGGAGACCTACGTAGCACGAAGTTGATGTAATGTATTCATAAAATGTATTGTATTCCATTGTTTCTCGTTCTATTCTATTATGTGTTTTGTATTATATCTTTATGGATGTATTACATCAACTGAGTACTACGTAGGCTCTCCATAGGTAGATCATTAGCTTGACACAGTAGGGCTGCAAGCAATAGTAAAACCATGAAAAATTCAGTATGAGCAATGAAATAATGTTAGATTGTACTGAATTATGCAAAGTGCTTTGTTTTCTCTTGTCTAATCTACGTCATAGTGCGCTATTTAGTCTTATTTGGTCAATTTTTCACGCTTTTTAGTGTTTACACTCTTAACTAACATTTTCACGCTTATAGAGAGAAAATACATGCTAAAAGTGTCAAAAATTACTGACCAAATAGTGCTATTTAGCTCTTAAAGTGTGAATTAGACAATATAAAACAAAGGAATTGTAAAATTACTTCAAACTATTTCATGGTTTTAGAGTTTGCATTCTACTCCAGTTCACTAGTTTCGGACCTCTCTTTTAGTCTGGTTTTCATAAAGCCGTGAAATAAACTTTAGCGTACTACACTATATTACTCTATATGTTGCTTACAAGCTTATCCTTGACGTTTTTGTGTATCAGAAATTTTTACACTTGGTTTCACGGGTTTGGCAAAACCAGATAACCTTAAAACACTTCTTTAAAAAGATAAATTGAACACTGTAAAAAAGTAGGTGCAACAACTTACTGACGCCGGACGTTAATCCTTCGTCGGAGTAAAGAGATAAAACTAGTTTGTATATAAGCTCACACTTATTCTAGTTTCATCTATTTACTCCGACGAAGGATTAACGTCCGAAACTGGCCTTAGTAAGTTGTTTCGCCTACTTTTTTACGGTGTTAAATTTATGTTTTTACACAATTGTTTCTTTATAAAAATAGAGTGACGGCAACTCAGACTAATTTAACGCTAGGTAACCTCAAAATAGTGCAATATAAATTGTCTTTAAAAGCTAAAGAAATCGCAATGATCGAGAAAGACACTACTGAAATCTCACGATCTTCATTMGGGATGCATTCACACCAATGCGAATAATTTTTGACATAAATCGCATATCATACGTGTGTTTTAAACGAAAACGATGATCTGTCTTGAAAACGTGTTTTAAAAATATCCACGTTGACATGCGTTTTTAAAACATCCCTCCATCTTCACAGATGGTTTCATATGAACGCTAGGCTTAAACGAACAAGTGTTCGGTTTAAAAAATATCCGGTTAAGTGTAAATGCAGCCCTTCAGCGCTTCAAAGGTTGTAAATTTGATGTAAGTGTCCAAAATTCTGTAAATTTAATGGAAATCATTTACATCAAATTTACATAATTTTGGACATTTACATCATATTTACATCAAATTTACAAATTTCCACCTACGCACACACAACACACAAACCTAGACGACATACATCGCAGAGATGAATGGTCATCTTCGCCAGCGAAGGACGAACAAGAAAGACATCAAATTTACAACTTTTAAAGCGCGCGATTTTTTCTAGTGTATTAGGCCATGCTCACTACTGTGAGGGATAATATAGAGCGCTAGAGACAGGAATGTTGGTCGATTTAGCGAACTTATAGAATTAGTTAATCATGGATTGTACTAAGTCAAGGAACTACTCTGTGGAAAGCAAAAATGCATGGTCTAATTTCTAACAGATCTTGTTTTCAATGTAATATATTCATTATCTGATTCCTGTGAAAATATGTGCACTTGGATAAAACAACGAAATGACAAAATGCAAAAATCATTTAATTAATATATTACATATAATTTAAGATAACAGAACTATCTTCGCATGCACGTAGAAAAAACAACAACAAAAGCTAATGCTAAAAAACTGGACTAATCATATGCGAGATTCCATGCATTTGGCGCTTGTTTCGTACTTTGAAAAAAAAAAATCATATCTTGGCAGTCAGAACGTATACTGTTTTTTTTCTAATTTAGTCCTTATTGACCTGTGTTATTTTGCTTTGCAACAAAAAGGGGTTTTATTGGGATAAAATCACATATTATTGGACCGCTAAACTAGTCACTAATACTAAATGATAGAAAAATAGCTTTAGCCGATAGGAATTATGATTCAAGTAGCAATAACGCGCATTTTAAAGATATTTATTTTTTGAAATAGTTGTACATATATATAAATTGGGAGCTTTGTGCTGGACATTATGTAGTATACAGGTTTGACGTGGATAAAGCTCCTGGATCCTATCGGCTTTAAAATGGAAATTGCGTGAGTTATGAAAGAAAACAAGAAATTGCTGAAAGAGGGGGGCTAGTACCTCCCTCCTTACACGCCCAAAAAAACCGAAGGGAATATATGTCCTTGTATGTTCCATCATGTCCCTATATGTCCCTATATGTCCCTATTTCCTATATGTTCCTAATTTCTATTTCTATAATAGAACAAATTAAAATCACCAAAAATTACTATTAAACCTCTTTGAACACTGGAAACGAGATGTTTTGTTATTTTGAAGTTTTAGTTTTATTTATTTTTTTAAACAGGGTCTTCGCAGAGAACCTCCAACGACGAAATATTAGTACAAGATACATGAAAAAAATGAACGATTTTGGATGAAAATGCATGGCCCAGAGAGCATCAAAATGTTCAAAAATGGTCGATATTTAATGTAAATACATGGTCTAAAGCCCACCAAAATGGTCAAAAAGGTCGATTTTTGATCAAATTGCATGGGCTAGAGTCTTTAGCCCACCATAATGACCAAAAAATGTCGATTTCCATCAAAATGAATGCGCTATATGCCACCTAAAGCGCCAAAAATGGACGGATATTTGATCAAAATGCATGGGCCGGGCTATACTTACCATGTCATTGAACGGTATACCAGGTCGTTTTCATAAATGTACCTAATATTATTCAATTTTTCTTTATTGGTATATTTCAGTAGTAGCCTCTTTGCTATTGAAGAAGAAATTACCCTGGCAGCTCGTGATTTACAGATTTTTTCTTGTGTTCTCCCATCCATCCAGTTCAGTTTATTTGGCCAGTAAAACTGTTGAAAGCTTTTGTTTATTGCTTGAATAGAGCGGATTTCGTATGAGTGGGAAACGGACGGTACTGTACTGTGTCCGTAATCGTACTGTAACCAAATTCTAGTGCCCCATTGTTTCACCAAAATTCTGCAGGCCAGGTGCGGTAACTGTGHKGTAACCGTGCGGTAACGGTGTCCCACTCATACGAAATCCGCTCTATACACAATGGACATTTTGAGACCCGTCATTACGATGATGTCAAAGGGCCCAGGCTACCATCGGCGAAATAAAAAAAAATTGCACAGAGAAAGACTTGAAAGACCAATTACATCTGTCTAAAATAAAAAAAAAATCACTTGCTCGAAGCTAGAACGTATAAATATTGAAGTGTACAGAGTATAGAAATCGGCTATTCAATATGTGTATATCATTTCAAGTTTCTTCAGAACACGAACGAGTCCGTAAACATGAGTATTGATAATTCTCAGTCCCGTGGAGAATGACTTTAACAACCTACAGTCAACTCTCGCTATTTCAGACACCCTCGGGACCGTAATTTAGTGTCTGCAGTAGCGAGAGTCCGTAGAAACGAGAGTTACTTTCAGTCATTTCTTTGTATTTTTCGCTGGGGATTCAGTATTTTACTGTCCGCACGGTGTCCGTTGTGCCTGGGTGTCCGTAAGGCGAGGTTGACTGTACAAAGTTATTGGATTTGTGCTTCGTTGAATATGTAACGATAAAAGTAGATTTTAACACGTTTTCTGCGGCAAAACATAGACCGCATTCTAAAACAAAAAGTGCTAGCAAAAGACGCCTGAGTAAGGTAATGGCGTTCAAGTCATGGAGTTGGTTAGCTTTCGAGATACTACTGCTTATTGTTTTAATGGTTCGGCATGATGAGACGTTTAATACTTCAGTAGAAAACGCGTATAAGTGGGAATCCTAAGCTAGAAATAGCCTTTGCAAGAGTATGATCTCATAGTTGTATGGACATCCAGAACATCTATCTTGGCAATTAATAGGGCATCACACAAAACTGAAGACCGAGGTTCCGCGACTTTGCGTCTGCTTTGTCTTCTTCACTGATAAAGAAAAATTCACGAAATAACCAAGAATACCTTTTTGATGTTTTTTTATTTGCTTTTGTTGACGTTTCGACTTGTGCCTTACCCTCGACAATGATGGGAACTCCGTTAAGGAACTTCTAAGCTTAATTGTTAAATTCTGTCGGGACGTTTGAAATATCGGTCACAGCATGAAAATCTCAGGCAGATTTTCTCATCCTTTTATGGTCGCTTTTCACAGCTGTTAGCAAAAACAGATGCAGACTATAATCTCTCAGATGTTCACATCACATAAGTAATTACACCCTTTTCCGCCCTTAGCAGACTATATGAAGAAGTTACAGTAAGAATTGGTTCACTTGGGTTTAATTCATAATGATTTGCCATAAATACTTCTACTAAAATCATATCCAGTCAAGGCATTTTGTTCAGTGCTGTCGTTTGTATCAACTACATTAGGGTCCTCTTCACGCATAAAAAGTCAAGAACTATCGAAATAAGTGATCTATTTGCAAAGAAGAGATTTTCATTGCATCTTGATAGAGAGAGTTCCTATATGCATGACCTCTTCTATTCTATTCTATGTGCACTGCCAGAAAAAACGTACTGAGTTTTATAATCTTTTTGGCCCTCGTCAGTACTAGCAAAGTGGTTTTCATAAAACAGTCGAATGCACTTCAGCATACTATGACTCAGCACTCTTTATTTTGTCTCGCTTTTCTTTATCATTTCGATATTTCACACATTATTGTACTTTGATTATTACACTGTGTTTCGGCATGAGTAAATGAAATGTACTAAAATGGCGCCACGCCTTAACATCAAATCTTCCTATCAATAATGAACATACAATGTTTTCAAACAAAAAACTGTATCATTTTTGCATATTTTGAGACGATGCTCTATAGTGTTAGATTCTCAAATTAATTGTAGGTTTAAGATCTCTTCATGGTGTATTTAGATCAAAGCAACACCCGCTACCACCTACAGTTATGTTTGATAACACACGAGGGGCGAAACACTGGAATATTTCAATCTATTGTTAAAGGCATTTTACATTCGTCAAAACTTCTTTTAGACTCTGAAACGGTAAAAATGAGATCAAGAAATAATATATATTGTTTTAATTAACATTTTAAATGTATTTTCATTCAAGTACTACATAATTACTTAAGTATTCTTATTCAGAGAAAAATTATAGACATAATTTATCGTCGTAGAATGTAAATGTTAGATTTTTTTTAGTATTTTATTAAATGAAAGGCTTATGTTGGTCAATCTGAGATAGAACAAAAACAGCGCTTACGCAGAAGCTTCTTGTATCATTCTCGTGGAGAAGCGTGGGAATTGTACTAGTTTTCTTAGGTTTGGCACGCAAGTCCTCAATGCGTGAACCAAGTTAAAACATATGAATGATCACAAAAAAAAGAAAATGTATTTTGTGAAAAGAATAGGTTGAAAAAAAAAACAACAGATTTTATAATAAATATCTTTGAAGTTCTTTCCTATTACATCCTAGGCATGACATCCTGGGACAATTTGTCGAAAGACTGATTAGAATTAATCTTGGTCTACGTATAAGCTACCATGATATAGCGGTAATCGAGCTTTACCTTAAAAAAACGACCCTAGCCTTTATCTCTAAATTGATGCATTAAAAACGGTGTTTGTGCTAAAACTTCATAGAACCATAGAACGTTTAACTGGTCTAGTTGCACCCCCTAAACTCTTGTTCAATATTTGCGACTTGATTGTGAAGAACCTCCATTCACAATTTTTCTGCTGTTCGTCTACTGCACCAAAACCATTGCACACTTGTAAAATTTACATTTTTTTCCAAAGTTTCTAAATTTAAAAAAAAAGAAATTTTCAATTTAGCTGTAAGGACGTAAAAACATATAGTACCATAAATTGTACAAAATGGAGAAGATTTTTTTATACATTCGCGATCTATGAAAATCATGAAGGATCTACAATGGACTAGCTCTATTAAGATTAGCTTCATTAAGAACATCAATGCCCCCCGCCTCTTTACATAATACAGACTGCGGGCCATATAGAATAAGTCATCATCGACCATACTGCTACACACAAACAAACGACGCTTAATAAAAGCTTTTATTTGACTTTACAAGCGAGTACTTCGTACTCTTGTGACCTATTTTGTGAACGCGTATTACAGTGTATGTTTTTAGTGTCAATTTAGCCTTTTTTGGAAAAAGTGTATGTAAATATACTAGTGTTTTTTATTAATGATTGTTTACCTTTATTACCAATAAGGATTTATGCTAACTCAACTCATATCAATGACTGATACTATTAAAAAATGAAAGATACAAAAGCGTACAGCGATGGGTTTTTATCAATAATTGTACTAAAATAGTCTCGATATTGTAAAAATCCATTGTAAACCTGTTGTGAGAGAGATATATCTACAAGTGTGAAAGTAGCATTAGAAATGATGTCCACAGTTTGACTAACAAAATGTTCTGTACATAATTTTCAGTGGTTTTCTTTCCTACAGTCACGCTTTGACTAGGATAAGCTGATCTCTGCCATAGCTACCACAACAGTTCTTTAATTTTTTCTTAGTGTTCAAACAGCACCTGAAGAGTATGGGTGAGTAGACACGTAGTGCATTTTTAAAGCATTTTTCTGATAGAACGCCCTCTCGCAAAACTGGCACTGAAAGGGCTTGTTAGGCAAATGTGTTCTCTTGTGAGTGTTCAAAGTCGAGGCAAGAGTGAAGCCTTTTCCGCAGATTTCGCATTTGTGGGGTCTCTGTCCTGTGTGGCCAAAGATATGGGCCTGAAGGTTGCTTTTTTGATTGAAGCCTTTCTCGCAATATGGACACTTGTACATTCTGACATCAGAATGTGTTCTCAGGTGATATTTTAGATGTGTCAGCTGCTTAAAGCCTCGTCCACATTTCGTACACTTGTGGGGTTTTTCTCCAGTGTGTATGTAGCGATGAATTCTCAAGTCTGCCTTCTGATGAAAGCGCTTTCCACAAAATTCGCAGACATGAGGCTTGTGTGTCGAGTGGGTCCTCATGTGAGTGTAGAGATTAGATGTTCTGTTGAAAGTCTTGTTGCAAACATTGCAGGCAATTTTCTTAACGGGTGGAGGATCTTCATTAGATGGCTTCTCAGATAAGCCTTGAGCTCCTGTTATTTGGACGTTTGTCTTCTCAATCGGCTCGCTTTGACTTGGTTGAGGCTTTTTCGCTCTTGTCATGCTTTCAGTTCGTTTTATTGGACTTTTAATTTCTTCTACTTTGATCGTATTATCATCCTTCTTGCTGGCATCCCATGTTGATAAGGGTTTGAAATTCTGCTCCAGAGCACTGCTAAATTTCTTTTGTTTCTCTTGAGTAAGTTTACTGTCTGCAGCCAGGCGCTGTCTTTCTGCTTCTAAAAATTCTTTAAATGAAGGATGCATTTCATTTGGGTCTTTGAAAGGTACTTCAGACTGGTTTTTGCTTAGTTGGCGGAGAGCTTGGTTGTGTATCGGATAAATTAAGTACGGGTTCAACTTGGTTGTATCGATGGGTCGTGTCATTTTATCTTCACCAGTACAGCAAGGATACATACACTGAGCTTCTGGATGAAGTTTATCAAGATTGAATACCGGTGCTCTGTAAGGTAGATACTGATACGGAACGCCTGGATCCAAGCCGATATACTTTGTATTGGATTCATGTAAATTGTAATCTTCAGAAATTCTTCTTTTCTGCTGTCGATGCTCGTTCTTATGTTGATCCTGGATAGCTAAGTTAGGACTGTCTTGAAATTGAGTTCCCCCAACACCAATTCTCTTTTCCGCAAACATTTCACTTGCAGCAGGGCGAGACCCATAAAAGGGCAGATAAGGAAACATTTGAGGAAGGCCAAATTTCATTGCTGGCCCAAGGAATTTCAACTCTTGGTTTCCACGATCGGATGGCTTCTGGAAGGCTGATCTCAGTTGTGAATGCTGCTGAATCATATCTTCATAGTATGCGCGCCTGAGGACTGCTTCCCTATCATAAATCCCCTTTTCTGCAGGCATGTACACCAATGGTGGATTAAGATAATCGCCTGAAGTTGGATAGAATGTGGCTGAGCGAATGTCCGGTTGAACTCCACTCAGGTTACTGAAATAAGGAAAATCTCTGCTTTCTTTAGGATCCCCTAACAAGTTGCTTCCATACTTGTCATAATCATTTTCTGGCCTTGGCTCTTTTGAATTGATAACTTGATCTTTGCGTTGTTTACCTCTCGTCTCAGCATGATTGCTCTTAGAAGGGATTTCGTCGAAGTGATCGCTCCTTTTCAATTCCTTACGGAATTGTTCATCTTTTTCAACACTTGTTACATCAATTGCCTCATCTTCTTGTTCACAATTTGCATCCATTCCCTTTCTGACCTCGACGTATTTCGTAGAGCTCGTTGATTCTGGAGAACCATTGATGCATGGACTTTCTCTGGTTTCAGGGGCAGATTCTTGCGAAGAGCTCTCGATGGACACTATGTGAATCCTATTAGCTTGAAATTGCATCTCATTTTCTGACTGAGGCGACGGATCACCAGTAGATGCTACACGGCAATAGTTTCCCTGATTTGACTCTGTTTTCAGAAAAACCTTTGAAGCAAAGCCCTGGGAGCTTGCTTCACCTGGTTCTTGCATGTTAACTAGTTGACTGGTTGGGCTTTCTCTAATTTGGCTCTCTGTTGCCAAGTCTTTAACTTCATCTTGCTGAGTGGGTATGCTTTTGTCCATATTTATGCACAAATGAAAGTTTATATCCTGAAAAATTCAATGATATAATGGAATATAATAATATCAATTGCAATGTCTTTGACAACATAGAAGTACCCGTTTGGAAGTGTACTTTGAAGAAATAAGACAATGTAAAAAGAAACGGTAAGAAAGAAAGAATGGATGCGAGAATGAAAGTGTTAAACTCAAAATGTACAATATGACTGAGCTGAATACCAGCTAACTTTTCTTTTTTTCAAAGTTCTACAAGTTCTTGATCCGAAGAAACCAGAGTTTATTAATGCCACGATTAGATTCTATGAATAATGGTCACTGGCTGAACTGATTAACACTAGCTAAACTTTCTCATTTTCAAAGTTCTACAAGTTCTTGATCAGAAGAAAACCAGAATATTTTTTAAGACAGAGAGAACACAAGCTATGCTAAAAACATAAATTCTCGTGATTTCAAGCTTTTCGTTTATGACTTTTTCAAGAGTATAAGAATATGAATCGTGATTGTGCAGACCGAACAGGTTTGAAGGGCGTTGAATAAATTCTTATATAAAAGTACTAAACACTGGATTATTGCCTAATAATCACAACTTAGATACTTTAAATCGTATACTGTCATGCAAATTATCAAATGAACTTATGTAAGTGTAATAGTATATGGAAATATAGGATTTTCGTTCAATACAAACTGTCTATCTTATTTTTACCTTAGTTTATGCTTCTTGTGTGCTGAACAACGGTTCTAACCTCACCTTCCTAAGATCTTAACGTTATATATCCCGCTAACACAGGTCTTAAAGCAGCTGTTTTTCAGCAAAATCTCCTATAGAGTCTCTTTCTTTCAAATCTATGTATTTTAAACAACGATTATTTAATAAAATGACGCATTAATATGACCATTTGTGGGAGTGAATACACCACCTTGACTGTGTAATTTAACAATAAGTGTTTATTAAGCGACCCCCTGGTATATATGATTGTCATTGTTTCTGTATGAAAAGCAGTTTAGCGTCTAGTGATTATTAAATACTGATGTGTAGTATGATTTGCTCTTGATTTCACTTCCTTATCTTTGGAAGGTTGGGATCCAGTGAGGGTGCGAGGGCGGCTAGCCAACTCTCCATCCCTATTTCACCTTTCAAAAATATAATGATTATATATAAATGAGAACAAATTTAAAGCGCTCATATGACAAAAATGACTTTTTGCACTCCTAAACCTATCCATTTGATTCTTTTTTCTCTGGGTTTGCAGACCCCCGCCATTGCGTTGCTGCTGCGTTTCTCAGGTTTTTATTAAAGATAATGATTTCTTTGTTTACTGCTATCAGTTTGCCAAATGAAGGTTACATATTTCGTAAAAAAGATAAAATCTAAGATCTAATTTTTTCTTTTTTTAACTAATTTTCGCAGAATTCTTTATATTAATAAACAAAGTGTATCGTTAGTGACTGACCTGAGGCTAAAATTAAGGAAATATGAAAAGTTTAAAGATCTTTAAAAATAGTTTCAGTATGAAGATGAAAATCTTTTCATATACAACTAAGATCTTTACATCTCATCACATTGAAAACAGTGGTTATTCACTAAAATCACAGATGACAAAAAAACAAAGAGTTTTTCCGATTATATTGCTTTCAAATTACGATTCAAATTACTATAGTCAAAACATAACGCCCCGTTAGTGTAACACATCACTTAAGTACAACTAAAGTACCCAAAAATACACTTAATTTTAGCTAAGTCTAATTTGTTTAGTCTCCTTGCGTTAGAAAACCCATCGAATTCTATTCCTTTTTATAAACAATACCTGCCGCGGAACTTATTGTCTGAATTTGTTTGATCTGTGTGAGGTGTTCAGAACAAATATTGTTGTAAAAAGTATCACGTAAGACACATCTGTTCAGTACAGCGTTTTCAGTGGTGTGAACAAATTTTAAGACAAAGTTACTGGTATTTATACTAATACTTGTTGTACTGAATTCAAGCCTTTTTAATGTTCTACAGTTATAATATTTGTAGTTTGCAATTGCGTTTTATAAGAGCCTCGTGTGTTTAAACTAAGACGCGCGCGACTGCATGAGAAAATGTCCGTCAAACTGATAAAGGCTACAAGGAATAACGCCTATTCGCCTCACAACAGTTCTCTCCTACTGAGCTATAGTTTTAGTATAACAATAGATTATCACTATTCTAATTCTTTTTTTAAATTTAGTATCAAAGCTATTAATAGTTTTTAAAAATGTATTATAAATCTTTTGGGTCTGTTTCCTTGCGATGTTTTATGCCTCTCAGTAACTAACCATAGCTGGTTTTTATTGTGAACGAACCTCTGGAAACTGTGTTGTGTTCAAGAGTATCTTATTCATATATCCCATGCCATTGTACATGAAGAAACCTTGATCTAAACATTACCGACACGTACAGACATAAGCGTATCTCGTTCCAAATCACGTTAAGCTGGAGCAGTTATCTCCTGCACGATTACCTGCGCCGTTTGGAAAGGTATCCGTGTCTTTGCACCTAAACGAGAAGACCATTTAGCCTGCAAAGATAGATACCTGTGAATATTTGTCTATAGGTGTTAAAGAAGGTTTCTATCATTGCTCGCTCAACGGTTGTGTTGCTTCGATGTAAAGGCACGACTACCTTCAAAGATGACGCAAGGAAATGTGAAGGAGACTATTGCAGACTTAAAAAAAAACAGGAGAGACTTAAATGAAATGTTTAGCACGACGCCGAGTCAACATAGTGGCTGCTCTGCTAAAAAGTTCTTTTTGGAATCATGAGTGTATATATAACTGGTAAAATAAACATCAAATTTTATCGGCGACCACTCCCCATAAGTCTTTTTAAGCGACGCATATAATCATTTCCATGAATAGCGTATCAGCTAAGCACAGCTGCTTTCTGTGAGTGTTAACTTAGCTTTTGTTAAATTTTATATCCGGTTAAGTTTCCACCCTTTTCTCACCGGCAAGGTTTGGTCTTCGAATGCGCCCCACTGAACATTATAAAAGTATCCAGTATCTTTCATTCCTGTGCTACAATGATTAATTAAGTCAATCTATGTGAGTGCATTTAATTATATAGCTCTTATTATTATCACCTAAAACACTGAAATACATTGAATGACCTATGATGCTAATTAAACTAGAGTCATTAGAATGCTGTGAAAAACGTCTAGATTAACGGGGAAGAAAGAGCCTGGATTTAAATATGAAGATGTCTGATCTGTAGTGATAAACAGACAAGGCTTTAATTTTTATAGATTTATATTGATGATGAACAATCTTCGTTTCACAGTTAGTTTAGCAGTTAGGCTAAATGCAGCTTTGGTGTAGCAATTCTTGCTTTAAACACTCTGAATATTGAATAAAAAGACTTGATATGGATGGGAATCTTTATTTATTCTATGTTTGCATTTCTTTTCTAGTTTTTATTTTATTTTATTTTTATTTTTTGGAGATTTCTTCCTGGTTTTCTACAGAAAGACAATGTGATGATAGAAAACCACAATCAATTTTCCATTTTTTTATTGATTTCGTCTTTTAACCTTTAGAATACTGATAATACTGATATTTTGTATCAAATTGTAACACGAGTGTGTTAAACTATCTCTAACGTTTTGATATTAAACTTCAACTAAAATAAACCATACATTTTTTGAAATAATTTAAAATACGATTTTTTTTGATAAAGATCAACATTTAGTTAATATCAACCCACATTCATTATTAAAGAAAGATGAAAGAAATGCCTCTCATCAAAACTTTCACCGAAGTTACCGTGAACGCCTCCGCAGTCAGGCCCGCTGCGCATGATATTCGAAAAGATTTCACTAACTTGATTGTCTCGCTCACTAACTACACAGGGTGAAACCCTCACTGAGAGAGTTCGTTCAAACTTCACTGCGCACCCAGTAAGTCGTTTTGATTATTTTCAAGGCAAAGAGAACAGCGCTCCAATGAAATCTCCCTCTTCGTTATGGCAGTCTTTATGGAAAAGTTATGGCGTCTATTATTACACCTGAATAAAACTATTACACGCCGCAGCTAGTTGGTTTCCTACAGCAGAATTACCCCCTTATTCCAATGTATCAAGATGTAACTGAAAATTTGTTTATTTTCTTTATTTCACGATCACAAAGGCTCCACCATGATTTTGAAATCGGATATTTTATGAAAGAGTGCTTGTAACATCAAGAATTCACGTTTCGAAAGGAACCTCTATAAATTATTTTATCGGAATGATATCCCGACATGAAATTCTTCTTCTAATCAAACAGATACTGTTTAAGATTTTTAAGATTTTTCCCACTTTGTATGAGGAACTGAACTGATGGATCGGACTCCTAGTGGGAATTCTGATGCTCAGGATTCTAACAATAACTTCTTTGAAAACATTGCTTTGAACAAAAAAGTTCTCACTGAGAGTTAAACAAAGAAGACTGTAACACAACTGCTGTAGTTGTAAATCGAAAATAATTAGCTCTGTGAAAACCTTTTTAGTGCTTCTCCTCTTCAAAAATCATTTTAAAATCATTATTTCACAGTCAAAGCTCAGTAATACTGAAGCCTGATTTTTATCACGACGCGACTCGCAAATTCAAGACCAATGCTATTCGCAAGTTCCTTAAAAAAAAAACATGAAAACCGACCAGCACAAAAGCCTAAATCTAAATGTTCAAAGTTCTCTTATCATTGTACGGTCGAGTTCCTCACGGCCTGGCTCCTATTTATGTTCAAGACATGCTTGAAAAATATCGTCCTTCTCGTTGCCTTCGCTCGTCGTCTCAACTAGTACTGTCTTCCAAGTCTTACAATCTCAAAAGTTATGGTTATCGTTCTTTTAGTGTTGCTGGACATTTTCTATGGAATTCACTCCCATCTTCAATCAGAGACATTTCTTCACTTGATAATTTTAAAACTGCTCTTAAAACCTTCGTATTTAAACAAACTTGTGATCTGTAACTCTATTTTAACTTTCTTTATGTTAATTTTTACCTTTTTATTTGCGCTTAGAAAAAGTTATATAAGCGCTTTGTAAGCATAGATTATTATTATTTCTTATTATTAATTGTTAAAAGTATTACGCTATATACGAAGTGTATAAAACAAACACAAACGAATGCGGAAAGAATCGGCCAATGAAAATACTAGTGCCAGTCCCGCAAATTCTTTGTGAAATTTCCCTCAAAAAGCATGCGAATAAAAGTGTTATTGAGTGGAATCATTGAAAAAGCATATCAGTTGTAATAGTTTTTAAACATCTTTTCCATAGCAAGACAGTAGATAAACCTGGGATGCCTAGCTATTTGGTTTGTGCTAAAGTTTCCGGCTACCACAATACGAATGTAATCTAGCTAGTAGGATTGTAAGGGAATAACTGAACCTGCTTTATAAGATTACTGGGACTGCTTTGTCAGCCTCCTACAGGAGGAAAGAGGATTTACGATGGCTACTGTTTCAGCACGAGAGTGATAATTAGACGGGCTTGCTGTTTAAATGATGACGGAGAGCTCGAGAGGACTGTAATATAACTTTGTCAATGACTACGAAATGACGACTTAGATACTAAAGTAAGATTCTAGGAAATTCCAATTAAAAGCAGTAGAAATATGATTCTTTTCAAAATACTAGACTATACGGATGTCCATTTGAACTCACCAGGTTTACAATATATAACTAAGACATCTCAATCTTTTTCTGTTTAAAGAAACTTTGACTATAATATCTTCCCCACCCCCCTCCCCGCCGTAAAAAAATATTAAAATATTATGCTAATAAGCGAAAGTCATTTTAGAAAATAGGTTCCAACTCTCTCTCGGTTGCGGCTTTGACAAAGCGACCCCGTTGGAATAATTGTTTCGATCTCATTGCTATCCCAGCATGGATCGCGCCTGTTCGTTACACTATTAAAATTATATGACGTAAACGGGACGTAAACGTGACCTGATCCGTCTTAGTTAATTGAATAGTGATGAATCGATGAAATGATGAAATTCCGTCGGCATCGGAAAGTCTTCGAAATGAGAAATGAGACGTTGGACTGCCTGTGTTTTACTTTCTGTTAACTGGATATAAAATCATCGTATAAAACAGGTCAGTTTTTACCGCACCCTCTTATTAGAAAAAAACAAAAAAACAAAAGCAAACAAACGTCAATTGCGCTAGGTTATCTATAAGAAGCGCAGTGTCCAATTCCATTAAAACGTTTGTCTCGCATGATGAACTTAACAGCGATTTTTGGGGCAGTTTCATGCATTGTGACGCCGGGAATGGCACGGCAAACAACAGGATGAGCCGACGCGATCTGCTCTTCGATATAGCTGTTCTTGTACGATTTTTTTCCTGGGAAAAGGATTTTGAGCTGCATTGTTGACAACCTCACAAGCAAATGTGGCGCCCTTCCTTTTTCAAAACAATTTTGTTCTTTGCAAACGTTTTTATGATCCAAAACCGTGGCTTATAGTTTTTTTAGTTACTGAAATTTTTATTTTCCTGGCAAAAATGATTAGAAAGTATTCCTTGCTTGGAGAGTTCTTTTTTCCTGAATTTCTCGCCGGCAATTACCAGTTGTGACTTACAGCTGGCTGGGACATAAAAACAGATATATTTCTCCCGTCGGCTCCTCCTAAAACAACCTGGCTACAAATTCACAGCAACAGATTGCAGGCTTTGTTGCTGCAAATTCAAACATCATCGAAAGATATTAGTACAAACACGAGCCTTAAAGCTTCTCAAGCAATTAAATCCGCGCGTGCTCTATTATTAAGCATAGCTTTACTAGGCGCGCGTGTATAGTTATTGTATGATAATAACATATTTTGCTGATATTACAGCGTCTGTAGAACAGTACTAGACTATTGTTCGCACGCGCTATAAAATAAAACAACAGACAGCGAAAACTAAAATAACACCAAGTTAAGTTCCAAAATTCTAAGAAATTAAAATTCAGAATAAAAGTGAAGTTTAGGCTTTTATTCTTCACAACACGATGCTACTGAAGGACAACCTCACTACTTTAAAATTAAAATTAAAATTACTAACTTTGGGCTTTTTGGGGGGTAGGTCTATCGGGATCTATAGCAAGATCAATGCATTATTGGTTAATCGATTTTGGCATCTGTGCAGGTAAAACACACTGAAAATCCATCCAGAAGACGAGAAAACATTTCTTTTCTTTTTCTTAGGCCAAGCGAATTTCCCACATAATAATGTTTGACTTGCGCCGAAAAAGTTTTATATTATCTTAGATCAATTAACTGAATTTAAGCGCAAACTTATAGTATAATCTTCACTGTAAATTCGAATAGAATACAAAAGTTGAAAAGTTGGATATTTATCTTATTTTAAAGAAACATTTGAATATTCTCTGTAGAATATAGTAAAAAATAGTCCTTGAAAATTGAAGCTCGTAGAAAAATGAAAAAAATATGAACCTTTATCATTATTAGAACTTTTTCGGACCATTTCGAGGTCTCATACGAAAAAGCTCTGAAGACGTTTTGCTTGCTTTATGTGAGCGAAAATTTGTTTATTTGGAATCACCTGTAATGGAAGATGATCAAACTTGTCCAAGAGACGCAAGAGCCCTAAAAGCTATTGTTAAGCTCTCAATTTAGCTCACTCGCTCTGTAAATTACATTATCTAAAGCGTCGCTAGTGACTTAAGTGTGTTAGCTACCAAATATACGAAACTAGAACCCAAAGAAATTGAATATAACTTATAGATGCTCTCTTTGGGTTAAAAGTTATGAAAATCCAGTTCAAAGGGAAAACTATAATAGCGCAAAACCAAGGATAAGTTCAGCAAAGTTTTCTAAAGCTTTTTTTCATAGTTAAAATCTTCAGTCGAGTTATAATTGATTTTGAAGTTGCTTTTCGTTAGATAAACTACAGCTAGTGAAATCTTACTGATTATTTTTTGATTTTTTTTTCTGGATTCGAAAACATTTTGGGACAATGACACTTGATGAACTTCATGGCAAAAGAGGGAAAAAAGATAAAAAGAAAAAGAAGAAGCCAAGAAAAAATATGCAAAACTTATATTAAAATGTCATTCTAGCCTTGAAATATCTAAAATATCTTACCTTGAACAGCTTTGGAACATCAAAAAGATAGTGTTTCGAGTTGCCTGCCTTTCGAAGAAAGTTGCCGTTCCTATTATACCTTAATACTGCATCAACTGTCTTATTGTCCTGCTAATCAAAAACTTTAGAATAATATGAGCCAATCAGAGACGACCTCAAAATGAAACATTTAGCTTGCTATTTCAATTCTATGTATGAGTCCTTTTGTACCTTGAGTCAGCCAATTAAGGCATATTCTCGTTCTTATTTTACAATTCTTTTACTAATTGTCAATTTTTGCTTTATTTTTCCCGAAAGGGAGAGCTTGTTTAATCATCAAAATAACTGATATTTTTGGAGATATCACTTATCATCTATAAAAATGTATCTTCGTGAGATTATCCGTTTTACAAGGGGATTTTTAAGAACTTTAAGAATAGCTGTTAATAACGGGGCGTGCCTTCGACATAATAACATCTCGGGCTTCGGCGATTATAGCTGAATAAAATTGTGTTTTCCTATAGTTTAAATGATTCTTTTGTCACCTTGCAATTAAAAAAGGTGTTCCTATCAAACAGAAAACATTCATAGACTTTTGACTTTGGAGCTATAGTTCGCCTTCAAATACCGACTTTTGATAACTATATTTTCGAGAATATTCTCGCTCCAAACAGCGAGCTAGAAAAACAATTGTTAGAGCTGCTGTGTTCCAACTCAATACAGTTTGATTAGAAGCCAACTCGAATAAAACTCTTAATGCTATTTGAGATTACATCAAGATCGGCGAGCAAATAAGCTCTAAGTTGTTTATGAAAATGTCTAAAGTAGAGACCAAATAGAATTTTTAACCGTTTTCAATTAAAGTTGTTTTCGCCAAAGTCGAAATAAAAACTCACTTTCATCTGTGCCTCACAGCAGTGAAGTATATTCATATTTAATGTGTGCGTTTTGTTCAAGACAAGAAAGAATCAGGAGCTCTTAAATAGCATGAAGAAAAACAAAACATAGAGAAACTTCTCCGTTTTCTCTCCTTCTTAAACGAAATGAAAAACCCAAACTCTGCAGAAATTAAGGACAATTGTAGTTTTCAAATATAAAGCTACATATTTGTACAAGATTACAATCAGTTTCGATTAGTTGTTTGATCCAGAGCAGGTGGTGGCACTCCTAATATATGATAATCTTAACATAATTTAAGTTGTGGAGACATTTTATTACCCCTGTCTCTTGGAACAATTTAAAAGTTTTTTGTACTTGTGATAATTAGGCTATCTTGAGTTATATAATATATTTGCAAAGTAATCTTGATGGAAGATCCTATATAAACTTACAAATTACTGTCTAAAATATATATTTTTTAGTAACTGAAAGAAAAACGAAAGATCTAATTTTTTCGATTTAAAAGGTCTAAGTTTTCAAGTCGAAGTCATATAGTCCGCTTATATTAAAGAACGAGACTTTAAAGTTCGCGAACTTTTTCTCTTTTGTTCAAGAAAACTCCCCCACCGGCGAAAAATGATGCGGCTTACATTTGTTTTGCTAAAGTTGACTAAAGCTTGTTTTTTTTTTGGAAGATTCTGATTGCTGAAATACTAATTATGGAAAATGTATGCCAGCTTTGAAAATTTTTACACGCCAACGCAACCGAATGCCTTAAAATTTCCTTAATCGTTAGTTCAAAACGCATATATCGTAGTAAAAATGAGACTATTTTCCCGTGCGTGTGTTAAATATGCGCGAATTAGAGGTATTAAAACGAGCATGAATCTTAATAGTGGATTTAATTGTCTATTGTGCTTAGTATATAATGAGGAACTGTTTTCTTTTGATATAGAAAGGGCTTATTTTGAATCAAATTGCACATAGATCACACATGACCGATTGTCAACTTTACCACGCGATTCACAACTATACAAAACTTTTAAAGCTCAAAACTAGCTAATCAGAAATACTTCAAGATTTCATCAGTCATCCGTTTAAATTTCGTATAAAAACATCTGACAATTGGACTATTCCTTTACCAAACAAAAGAAAATAGATCAATCAATAGAGCGGACAAAATTTCGTCATAAAATTCACCAGTCTTGATAAAGTTTCCGATCAAAAATGTACATTTTTTGACCTCGAAGATCTACAAAATTAGGAGTAGCCGAAGGGTTCCTGGGAGAAATATATCTGTTCTTACGTCGCAGCCAGCTGTAAGTCACAACTGGTTGCCAGCGAGAAATCGAGAAATTCAGGGGGAAAAAACTCTCGAGGCAAGGAAATTTTACCTTGAAAATAAAAATTTCCTAACTTAAAAAAATATAACCCGCTTTTGACCATTTACCTTTTGCCAGGAACAAAATTATTTCGAAGGAAATGCGCCACATTTGCTTGTGAGATTGTAAACAATGTAGCTTAAAAACCCTTTCCCAGGAAAAAAAAATCGTACAAGAACAGCTATTTAGAAGAACAGACCCCGTCGGCTCCTCATGTATAATGTCTATTTGAACATCTACTGGAAAATTAGTTTCATTTAGATTGCGTTGTAGTCAGTTTTCTTTCAAAAGTCTGCTATAAAACTACCATGATCTTACGATATTAGCATATTGAATAGGAGTGTATGTGAACCTATACTGGCGTCAACTTCTATCAGTTTAACACTTCGGAAATTGTTTATTTTTATTCGAAGCATAACGTAATTACGCCTGACCAATCCATGGGAAATCAAATCATATTCACGCTGAAACAAAAAACACAAAACAAAACAAAACAAAAAAACAAAACAAAACAAAACAAAAAAAAAAAAACAAAAAAAAACAACAACAACAACAACAACAACAAACAACAAAAAAACCAACAAACAAACAAAAAGTAGTTAAATTTTTCCATCCAAGCTAGGAGTTTATGATTCTTCACTCCTCAATCATTTGAAATATAACTATAAAGGGACAACTCTCCGCTATCTCGCTACATGGACCGTTTTGTAAGGTTAGGTGTGCCTTAACCAGAAAACCAGCGTGTTATATAGAAGGAATAATTGTCCTTTTCTAGTAAGTGTCAAAACGATTCGATTAGGATTGCACGATTATACAAAGTTAGCTGGTCTTGTTGTTACCAGGCTAAATTTCTTTTATTTTGTGTTACGGAAAAGAAAAAAAAACCAGCCCGTTGGAGAGGACCAGACCGCTTTGTATAATCAGTCCCTATCATTTCACGCTCGCTTTAATACTGTCTCTACTCGATTAAAATTCACGCTTAATTTTCCAGTCGGCGCAGAAAACTGCCCCGTCGCCATTAATTACAGCGATGAAAGGATGTTTAATTTTGGCATGAGATTGAAAGACTTCAGTTTTTTTTGTTTGAACGTGTACAATTTTAATCTTTTAAGTATTTTCGTAAAAGATTCGGTGCTTGAGAGTCAACGCACTTGTACCGTGAAACATAATCGAAAAAGTAGTATTAGTTTTTATTTAGTGACTAATTGTATCTAGGTAATACACAAGAAACTGAAAGCTACACAAAGTTATGAAAAACTACCTAATGATGTGATAAATTTGTTAAGAAATGTCCCACCCACAAGGAAATAAATAAAGATTTGGTATAGTTCTTTGTTAAACACAGGCCTTTCAGCAGGCTTCATAGCAAATTGAGTTTTTTGAAAGGTACTATAAAAAGAATTGCCCCATCTGTCTACATATGACTGAATAAAAAGAAGTTTGAAGGCATAACATTCCAAATCAATATGGATTGCGTTCACATGAATTGTCGAGACTCTTGTATTGCGCTTTGGTTTCATGAATTGCTCTGGTTCAATGATATCAACTATTAGACAGTAAATAGACACTAATAGTTACTGTTTATTTTGATCATATTTCGCGGTAGAAGTGCGTTCACTCTAATTATATATACACGGGCTACCATCCAAAAGAAATTGAATATATGTTCCATTTCTTTTCCGATTTAATTCAATTTGCCTTATCAACAAGTTAAACATTTTCTTTGTTAAGGTATCATTAAAAATCGTCCTTTAAACTTATCTTTGATATAATATATACAATATCTGATATTCATAATACAATATTTTGAGATTTCTTATCCAATAATTCTAAATATGCGATGTGATATATCATTCTATCGCTTTGTTCGTATTCACCAAACTGATCATTGATCACAAAGTCAGCATTCTGCTATATGGAGTCTATTCATATATACCAAAAAAATATAGAGTTTCTTCAAATTCGGCGTATAGTTTGGTGGATACTAAAACAATTAGAGCACGCTGCCTGTGAACTACGAGTTAATAGTCCATTCTAGCCTGAGCACGGCCTCATAGACTATCAACTCGTACTGCACTTGACTTAAATGGTCTAATGTTCCTCTGACCTGGCGTGGACTTGTCCCAAAAGCGTTCTACTGATCAAGAATGAAAGTCCAACCTTTATTCGAGAGCCCTTGTGATCGTAATCTGTTGCTGTTGTTATTAAGTTATTTCCTGATTGGCTCGATTTTTGATATGTGAGTCTACTGCGCAAAGGTTCCCGGATGGAAAATGCCAAGATGATTATATGCTGTTCTCAACACTTCCATATAGATTTAAGCAAAAGCCATTAGAATCGTGTTCCACTGATCAAACGTTCTATACACTTGTTCCAAAGTGATTTGCTTCTGTAGTTATCAATTGACATAATAGATCCGAATAGTCTCTCTTTTCCTTTCCCAGGATCCTCTCCAAACCCGCATCGTCTTTGAAAACGCCTTTAGTTAACGAGAAAAGCGATGACCCGTTAAGGTATTGGTAAGCCTCAATGAACCTCTCAGTTCCGAGATTTTCTTCAAGAAACACTCTCAACGCTTCGATGTGGGCGAACATAGATTTTGCATCCGTGGCATTCAAGTGGAGAGTTTTGCCTCGAAATTCAAATTTAAGTTGGCTAGCTTGTGAGTCACGTGGTTTGTCTTTAATCTTGTTCAACGGGTCTATTTGATTAGCATCTTTAGCTTGCTGATGAGAATGACTTGGTGATTTTCCCTCCACTGCGCCTGCGCAGTCAGGTTTGATCGAAAACTCAGATCTTGCGGACTCTACTTCAACGTTTGTCGTAATTTTTTTAGCTCGACGTCGCGCGCGTTCTATTTGAACACCTCTAATACCTTTGAACTTACTGAATGGCAGTTTGTGATTCAGTGATGATTCTGACTTATGGCGATTTTTGGCTTGTTTGGCGTTAGAGCTTGACTTAGAATCCACAGCATATTCAGTTACATCCGGGACAGACATTAATGGCAATCGTCGGAATTGCGCAACTTTGTAGGTCTCGCAGCGTTTGAAGACCTCAGAAGAGTCTATCATGTCTACTTTGTTTTCTCGGAGAGGTGGTATGGCTTTTCTTTTATTTACGGTTTTAAAACGACTGGAACCATTCTTTGACAAAGGGCAGACCTGAATAGAAAGGATAGAAACAAGAATAACTATTACTTTCTCTTTCATTAGGCATTACTCGATCGTTGAATAAGTTGGTTATTAAAACAATGTTTGATTGAGTAGTAAAAATTAAGTGAAGCAACGATAATTTAGAACTGAATGAGCTAAATATGGCGAGATTAAGGAAACATGCAAAGTTAGAAGATGTGGATAAAGTTGGTAGATGGGAGTATAGATAATAAGATGGATTTATAAATGCACAAATGAGAATTTTGACAGGTTTTGGTAGGTTCATGAAGTAGGCGAATGAGAATAAAATAAAATAGAATATTAAATAACAAATAGAATACCTTATAAAAATTATCTTTGAGGGGGTAAGTGAAATAGAAATGAAAATATAATAAGTGCTCAAAATTAAATATTTTAACCTAGGCTGAAGTTTTTTGCTAGTAGAATATCTGACTAAGTCAGTTACATGTAAGTTTATTAAGTTATTAGTACTAGTCATAAATTCAAGCAATTTTAGATCATCATTCCTGGAATATATTTATAGGTGAAAACTCTGCAATATAAAAGTTTGTTTCAAAACAAAATTTTCTGAAAACAAGCGTTTTTAATCTAAATGGTCATGAAATTATAATGCTTCAAGCTTAAACAAATTGAATTTGACGCTCTACTGGAATATTACTGGATTATTTCGAGCTACTGTGGTTGTAAACAAAAATCTAAGAAATTTTATTTTTCGCGATATATGTGTCAAAATCTGAAAAAAATGTTTCTAAACAGTGTTTTAAGCGCAAAATGAGCGTAGCGGGACAATCCTCACAACATAATAAGCTTTATTAACTTTTTGATGTGCGGTTAATGAAACAATGCGATATTTTACGAAAACAAAATAAAACAAAAGTAGCGGCGGCTTTTTTTCATTTCGCCCCGGGAGATTTGCGTACTGATGAAGTTCCACGAGCGCTTTTTCAAGACTTTGTAAACAAAAACGTCCCAGCCCCCAGCCAAGGTGTTCAAGAGAAACTGTCACAAACAGTTGCCATGGTTTAGTTGTAACGATCTAAATACACATCCGGCTCGTGGAGCTAGACATTTTTATTTAATTTGTATTTTTCACATAACGTCAACGTGAGAGACGTCGTCCAGAGTACAGGGCCCCATGCCGACCTTACAGTTGTTCAAAACAAAAACTCTTTTAAAAATCATTGTCAGCATTACTGCCATCTGCCGTGTGACACAATCGGAAATCATTTAATTAACAAGATATTGCACTAGTAATTATGAAACTCTAAAAGATACATTTTCAGCCAATCAAACTAATGAAAGAGAGTTGTTAAATATGATAAATTTGAGTTTCGGACATGGGCCTTATTGTAGTATGTATATGTGAAAAGAGTTCTGAAGATAGAGAAGAATATAGAAGCTTACAATTGTATGTATGGGAACGAATCTTAAAAAAATTGCACCACCTTCTGAATTTCAAATAAAAGGAAATTGTTGGCTACTGTTGCCGCGGAGTAGACGTTTTACCTTCTTTTCCATGCGTAGCAATTTGGTTGGAAAAATATATCATTGAACTTCGTTTGTCAAGTAACTCAGAATGAAAATATCTCGAATTTTAGCTGAATTTGTTAGTAATAAAGTAGATTTTAATCTAAAAGATCTAAAACCTGTTTTTGAGCAAATTACTAGCTTTCTTTTTCACCATTCTATCCTGGTTACCTACTCTTTTAAGGATTCATATGAAACATCAGATAATGAAATCAGTATTCTTCTTTGAAAAGAAAATAACAAACACATGCAAAAAAAGAAACACACGAAAACAAAAACATGACAAAAATAGCTAAATAAAAGGTAACAAAAACTGCAAAAGAAAAAAAACAAGAAAAAAAACAACAATTTGTTTGACTATATTGCACTATCTACATCATTTGTAATCGACTTTTAGGTACTGCGGCAATAATTTGCGCATGTATACCTTGCGTTTTTGAAAATCAATGTATACGCTTTACTTAGGGTAGTTTTAGTCACGTGAATTTCAACTGGAGTCGATTATCACATCATTACTGTTAATGATTTGTGAAATCAAGACGTCATGCAGTTAATGATCGCACACTCGCCCTACTTCATTATATTGATAAACTATGGTTGAGTGCATCTTTAGAAGCATTACTTAAAATCCTAACAATAAGTCGGAAGAACAAGTCGACGTGATAAAAAGGCTCAACTGGTGGCTCGGTACAAGTGCATGCAAATGAGTCATGTTATTTGTATCTATATTGCCCCTGACCTTACGAAAACACGTGGAAGAAACCATTAAAATATTAAGGACATTTCGCAGACAAATTGGTCGTAAAGCTATGAATGCTATTTTCAAAGCTGTACAAATACAGACATTTTTCGCCATCACATTTCACTCGGGAAAATATTCAAATAAAAAGCTGCGTGTCTGCAGTTATAGTCTATGTAAACGAATGCAAATCGAATGAAATAACAAATTAAACAAGGACGGCTATTAATGTAAGCTGTAGCGAGATATGTACTACTAGAAAATGTTGATATAGAATTAATGTTTACCCTTGTCGTGGTATGTGCAGCACATTTAATTTGCTGTCAAAACTTAGGCAATGTTTTTTACGAAAAATAAAGTGCAAATTTGCCATATCCACACTTCTGACACTTGGCAAAAGTGGTGTCAAAACAATTCTTATTCAAACAGGAATAGATAAACTTGAATCATATAATAAACATGGATTCGATATATTCTTATCTTCTAAACCTTGTAGTAATAAATTTAATGAGCATAGCTTAATGTAATTGCAATGGCTACATGCTCTGTTCCTGTAGTGCGAGAACATGCTAGACTAACTATTACGTCTTTGTTTTGAGCTGTGTGTTTTGGATTGTTGCACATCGGCTGTTTGAGTCGTACATATTTTTTCCCCGTTTTATCGGTATCAATGCGATGGCGTGCGTTTTGTGGCAAATTGAATTAATCGTGATTAAGAAGAATTAGGTATACTAAATTATAATACATTTAATTGTGTTCAAATTAAATCATTTATTGTCATGAAATACTTACGTTTTCTTTATCGAGCTGTTCACAAGAAATACCTTGGCCTGATCTTTTAGAATTCTTTCTAGCTCTGAGACAGTGATTCATATGTTGATCAAGCGATTCCCTGGCTGCTTGTCGTCGAACGCGTGCTTCCCGAACACCTGGAACAGATCCTGTTTTATCACGTGATTTAAGGGCGAACTGGTCACTATCCATGATTCGTCTATACGATTTTTTTGGTTTTTCTGGTCTTAAAGCTTCTAAAGCACTATTTATATCAACTGCAGCAGCTTTATGGCCGTCTTGAGCGTCAAGTTCTTGTTTGGGGTTGTTTGCATTGTTTTTCTCATTGGGCGGTCGTCGGCTGTGTCTTTGCTGGTACTCGGTTGGTTTAAGATCTTCTTTAGAAGAATCTCTTGTGTGGATGTTGTTTTTCCTACTTTGAATATCGTTACTTTTAACTTCAGAGTGTCTTTGATTTATTTTAGTTTCCTTTGTGTCATTAACATCCAGTTTCTTGTAAGTGTAATTTTTTCTATCTGTTGATTTGTGTTTTGGAGGTAGATGTGATGAAGACTCTGATTGTATTCGTCCTGGTTTTCGTCTGACTTTTTCCTTCACTTCAGCTCCATGGAATTGAATTTCACCTCCTTCAGTCATCCTAGCACAAGCTGTAGAGCTTCGTCGTCGTCTAGCGTGTTCCTTAAGAATTGACTGTCTTACACGGTCAGCGGCTGTAGCCTCCATGGCGATTTTTTGCTTTGCATCAAGAGAATTAGCTACAACAGATTGCTTATTTTCATTCGCCATTGGTTCTCTATGGAATGTCATGTGCTGTTTATTATCTTGTGATGTTCTAGGCTTTGGTTGCTCATGAATTGTCACTTCAACACGAAACTTTTGCGCACCAATTGATGGTTCTTGATCTTCTTTCAATCTTGTCTCTTTGCTCGGTTTGTTAATTCTTGGAACTACATTGATATTATGCAGAATCTTCTCGGTATTTTCTCCCATATATCCATCATTTTGCACTCTTGTATAATGCACATTGCTTTGTTCTTTTTTCAGAGTTTCTGTCTGGTTTCTAATTTCCTGTTTTTGAACTACTTCTAGCTTTTCAATGTTTGAATGGACAGATTTGGAATTTCTCTTTTCAACTGGAACTTTGTGCATATTTTCTAGACTTTCAGTTCGTTTCCTCCTCGCTAGTTCCAGTCTTTCAGTGTTCGAAGCAACGAGTTTTGAATGTGGTTTGACATTGTTAACATTAGACGGAATTTCGCGCACAATTGCAACAGTTTCTAGGCTCTTTGCCCTTCTACTTTGTGTTGCTTCCGATCTTTCAGTATTCGAAGCTATGGACTTAGGACGTGGTTTGACTTTGTTAACTTTGGACGGAGATTCACGGATAGCAGCAACACTCTCTAAGCTCTTAGCGCGTTTGTTCTGTGCTGTTTCCAATTTTTCTTTACTAAAAGCTACGGACTTTGGGCGTGACATGACGTTGTTAGAATTATAGGGAGGTTTGTGGGCAGTTTCAATAGCTTCTAGACTTTGCGCTCTTTTTCTATGCGCAGCTTCCAATCTTCCAAATTCCGAGACGACTGATTTACGACGAGGCTTACTACTGCTAGCTGCTGCAGTTAAAACAGCTCCGTCAATGAAATTTCTTTCTCTTTGCTCGCATTTTGGAGGCACATTTGATGGTTTGACTTCGGCAGACGTTCTTCTCTCGTTCGCAGTGCTTGCTACGCTATCGATTCTTTCCCTCTGAATAACCGCGAATTTTTCTACGTAAGGTTTCATTGCTGGTGCGTAAAGAAGCTGCTTTGCGGATGGACGGTCTTGCGGTTTTGCACGTAACAAAATGTCAATCAGATCTTGCAGCAAAGGTCCATAGATCCTGCGAAAGATTTTTTATTATAATTTCAACGTTACATAAATGTTATGTTTTAAGATGCGACTTGGATGAAAATCAACAAAAATATATATAGAATCGCGATCGTGCAATTTGAGTAAGGCTATAAGAGTGAATCTTGCTATATTTTTTTATGAGAAGCGAAAACAATCAATTTTTTTTCGAAAAATGTTAAAGTATTATGACATCATAAACCTGGTTAACAAGAGCAACATAGACAACTCGCGCAAATGCAAACGCGAATGCAAAAGTTAGATACTCAAAAAATATGCACAGTATTTTAAGTTGCCTGCCCTCTTTTTGACACACCGTTAAATGTCATAAAATGTTTAATAATCAAATGGAACGAATATTTTGTGACGTCAAGAGTGCGTCAATAAGAGAACATGTAACATTCTTTCTACTTAGCGTTCATGAAAACATTGATATTACTAGAAACATCTGAAGACATCGTAGTATTAAGATACATCATACCTGGATATCGGTGTATATTTTCCATGAAGTATCTTCACCACAAGTGAAGAGAAGCATTCTGCTGTAAATGGAGGAACCAAAGTACTTACTTCATACATCACACAACCCAGGGCCCACATGTCGCTCTTTTGATTATAACTGAATGTGACGTCAAAGAGAAACAACTCTGTATTTTAAGATAACCCAATAGATAGTCCTTGTATCTTTTTTTATATTAAAAATTCAGAAAACATCGCATCCGCCTTTCATCCAAAAATAAGGCAAGGCTACAAAGTATACCCGATTTCAGCTTTTGATTCTGCGCTGCAATAGTTAGGTATTGTAACTGTATATGACGTCAAAGAGAAACGACTCTGTGTGTGAACCCTAATAGGTAATCCTTGTAATTATTTTTATTAGAAATTAAGAAAACATCGCATTGTGTGTACGATAGTATTATAATCAAGCGGAAGTCCGATATTTCCAAAATTACCCCTAACAGATACGGAAAACTCTAAAAGGTGTGGGAAATGTCAAACTTTCAAAATTGAAACAAAAAATCCCAAAACTCAGGAGTTCAGAAAAACTGCATACCCGAAGTGAAAGCCACCTTTTTTCCCAAAATGACGCGAGCAAGGTATAACCGATCATACCTTTTGATTCGATATTGAAATAGTTAAGTTGAAAAGGCCGGTTTATAGCATGAGTCTTGAAAAACCTCTTCTTTGGAACTATAAAAAGTCCGTCCCAAATTCCTTTAAAATGGCTAGGAACGTCTGGCTACGAATAATATACTCTCAATGAATTCTAAGGAGAACCCTGAAAGCATCCTTTCAGATAAACAAACAATATACGAGTTGTCAAGGATACGGCTGTTGTTGACATATTTCTGGTGACAAGTAGTACGGCGTACCAACTGTCGTCTGCGCATGGTCAGTAGTACTGTCCAATATCCGCGCGATTCCAAAATCTCCAAGTTTGACGACATTACTTTTTGTTAAGAATATGTTCTGAGTTTTCAAGTCTGAAGCAAAATAAAAATATATAGTTAAACAAGTTGATTAAGTATATTAAGTTTTAATCATATATTATATTGTTATTGTATTGACATAACCTACCTCGATGTAGTACATTGAAGCCATGAATATGTTTCAGAGCAAGGAGTAGTTGGGTAAACCAGTCTAAGATTTGCTAAAATGATGTAAAATAGTAAATGATAACGAATTAAGAAATTGGATAAAAGAAGGGATGGCTTTGGACCATAGAATAAATTTTTCAATGTGATCTCATCATCAGTCATCATCATGTGATCTGATCTGACCAATAGATTGTCAAGCTCAAAAGAGACTGCGTAGCGGCTTACGAAAAAAAAAAAAAAAACGAAATGACATAGGCTAACATCACCTATAAGCGCTTAACCACCTACGAAGTCACCTACTTAATGACTCTCACCCCCTTCTGTCGACCATCAAGCCCTATCATAATTTAGTACAACGTATACTTCAAATATAATTGACAATAATCAAAACTTGGCTTACCTCTTGTTGAAACAGTCCCTTTGATTGCTTGATTCTTGTGTAAAGGTCGCCTAATGAATATTGCATTAAAGATTTCAACACTGCTGATTGAATTAATGTAATGTATTGACCGCTCACGTGCATCGTACACTTTTCATCACGTGGCCCACGTGCGCATCAGTCCACGTTAATTGGAATGACTAAGACATTTCTAATCATTAAGTATAGGATTTTACATACAATAGAACGATTTCACATACGCGTCTTTAACATGCAAATGAGTTTTTCGAGTATTTAACATGCAAATTAGTTGACACCTGAGATGAGTAAGTTGTTACCTTGAAAACTTGAGTCGAGTTGGAATGCATTGTATTTATTACGAACTTTGATACTGAATAAAATTCAAAATTGATAAGCGATGTAACTTGTCCTTTGATAATACGTTTGGGCTACCTGTGGCTTAGGTGGCAACTAATTTGCATGTTAAATACTCGAATAACTCATTTGCATGTTAAAAACGCTTATGTGAAATCGTTCTAATGTTTGCACTGTTAAAATCTTAGCCAGTTAGTATATTTTGCTTTAGTATCCATCAGGCCAATAGTCACAAATCCACTCATTCTGAAGGGCTTCAGAACTATAATGCATTCATGATGTGACTAGACTCCTCCGAAGGCCTGACTAAGAATCACGGGCTTCCTGTCTTTTTGAGGAGTTAAAAGAGGGAGAATATTTTTCCTTTCTTTTCACTAGTCCCTCGCGGCCAAGACGAACGCTATGATGTGACCATTGTCGCATGGAATGAAGCAAAAATAGTAAAAAAAAGTCGAGAGAAATAAATCTTTATGGTCTTTTAATTTTTTTAAAATTTTTCCTATAGTTAAACTCGTGAACTACGAGATGATAATTCACTGTAACTCGTGGTTTAATTTTCAATCATTGAATAGTTTACCTAATGTTAAAAAGACAACATATATTTATTGTTTTGGAGATATATCAGACGAGGAACCATGTGGATTGATTTTAAATTTACAATCAGTGATCATTTCGATAATTCTAATTGTTATAATTCAGTAATATTTCATATATTCAATTATAATAAGCATGATCTAATAACGATAAATCAAACAAGAACGAAGCACGAATTAAAGTAGTCGACAATGAACGGTGATTTTGCAATTCAACACAGACTCACCTCCTTCGGCAAACTCCATCACAATGTAAAAATTGATACCTTCCTGCAAAGCATCTTTATAACGAATGATATTTTTGTGTTTAAGCGTTGAAAGGATTTTCACTTCGTTCAAAGCAAGATGGCGATCTGTATCTGACATTGTGCGAACGCTAAGTTCTTTCACGGCGTATTTACTTCCACTCGCCCTCGATTCTACAAGCCAAACGGATCCAAAAGTTCCTTTACCGATCATGGTGAGCTTATTGTATCGATTCATAGTGAAATATTTAGCAAATTGTAGTGTTCCGGTTAGTTTGAAGTCGTTTTGAATTTAAATTTACCGCGAATTATAGTAGAGCCTAGTTCTACTCCCTGAATTTACAAACAGGGTACCCAATTCTGAATTCGTTTCAATGCAACGAATAAATTGCATAACATAGGACAACCAAAATTCAAATATTCTTATCTCCTTGCATGTTAACGATGGTAATTCTTTACATGAACATGCTGATGACATTATATCTGAGCAAAAAATAACTTATAAATACTCAGTTTTGTTCCTTCTACGTGTGKTTTAATWTTYCGAGCTTTCGGACAACTTGTCCATCATCAKGGCAAAATGAAATTDCAATGCGTGCGCGAGGATACAAATGTAAACAAAACACTATGGTAACATAACTGCTTAATCGCGCTCTTAAGCAGTTATGTTACCATAGTGTTTTGTTTACATTTGTATCCTCGCGCACGCATTGTAATTTCATTTTGCCCTGATGATGGACAAGTTGTCCGAAAGCTCGGAATATTAAAACACACGTAGAAGGAACAAAACTGAGTATTTATAATGAATCCTACGTACGAAAACATTTTAACAAAAAATAACTTAATCAATCAAACAATCAATCAATATATAATAATTACAAAAATAGAAGACAAAGAAATTTACCGGTGTATTACAGACCACAATACAATGCGTTCTGCTATATCAGAAAAGGCGAATTTATTCAGTATTAGACTGGGGTCGACTGGAGACTTATTTGGTCCCAAACCTGAATTATTGATGGCTGTCAAGTTATTGCACGGGGATTTCATTAATTCCTTTATCAAAGAGATTAAACACGATCATGATTCGCCATGCATACTAATGAAATCGAATACTAATTTATGCCAATTTGACAAAATGTCCGGAAAATAGGATTCTGCCCAATACTCCATCTTCGAACTCAAAGCAAAAAATCACTGCTTTATGTGACAAATGATTCTCTAACGCATAGACCTTACCAAACACGAAAGAGAGCACGAGAAAATGTAAAATATAAAAATAGACTTGAAAATTTGCCTTTAGCTCATATTAAGCCCTTAGTTGAGACTAACCCTGTATTCACATAGGGCGTAAGGTGCCTTCTGGGAATACAGGGATAGCCTCAACTCGGGGAAAGTTTAAATTATTAGCGCTTTTGTACTTACAGCATTTCCTCGTGCTTTCTTTTGTGTTTAGTAAGGTCTTTGCGTAAGAGAATCAGCTTTCAAACATTAAAAACAGCGGTTTTTAGCTACAATTGTACCCATAGTACATTTTTTTCAATCAATGAGTATACATTAGGATACAACATGGTTTTATTGAGTCACACCTCCTAACATATTGCGCACTATATACAGACTAAAATGTAGATATAAAAATATATTACTGAAGTTCGAATATTAATTATCGATTATACATATATACATAATATTGTTATTATTATTGTAAAAGAATTCCATGTTTATAACAAAAAATTGTTAATAATTGCATTTAAGTTCATTTTGCATGAACTTGACATCAGATGAATGTCAAAATATAGTCCTTTACTTATTTGTTTTTACTAATAAACAATAATTTGTATTAATTATTAATTTATTGCAATTGATGAGAAGCAGCAGCTTAAGTAACTCCGTAAATAAGAGTATAGAAATAGGCGAGAATAAGTTAATACTCAGTATAAGACGATTTTTGAGTTAATGCGATTTTTTGTCGATAATTCATTCTTTCGTAATTTCTGCAAGAACTTTGTCAAACAAAGTGCAAAAAAATTTTCAAAAAGAGCAAGTAAAAACTTTAAAGGAATATTATAATTCCATACGAAATACGTCAAGTTATTATTACATAATATTGCTCACTTAAAGCAAGACAAAAAAATATAGTAAAAATAGTTTATTAAGAAATTATCCTCCATAAAATTCATCCGATACGTTTTTTAAGAATTATGAGATCCAAGCAAAAACAAGACTTCAAACAATGTTGCAAATATTCGACTTCTTTTCCTTCTTGCTTGGCTTTGTATTCGAGTGTCCTGAAGATTTCTTTTCGGCCTTTTTGGGAGTAGGGCTCGTAGTTGTCTCGGCTGGTTTGTCAGAAGATTTCTTATTGTTGTTATTATTGTTGGTTTTTGCTTGAGTTGTAGTTTCTTCTTTGCCTTTTTCTCTTTCCTTGGCTGAAAGAAGGATATGGTAAAGATTACACAGGGTTCCCAAGCATCCGGGGGCTTTGTTATTACGACTGCAAAGGCACAATTGAAATTCAAGATTACCTTCAGCCTGTCGTTTGTCAGCCAATGCCTGCCAGTTTTTGCGGTTGTCGACGACACCATCGTACATGGGTTTCATCTTTTCTTCAAACTCGTAGAACAACTGATAAAATGAAAAAATAAATTTGTGTTTGATCATAGCAGATTCACTAGCTCTGGTGAAAGATTGAAATATCAGCTTTTAAGTTACACTTGCTATTGCCGGATTTCAAACCGTGGGGGACTGAGCAAAATCCCCTAATTGGGTAATCATGACGTAAGACTTACATAGAAAGAAAGCCCTTGTTGACAAATGCAAAATTCCAAAAWTTSATGTAAATCAGTCCAATAGTGAGCGAGTTACAGCCTTTCAAATATTCTAAAATTTCCAAAGAAATGTATGGAAAGCCATGAATGTGTCCGGAAAATGGTCAAATTTCGGACACATTTGCGGCTTCCCATACATTTCTTTGCAAATTTTAGAATTTTCGAAATCTCGTAACTCGTTCACTATTGAACCGATTGACACCAGATTTTGGAATTTTGCATTTCTCAACAAGGGCTTTCTTTATATGTAAGTCTTACCTCGTGAAATCTCGTGATTATCCAATTAGGGGATTTTGCCCAGTCCCCACTCGGYTTGAAATCCGGCAATTACATAATATCTAGAAGACCTTGAGGACGGTGTTTACCGACGGAAAACTCTCAGATGCATGTGCTAGAGTGATTTTACATCAAATGTGACTAAATGGTAAGTCACTTGTCACTTGGTAGGTTTCACATTCTATCAACTAGATAGTGTTTCTCCTCTCGATGAAAAATCACTCTTTAGCCAGTGTTACGTAGAATTGTCCGTACGTAATCACAACAACATCCAGCGTCATTAACAATAATTTGAGAGCAATACTGAATTTACGTTCCATATCTCTAGATTGCGTCCAAAAGTTTTTTTCAGTTGAGAAAGCGTAAAGGCTGATTTACACGGTACGATTTGTCGCGCGCGACTTGTAGTATACGATTTTCCTACTACATGTCGTAGGGTTTTAAGCAGTGGTTCAAAACCCTACTACAAGTCGTAGGTTGCGTACGACTGTTGTAGACAAGTCGTAGGGGCATTTATTACACTGCGCGATTCAAGTCGTATACTACAAGTCGCACGAGATAATCGTGTCGTGTAAATCAGCCTTAACAGTCCATTACACTAATTCTATCGCATGAACTATCAACTAGCTAGTTAGTAACTTATGATATCACGCCAACGCTGGCCTAAGAATCAGTGTAGTTACCTTGTAAATAGGCATACAAATAAAGTCTATGAATCCAACTTGCATCTTTGGTAGTTCGTCTTTTTTTCGACGATCCATCATTGCCTTTTGATAATAAAGTGATCATGATATATGTACGGATTGTAAGTACATGAACATACAGCCTTTTGCAAAAATTATGAGAATTGTCTAAATATCTGAATATCATAATATCCATATCCATATATTGTCCGGAACACGCAGGTTTTCTAGAATAATTCATTGTTGACATTGAGAAAATGTTCAGAACTACGGATAAGTCCGTCGCCAAAAAAAACTAAACAACAAAGACAAGGGACTAAGGGCATCGCGCAGGATCATGCACTTGATATTATGATATTTAGATATTTCAACAATTCTCATAATTTTTGCAAAAGGCTGTATAGATATGGATATGATAAGTGATTAGATATATCCATGAACGAATGGATAAATACAGAAATAAACTTGGCGAGAAATTAAACAGAATTCTCTATCTTTCCACTCAAGCAATATATTCTACTTACAATTGGCTCCGAGTGAAGTTGCTCTCTTTCTATATCACCCTGTTCAAAAAACTCTCCAGCGACGAGCTCCGCTGTCTAAAAGATATTGCAGTGCATTTTAATGTTCAATCAATTTTATGTGATAAAGTATACAACGGAATTGTTTATAGATGAAATAAAGATTTTTTTTCAATAAACGTATAGAGTGTCTCTATAACTTCAGTGCTTTGTACAAAGATAAATTTTGTACAAATTGACGAAGTGAGAATAAGCGCAAGTAGCGGCTTTTACTATTGCAGCCAACGTTTCTCCTTACATCCGAGGGTGTCAAAACTTATGAAATGCGAGAAGAATGATGCATCCATGGGCGTGTTGCAAAATACAATAGAGGTGGCTTCACTGAGAGATATTGGGGATATCGATAGCGTGGGACAATTAAGTGTGCAACATGTATTCGATTAGCCACGACTTCACATGTTTCGACTTTTATGCGGTCCTTCATGTCTCTGATATTATTTACAGCGCTTCCTTTGGACTATATATACAGCTTAACAATCGCGAGGCGTAGGCGAGTTCAATCATTTTAACGGTCATGCCATAGCATGCACTTACCGATTCTTGTATATACCAAGGCTTTGTAATAGCTGCTACATCACACACAGTCATCATCATTGCTCGTAAAAGCTCTTTCTTGGAATCACTGCTCCAGTCCGCGTCATGTTCGACCACTGCTTTCTCAAAATTACCACGCTTTCTGTTTCACACACACACAAAATCAAGGACGTTTAAAACTATCCTAGAAGAGCTAAAAAACGATGGAATACTAGCTGTTACTTACTGGAAATAGAGAGCCAGGTCAGTTGAGAGGATAGCATGCTCAAGAAGCTTGATTACACGGCGATAATCGTCAGATGATAACTCTGAAAATATGTTATTACCCTAGAGAAGGCAAAAGACACTCTACCTTAGATCATTAGGGATCTAGAATTACCAGGAATGTTCAATTACATTTTTTACTTATATATTGTGTATTGTCATATGATAAGATTATAGATATGAGATGTATTTCGTATATCAATTTGTAATAACTTTGATATTTCAAATGTATAAAAATGAAGATTGGGGGATATGCTGTATACCCAACACTGTTTTTAATAATTTCAAGGAGTTTGAATCACTCCATCAGTACAGCTAACGTTACTCTATCTGGTGGAGTAACTTGAAAGAGGGTTAATTCTACTCTACAATGCAAGTGTTTTTTTTCTCCAGATGTTTTTAAAAATCAATTCGGAAAGAGAGTGAAAATTATTACTCCAAAAGGGGTTCAAAATTGCTCTTAGAAGACGAGTTAAAATTACAACTCCAGTGCAGTTAAAATTGGTGGGCTTAAATCTACTCTAGAAAAGTAGTTATCTGGTATATCAGCTCCTTGAAGATAACACTTCATTTGCATACTAATACACAGTCATACAATTCATTAGTTTTAGCAGTAGCGTACCTCACTGTTAAGAATCATGATACAATGGTCAAAATGGTGATGTTCCATTGTCGATGTGCCATATAACTGAGCCAAAGCTGACTCGGTCCTAAAATAGCACATCACAACACTAGTTAGCAATGAAATATTTAAAAAAGAAAGCGCGCAAATGGATTGCATAGGCTCACGGTAGTACGAATGGGATGAAGAAGAAGGTTTTTTTAAAAAAAATCACAGTAATGAAACATTGATCAATCCCTTTTTTCTCTGGCCGCTACATTTTTCTGCACATTGATCGTGTCATTTACTGGCCCAATATTAAGCGCCCTTGGACCCATCAAGGGGCGCAAGAAACAGCGGGGATGCGCTTCAGGTTTGCAACAACACCAACGACAATGAGAAAAACAGCAACAACATCAACAACAATAACAATAATAACAACAACAACAGCAACAATAATAACAACAGCAACAGCAACAACAACAACACTAAAAACAAAAAAATGGTGTGATGGAAGTTAGGCAAACGTCTTGCGGAATATATAGAGTTTTATTGAATTCGAAAGGAAAATCAAGAAAAGTCGACTTACTTGGATTGAAAGGCGTTGTTTGTTCCTCGATGATCAAGATCATGACAGAGACATGCAACAAGGAGAGCAAAACACTCGATTTCCGTGAAATATTTTATTAAATCGCCAGTCTGATGAACAAAAAAGCACATAAGAAAATAGTTGTCAATAATACGACCGCCATCTTGAATTATATTATGGGGTGTTTAGGTGGCTGAAGCACACCTCATATTACAATATTATTATTGACTCACCGTTAAAATAGTAAACATGCTCTGTGCTACATTGAAGGCGTGTCTCCAGTTGTGGTAAGTGACAGGTCGATAATTCTTCTTAACACTAAGCAGCCACCGAAAAAGAGTCTGTAAAAGAATTCAGCATAAATGAAAACTTCGCATTAAAACTATGCTAGGCGTATCTAAGTGCATCGTTTCCTTTGAGCATTTCAACAATCTGATTGAAGAACAGATACTATGGAGTTTCGGGAGAAGTATTGAAGAGATGAGCCACCTCATTCCTGCTAGGATCTTCTAGACCGCCCAGCTCCGCGAACTAGTAACGACTCGACTGCTCTATTTTCGCATGGTGACAGTGATGATGCTATCCAACAGTGCAACATGCTGACTGGATTTTGAAGTCTTTTATACAATCAATGAAACATGTGACATTCACGAGGGGAACAAGAAAACATTACTGCATTTTTATATACTTTCCTTTATGAATCCTAACTTAAATCTCATCGATTTTTTAGTGGAAATTACCATTGAATAATGGACAGTTTGTTTACCTCAGATTTGATGTGAAAAATTTCCAAAATATCGAGCTCCATAAACATTCTAACAGACGCAAGTAGAGTTTCATCATCGGTCAGCTTCATGTCGTCAAATTCAAACGTATAGATTTCATATTCCTTTGCAGTTCTTATTTTCTGACTCTGAATATTAAAACGGAGAAATCTAATGTAAGAATATAACACTAGTACCACAAAAGCAGCACAAGAGACTTCTTCATAGCCCTCTTTGCCATCATGAAAGGTAACGTACACAGAAAGTGAAACGACCAGTGCTGAATGTGCAATCATTAAAACTTTTTATATTCATACGAATCAATTATGTCTATCTTAACTGTCGTCTCACTTCGATGTAAAGGCACGATAACATTTTATGGTGGCTCAGAGAAGTGAAAAGGTCCCTAGAAATTCCTCATTTAAATGGCACTTGTTGCATGGCGTGCGGTTCGTTGCTTCTACTGCTGTTTTGTTTCAAATAGACAAGTTATCATCATGATCATGATTTGTCATCCTTATTGCTATAATCCTCGTCGATATTAATCATTATCATTATCACAATTATAATCATATCTCACCGTAATTCTCGACACTTCGTTCGGCTGTGCAGTAGCGTGGTAAGACAAAACCTCCATTGCTACTGACTGTTTAGCGAGAAGTTTACAGGCCTGCTCGTACAACATTGTGTTATGAATTCCTAGGCCACAGAAGATTGCAAACGCCTGCAAAAATACCAGACAGGCAACGGTAAGTTCGATTCAGATACAGGGTAAAACATTGTTTGGCAAGAAACTTTCTCTCACTCAAAAGTACCTTGCCTTCTCGGAAAGGGAAGACTGAAGAATGTAACATTCACAAGTTAAGACAGTTAAGAATGATCATTTTTTTGGTAAAATTGGTCCGGTTTTCTGGGATAACAGGCAAAGTAGAGATGATTTTCCTAATAAATGTTATTCCGGTTGAAACCGGACCAAGCGGACTAGTGACTACTGCCCTGGTTCGGTCATGTTGTCTGTTTGTGATTGGTGGTGACATTACCTCAAATAAGCTTTCATCAGAATCATAAAAAGGTTTGCCATCGACTTTATTTAACAACTGTGCAACACCTGTAAATCAGTGAATTGCGCATAAATATGTGAGTGATAGCTATTCGGGTATAGTCGACTCCCTCTGACATGCAAATTAGATGGCATCATTTTGCTGTAATTACTGGATTACTTATCATTATTATATTAAATTAGCATTTGTTTTCATTTTAGATATTATTAGTCCATAATGCTAAGCTATATAAACAGTTATTTAAAACAGTTATTTATCTGTGAAAATATGGATACCACATACTTACCAACAATTCTTTGCTCTCTATCAAAGATTGGCATACATAAAATAGACCTCGTCTTGAAGCCGCACTCTCTGTCGGCCTGAAAATGATTTAACTTGCAATCAAACAAACATATATCTGTATGATTTAATCCAAAAATCTTTTTAAGCAGGGCTTTTTGCATTCATCAAGGTAGTGGACAACTTGCAACGTGATGAAAAAAAATTATGCTTAACGACAGTATCATTCAATGACAGTTAATTTGCAAAACAACCACAGCTAGCTACTCTATGGCTGATTGTTTATGAAGTCAAGTCTAAAACTAGCTAATCAGATTTGATACCAAGTAAACATAATTGATAAAACTTTGAATGAAGAAGTGTCGATCTCAAACTTACCTCTGGATTGAACCGACTATCGGCGTAAGCATCTGGAATATTGAGAGCCTTAAAAGAAAAAAAGGCATTGTCATTCTAAATTAGTCTCTATCTCCGCCGTGGCAACTTTTTCTTTTCCTTTGGCGTCGTGTCCAGTCCTGTGTTGTTTCCACAGGGAGTCCAAAGATGGAAAAAGCGACAATTTGCATGCAGAGAACGCTAATAGGCACTCGCACTTTTCAAAGTCCCTTAAATATCTCCTTAAAAAGCGGTTTTACATTTTCTTTTTAGAAAAGGCACAAATAATTCTATTTTCGCTTAGAAAAAGCCAAAAAAGTTTAGGAGAATTGTTTTAGTGGACATTAAAAASTGCGAGGACTACAACTACCATCATCCTTTGCTAAACAAAATGGCGTCGCTACACATTGCCTATAATGATGGATGGCGGATGGACGATGTGTGAAGCATTTACCTGTCCTGTTGTTGCGACTAATGCAGCTATCCCACTGTTCATTGACCAGTGAGTATTTGCCGATCTGCAATGGAAACGATGAATTAGAAATTACAAACACATTTTTGCAAAATATTATGAACAATGATATTTTTATTTGAGTATATTTACTTATTAGCAGCGCCTTCTTCGGCTCCAAGGTGAAGATCAAAAGCTTTTGAAAATACGATTCCCTGCAACAAGAACAAGGACGTATTTATGAAAATTAAGCCATAAAGCATTATCTCAACGTGTTTGCTGATGTGTCAATATGAAAATTAAATACTAAGATTTTCCATTGGTTAGCCATTTCGGTCTGAGAGCCTGAGGATCCCTACCTTATTGTTTTTCACCGAAGCTTCATCAATTAGAAAAACCATGCATCTTTCACAGTTTAGAAGTTCCTGCGCTTCCTCCATGATGTTATGTACACATTGGTCGAGATTTGACTGTTCTTCAAATATTCCTTTAGCGAGTTGAAGAAGCACCTAAAAGATCAGACAGTCCGCCATGTAGTCACAGTTCAGTGGTCCTGTCCACCATTAATTATATCATACCGAGAGGTATGGACACAAATTCATATTATTTTTCACGGATTTATAAGGTCTCTTGTGATTATTGGAATAAAACAATGCTCATTGCCTTCCTCGTTCTTAAATTCTATGGTTTTCTTTTATTCAACATGTAGCTAGTGAACCGATCGGATAAAATCTTGAAAAGCCGTGAAAGGCTACCAACAAATTCAGTATATATTCATTTTCAAAAACTAGTATAGTTGCCAACAAGTTGAAAAAAATCGTTGGCCTTGATTTTCTACAAATGTTCTGTGAATTTTGCCATTCAAAAATTTCCCTAACGATGACTTCTTCACAAGAAATGTCCTCGCCAGTTTTGCCGACGTCAGCCTTTTTATAAAACCGAAGCTCTATGCTACATGTCTATTCTTCAAGGCAAACAGAGAGGATGCCGGGACTACCATGTCACGTGACCTACCTGGTTTCTTTTGTATTCTTGTACAGAAATCTCGAAAAGTTGAGCATTGGTGATACCGATGCCGCAAAATGTTAAGTAATTCCTAAACACCTAAGGAATGGAAAAAAGAAGAAGAATTAGTTTTTAATGCATTGTAAAAACATGTTTTCTAATAAAAATGTAAATACCTCCTCGTCCTTCTCCGTAAAATGATGGGTTTTAGACTTTTTGTTGATAATTTGAGCAACTCCGACGACCTAAAACATGAAATAGAGCGATTACAAAATACCTATTCGATTAAAAAAAATTAATCTTTTACGTCGCAAATATGTATTTCCAACTCTGGGAGGCCGATTCAGGACAGGATTTCCTTGACAGATTTGGACACCCTCTGAACTAAAGTCTGGTTCGGCCTCTGTTGAGTTTTCTGACGAGACATCGTTCTGTTTATATGCAATAAGTATTTCTTTACCTCTCCGTCATGACTCTTTATCGGCATGCATAAGATACTGTGAGTTTTGTAACCAGTTGCTTTGTCGATCTCACGATTGAAGCGAGGATCCTGTAAACAACACAGAAACATATACAAGAAATATGAAGAATTCATCCTGATAATGATTATGATGATTATTATGATTATTATGATTTAAGTTAGCAAAGTCTGTCACATGACACCAGCCGTGTATTGTTGTTATCACCATTTCACTGACACACTTGGAGAAGAAAGGGAACTTTGAATGTAAGATTAATTGCTTAATTGCAATCTAACATTATTTCCTTTCACCCTTCCCATCTGTTTTTGGATGATTTTGCCGGATAGAAATTAACATGCTTACTGCCAAAATTACACGTGGGAAGGAGGGCCTGGGGTGAGCATTCTTGTCATATATTAAAACAGAAACATCCACTTAATGGTCCAAAGGCTTTTGAAAATATTTTATTTATCATAAAAATAGAGTCTTAAGATTATGTAAGTAATAATAAATCAATAATATTAAAACATACGAAAACGTCTTAAAAGTGTGAATAAAATTAATGAAATGCCACCAAATAAAACACACATCGAATTTTCATGAACTAACATAAAAAAGGTTGAAAAACGAGGACAGTTTTTGGTACGTTTACTCTTTTGTTTTGTAAAGTGAAAACAATTTTAGTTAGACCTACTATACATAGCCGCGACATCTTATCTTAGCGAGCGAGACTTATGCTACAATAGTAGAAGTCATATTAGACTGTGGTCAATATTCCATGACATATAGCATAGTAATTTAATTCAGGTTGAGAATTTTAAGCCTTTTAAAGCAGCAGATGTTTTGTCGCTTTTTTGAGAAAAGTGGGTGGATTTCAATTTGTGATCAAATTATTAGTACTTTGTCGTTTGGAAGATTGTACAAGTGAAACAATTGAGAGGACTGCCAATATTGCCTAACAATAAAACACCTGGATGAAACGTTGAACTTCACTGCGTCGAATTTAGATTGGGCCAAATAACTTATGTTTGTAAGGCCAGGTCAGATGCCATACTTAATATGTCTACCAAGAAAGAAAAAAAAACACCCTCAATTTATTAATAGCTGGAGCCTAAGGCAAAAAGTCGTGTTTGATAATCGAGTATTCAGACGTGGGCCATTCATTCAAAGAAATTAATACGACTGAAGTCAAGACGTGCGTTGCCCCAGGTTTCAAGCCATGGTGCAGTTTTTTTTCCTTTTTTTTTAACTTTTTGATTATTTTATTTATCGTTCAGTCTTTTTATTCTTTTTTTAATTCTTTTGTTTTTTTCACTTTTTTGGTTTGTTTACAGAGAAACTCCTACACCGTTCAATTTGTATGATTGTTTATCGTTTGACTTAAGTGAAAATAACACTAAAACTATATTCGTTTCATGACTAAAAGCGTGGATTCCGCCCCAGCTCTTTTACGATAATCGGCTTAAAGTATAGCTGAAAACCTGGCACGCACCTAGTACTCAGATTCAATAAGCTAGGCAAGTAGAACAACACGAACTGTCATAAGTTGTGATATTAAGATGAAACATATCTGTTTCTAGAATATATATCATTAGAAATGTGTGTGTAATATGTAGAATGATGTGTATTCTTGGGTCAAAAAATTGTAATCATTGTTTTCAAACAGATAATGTACACACTTTCTAATGATGATAAGCTAGAGTTTTGAGAGTTTAATCATAGATCGAGTATTAGAAAGAGAATACTTGGAATTACTACTTCGACAATATGGCTGTGGACCACTTGGACAATATGGCGGCCATTATGTGCCCTTATGCCAGGGAGCATATTCAAAAAGTTGTTTTACGTGGAGTTTGGTGTTAATTAACGTTCAATTCATCCCAACCCAATTTTTTTAAAGGATTTTCACGAGGAACATGAAGTCATGGCCACACAAAATTGTCTTACAATTTTTTTTTTTTTACTTTGGCATGGACTCACCGCATTACATTGCGGTTTAAGAACGTTTTCCTTCACAGAAATTTCAGGCTAACAGTTTTGGAATATTTTTTTATTTTCATCCCTGTTTTTAATATTCATTTCTTGATACCATTTCTTGCTAATTGAATGAAAGTCAATGTCATTGAAAAACTGAAAAGAAAATCGATATTTTTATTACCTTATGCAGACAATTCGGTAGTTGCCGCCGTATTGTATGTCAAGTGATCTATTTTGATAGGACATAAATTTGGTATATACAGCTTTTTACCTGGCGCTGATCAACATTCAAATTAGAAATTTTTTTAAAGATATTAATTAAAAAGATTTTTAGAGAAACAAATATATACAACCTAATATTTTTCAAGAGAATTCGGCCATTTGAATCAAAATATTCCGCGTCCAGTGGAAAACAAAAATGCCGGCTTTTAAAGATTGTATTGTCTATTTTATTATTTTTTCATTTCTATTTTATTTTTTTTTTCTCAAAAAAAGGGTTTTTGGGAAATTGAAAGCTTAATTCAGACAAAATGATATATCAGTTTCCTCCGAACAAAACCACGCCGCTAGAAACAAGTTTTATAATGAATGCAATACTCTTAGAAGGGAAATGTGTTCTATAGGTATAACTGTAGCTATTTATTGTTGATATGTAATGAGCTTTGTAAATCTAGTGGATTAACAACAGTTCTAATTTTTGGGCGACTATTTTGTAATGCATAGATTTCATATACATATGAAAACCAGAATAATTAATTAAATTAATCTTGAAAAAGGAGATAAATCGGAAAACATGAAAATTCACACAAAAGAAAAGATGGAATAATGTGAAGCACCAATTTTGGTTATTCCGCCCAAATGTTTTGTAGTTTCATTCTGGTTTAATTTCATGCTAATTTCATCGCCTTCTTAATTTTTTCGCACTTCCTGTTTTTTCATGTTTACGGAATTAGTGCTTTATAAAATCGTCGCCGGAATTGTTGATTTTCCTTTCCTTGTTAAATTAACTAAATTCTGGATATGTATAAAAGGACAATTCTAAACTTCTAAATTAAATTTTCCATTGAAGTTTTTGGAGCTGGTACAATTACTCTAAAATTACTCTAAAACAAGGAAACCTCTCTAGTGTGAACGCCTAAAGAACGACCAACAATGTATTTCGTCGTTTCTTTGAGTACACTATCCGTAGTATTCAACGTTTTCTTGAATAACTGAAAATTTACAAAGCTGTTTTGCCTTAACAATATAGCCAGGAAAATGCCCTTCCGGACAACAATTGAACCAACCAATCAAGCTTTGCCTAAATATTTTAACCTTGTTTAGATTGATTTATTTGGTTGTCTTATGAATACAAGGCCTTTTGAGATATTTTCCAATCTTTCTACTTTTACTCCAGTAAACCTATTTGACTGTGTTATATCTTTTTTATTTTCATCTTTCCCATCGAATGGATGTTTATATGATTGTATATTTATCTATGTTTTACGATTGGTATGTTTTGGCTACTTTTCTTCTTTTAATTATTGCTTTTTAATCAAACCCATTTTTTTTTCTTGTCGCGATCAGTGTTTTTTTCCTGTAGAAAAAAGTTGTGGTCATTTCTTAATAACATCAGCCAAAACTAGGCCTGTCTGAGGATATTGGGAGCCATTAATTACAAGCTGCAATCAGCTTTGGAGTCTTTCTATAGTATTGAATGGTATTTTTGACTCATAAATTAAGTTAGCTGGCTTAAAGACGATCGACTACATTAGACAATCGCTTTTGTTTTAGAAAGTGATGAGTTTAGAAGAGAAAAAAGCAAATTAACACTTCCTATTTATTTCATTTCGGAACTATCAGTCAATTAGATTTTATTAAATTGATCTATGACTGCGTTTTTGTGCGGTTAGGAAACAATTATGAGCGGATTGTCGTGGCTTATTGGTGAGATGAAGTTAAGAGCACCTATAGGTGTTCACATCAAAACACAAATTAACGTCTCATGTAACCTTTACAAAGCTGTGCTTCGTCAACGAAAAATGTTTTAGTATAAATGAAATAGAGCACGCTTTTGGGACAAGTTTGAGCGCACTTAAGAGGAATCTATATTTTAAAGAAAAAGCGATTCCAGATCACTTCAAAAACCATCTTTTTATCTTCACATCGTCTAAAACCACCGATTTGCATCACGCCTTAAAGATAACAATATAACCTTTTCATCGATTGCGGTAATTTTTGTGTTTCGTCGGCATTTTTTTAGTGGATTAAGGAATATTGGACAGATATATTTTCACGAAATCATTTTAAACTGTTAATTTGGACCAACAAAAAGATATGAAAAACAACTATTTAAACTCAAGAATATTGAAATAAAAAAAGCCTATATATGTATTGCAAACAAGAAAAATTAAGTTGTTTTGTGTATAATATGTGTGATGACTTTTTTTAATTTTTATTTTTTATTAATCAATTATTTTTTGATAAGTTTAATGCTATCCATACATTTAAAGTGTTAAGCTAGTTTATTTATAATTATTAGTTTTATAGAACTATATTAGTTATGTTTATTATGTATAGTCCAATCAGGTTTGCCCTCGATTTTGGTCACATGCATGCATGATCGATCTTTTGTACGTTCACGTTATTTTATTTATCAATGTTCCGCCGATGTTTTATTCATCACTGCAAGGCTGCATAATGTTTGTCGACACGACAACCACAACAATAACAACAATGACCTCCATTGCATGTTCTTTGGGTTACAATTGATAACAGAAATACGCAAACAATCCAATTTTTTTATTAAAAACGTATTGTCATTCATAGGCCTAGAATGCGAATTTTAAATGTACGCAGGTGTACTTTATGGCAGGCTTTGTGTATACAACCCCATAGACATGCTTTCTATGTTTTTTTATAATAATAAACATTAAGATGCGCATATCTAGATTAATATAGAGAACACTACGCAAGCTCCTTAGAATATTACTATATTACATCGAATTTTGACTCTTTGACACCTTTTAGAATTTTTCTCATTTATCTGCTATTGGTCAAAATAATCATCAGTATTGACGATTCACAAGTCAGATAAAATATTCACGTCAGTCCTTCAATGGATTTTTAAACGGCTCTCCAGTGGTTCTGTGTTTTTATTTACTATGCCTCGGAGGTCTACCGCTCATATTTTATCTATAACTTTTACATTTTCGTTATTATATTGAACTCCTCATAACAAATAAGCGATCATACTGTAATCAAATCCCACGAGAAACTCATTCGATGTTTCTATAGAAACAGTACTCTAACATAAGGTGCCCAATCAGTCAGAAAGGATTCATTTACGATTAAAACAAATTATCGTCTTGTCTTATTAAAAGACTGAACAAATCTATCGATAGAATCTTTGATCTTTACCGTGATATACGAAAATTTAGCCATAACACGCTTATTTTGACTTATCGATTTTTTCATACATTTCCTTTAATTTTTATATTCATTTTTTCGTGGGAAGTTTATGTAAAAATCCTTATTTTCTCATTATGACAGCTGCTGATACGTACTTGCTTGTTTTGTTTTCTAGCTAATGTCGTTGTCATTTTAACTCCTAAACCTTAAAGCTTATAATCTACCCGTAACAACATTTGTATGAGGGTGAATAAAATTATCAAGATACATTGTTCTTTATTTTATTCCTCTCCCGACTTAGAGTCGCATTATTTTTTAGCCGTTTTAGTTTTAGCAGCCATTTTCGATACCTTAACAAAAACCCTTGGAGTAATCTTTATTTCTTTGTTTGATGTAATCCCGGGTTTATTTTGCCTTTTTATTTTGAACCGTATACCATTAGGGATTAACCAAAACACTAATAAGTTCAAATAAATCGACTAGAATCTATTTATTGTGAGCTTTTACGTGGATGTTTTCGTGAGAACTGCGAGAAGCCGGAAAGATTACGAAATAAAGACGCGAAAACACCGAGGTTTAAAAACAAATCGAAGGAGTATACGAAAACGTTACGGAAAATTCGGCTACACTGTTGCCAAGGTTACTATACCATAGTCGAATAAAAGAATAGTACTAGGGGTCCTTTGTGTTAATAATTGTGTAGAATACTCGCTATTGATATAATTTGAGTGCTTAATTTCTATAAGGATGAGATTTTTTTTCGTAAACCAACATACTTCCGATTGTGAATCCATTCTTAGTGGAGTGAATACTAGGCCCTATATCGAACAGGGAAAACCCGGAGTGGAATTTTGTTTCCTTCACACATACATGAACATAGCTCGCATCGGATCACTAAGCAATGTGCAACTACTATACATCCAAACAACATCGAAGTGTATTAATTGCGACCTTAAAATGTTACATTCACAGTATGAACAACATATTTCTAGAACAACAGGCTTTTGTTTTTACAGCAGCTGGTATCTTAGTCACTGGTTTCACTTACCGAGTAAGCATCTTTGATATTAATGGCTTCACCAGATTCTGCTGCTGCTCCAGCTATTCCAACTCCGAAAGGAACAGAAATTTCATCTTCTTCGGATCGAAGTGATTCCTCTAGTGTTGATTTTGATGTGACATCAAACAGTTTCGATACTAGCTCCCTGTGTTCTTTTTTACCTCGAACAAGAAAGAGTGAGCAGCGGTCGGCTTTTGTCAAAATACTGACATTCACAAGGATTTTATGACTCAGCCTGTTTATATCCAATTCGTTAGCTATGTCACGTATAAGTTCCATAAACAATTCCTTTTCATCCATGGACTCCAAATCAGATGGATTCCAATTTTTTCCGCTACCTTCCGTCTTTCCAAGACCGGTTTTCAGTTTCAAGTCTGTCACTGATCCCATTAGAGATTTTGCCCTGTTCGATTTGACAAGACTTTCTCTCTTAACTTCCATCGCACCTCGCGCGCCAGGCCGATGCGACCGAGAGACCATCCACTGATCAACCATTGACGATGTCGCTTTTCGCTCAAAATAACTCTTGGCAAAGTCTTCATTTTTGTCCAGAAACTGCTCAACAATCGCCGGAGTCAGCTCCTCTGCGTCAGAACTCATTCCTAAAATTCACGTTGTTCAAGTGGCTTCTTCTGATAATATCCTTTCCGATTTCTCCTACGGCGGAAAATAGAAGATCGTATCCATGATGTATGGAGATTTTCTTAAACACTTTGTTGTTGAGTAAAGAGGACCTTCATTCACTTTAACAGATCGAGCATATTTACTCGTACCTGTTCCGTTCTGTTTACATTAAGAGTGCCGAGTTAATTTGCATCCCAGTCTTAAGTTATTCCACAATTCGTGACGTCACAAATTTAAGATGGACGTCTAGTAATTAGCGAATTAGAATCGCGCGCTCTAGGCTCGCGCGCAAGCTCTCCTATTGACCAGAAACACTGTATCTGTCAAGCAAAGTCAGTGATTTTTAGCTAGACAAAATAACATAAATTTATTTCATTCAAAACAAATGCTCAAATCAACTATTTCCGTCATTCAAGACTCAGAAAAATGCATCTTGTGGACTCTTAATTCGTAAAGGTCATGATCACCGATGAGTTCAGTAGGCAGGAGAGAGATGTGTTACTGAAATCCATCCATCCTTGCACGCTAGGAATTTTGATCTATATATAGTCAAATCGCAGCAAATATCTTACTGTTAAAAAAAAACCGAAATAAAAATCACAAGAATTAAAACCTGTGTGGTCCAATGCAAAAAGTAAGATAATAATTTACAGAAAATATCTATGGATGGACTAGTTGAGATCTTATCGATTTCCTAATTTAATTCAACTGAGAAAGATCTTTTTTGTATCACATCCTGATTTTTCAGCAGCTTGCCCGGTAAACTAGAGCGCCGACGGCAATAGTTTGTCTTAGTGGAAAGACTCATTAAAAAGGAGGCATGATAAAGGGAAAGATATAGTAATTTTGTATAGTTTTAATCATAAAAAGGTTCCCTAATGATGGATTTTCAATTTCCGTTCAAAATCCTAAGTAGCCATATGTGTGTGTTACAGACAACAGTCTGTTTTACCCAAATGGAAAACTCGTCATCAAATGTCTATCAATTTTCTTCTCTGGAAAAAGGCGGCCTACTAATGAGTACAAAACACATGCTATTTTCGTTGAATTTTACATGTGCCTAGTTCATTTATCAAGGAACAAAAGCATTGGGGCGGTAGTTGTGTTGAATTCGTTTGACAGGTTTCAGCTAGTACTGAAGTAGCTCTAGTTTCTCCTATTTTCGCTCTTATTATCAGCTTTGAATTTGTCCCATATGTAATAGCCGACTTGCGAATTACGCATCAATAGTCACATACAAAGGAATCAAGACGAGGCGCCGTGCTAAAGACAATAGATTTTTCACAAAAAAGCACGGCGCCTCGTCTTGATTCCTTTGTATGTGACTATTGATGCGTAATTCGCAAGTCGGCTATTAAGTCACAGTTTCGGGGGATTTTTCGAATCAGTTTTATCTTGTCTTAAAAGATGTCGCGCCGGCTATACTGATGGTATGGACAATCCTGATGAGAAATCTTTTTTTTTGATATACCAACAACATCCGAGACTCTGATCGGTCACCAGATTAACATTTGAAATGTACAGCCATTTAATTGTCATTTTCATTGTAGACATTTTCAAAGTCAAGAGAGATACTTAAAGATGTTTGAACCAAAGGTGATATTATCTGGAATAACTCCACAGAGACCATGGTATACTTCAACTCAGTGAAAATTAAGGGCTGGTCATTTGACTTTTGCGAGGGGGGGAGTGGAGGGAATTTGGTCGGTGCAGGAATTTTTGTTTTGTTTTGATCCCAAGCTAGTGTCTCGAAACTTATTTGGTAAAATACTAAAAAGATTCTAGTAGAAATTTCGCCTTGCAGGAATTTTTTTCCCCTCGGACCGTGCAGGAAAATCATTAAATAAATATTTAATTATCCGTCTTCCCTACCCCCCGTCTTCCTTCAAAAATCTATAATGGTTAGTTAGCGTATAGAATATTCGCCTCTGCGCCTCTGAGTTTCTCAGGCATACACTTTTGAGATATTACGTTCGGTTTCACTGACGGATTAAGATCTAGAAAAAGCAAGTGTTTCATATAATCTAGAGTCAATACTCGGCAACTTTCGCGTAAACTACATATTGCACTGCGCAAGTAACTATCCTATTTGCTTCATATTTGAACCGAAGTCACCAAAAACCGAAACACATCTTCGATTGTTTAGACTTCTAAAGATGAACAGAAAATACAAAAATCGCCAAGAAATTAAAACGCATCATTGCCGAACGAAGCTTACCGTTGGCCAGATCTTTAACTATTAAAACATGCATATGAAACTGAACAAGATGTCGGCTCAATTTGCGGTACGGCAGCAATATGTTTGTCAGCCTTTAGTCAAATACAGTATCTAATTCTCATTAGTGCGCTTTCTTCACTCAACATGTGAAGTAATCTTTTAAATCTGAAGAGATTAAAATCTTTTTTCAAAGAGCTTAAACAGCGCAGAGTGCTACCCATGCTACCTTGCAATCAGGCTTAGCAATCAGAAGTTTATCAAGCCAGTCGTTTTACTGAACTTCTGGACATGTATGTACCGTTATATACATTCGCGCATTATAATATTATAATCTCCCAATTTTTACCCATCTAACAATAAGTTTAAAACATATATCGATAAAAGGAAAAAAATATCACGCGTCAGCATTTGAATGTTTTTTTTGCATGGCCTAAAGCATCGCGCAGCAACTGAAGTTGTTTTCAACCTAACTGTATAATATAATATCGGAAACGCATCATAGCGTATCGAGATCGTGCCGCTGTAAAATCTGTGTGTTACATATACAGCGCCTTTCTGTATTTCGGCCGCTAATTCTTAATGAGAAAGTCAAAATACAATGCAGTCTGTTTAATATGAAGGATAGATAACAAAAAAGAGGTGAAAATTAAAAACAAATACTAAATTAAATATAAAATACCTTTTCACTGCAATTATGTCTTCCTTCTTTTACTCTGATTTTACTTGATTGCAGATCCGGAGAGCGCCGGATGTAAAATAACTTCTATCATGAATTCGTAAGCGAAGTGTTTAAATTGAGCTCATTAATGCCGTCTATATGGCCAACGTGGTGTTTTCTGAACGAGTTATTTGTATTATTTTTCAATGGCTTCTTCTCTTTTCCATACCGCAACCAGTTAAAATACGATATCCCTGTAAAGTCATGTCCCGAGGCCGTGGTTTGATGAGCGACTAGAAGTGTCTGGGCTATTTTGGTTTCAACATAAAACCATATATCATATTTTTCTATCTAGTTTCGTTTTAATGAATTTCAATTTCAGTTTTTTGTTTTATTAGAAATGACGGTTAGTCCCGGCCCCCAAGAGTGAGACACTAATCAAAAGCTGAATAATTGAAAAATAATGAAGGTATAATAATGAAATAGTCACAAAAGAAGACGATGTGACGTTCTAAGGGAGAAGCTTAACAATGCAAAGCCTAGACCTAGAGTCTTACAACCGGCTCAATTCAAAGCTAATTCTCTCCAAACATCTCGTTTCTAGGCACTACGTGATGTATGTTACCCTCGCCAAAGACGAACTAATAGTATACTAAAATACTATATTTCATAATAATATATTTTTTTGCATTTTTATTTTTAATCATTTGCAATTAAGTTAAGCAAGTTAGTATTTTAAAAATATATACTTTATTATGAAAACAACGTCGAAGTTCATATGCAAAACATTTTGCTAAAATTTGAATCAGTTAAAATTTCGATCGTCAAAAAGTGAATTAGCGCTGGTGCTGAATAAGTTCATCTTGAAAACTGCACCTTTAATTAGTTCCAAATGACCTTGGTCGGAATAAAAATATATCTTTTATGACCCAGAAATGATAAATTATCGATAAATGTTTATTGAGAATATAAGAGTCATACTGAGTACTAGAACAAAGTATAAGTTATAACACAGCTTGCGGTCTCGTGACCTACTTCATGATTAATAAATTTACACTGGTTCAGACTACAGAGACTAAGCTCTTGCAGCTACAAAGAAAGAATACATGCCGGAGTCATGTATTTGAACACGTTTTTACTTCCACAAATCATACTAGCCACCGACTAGTAATCTCTCCTTGTACTGGAAAAGCACTTTTGCAGACTTTTGAGGTGCTTCATATCCAAAGTTCTTTGCTTCTCGAGTGCGATCATGCCCAGTCTCTCTCATTTAGTTTCTACGGATCATTATCTACACCCCTACCACGAGAATACTTTGAGTATCAAGAAAGTTGGCAAAGAATTCTGGTACTCATCATGAGTTAAAGTATATTGTCAATTTCGTATGAGTGGGAAACGGACGGTACTGTACTGTGACCGTAATCGTACTGTAACCAAATTCTAGTGCCCCATTGGTTCACCAAAATTGTGCAGGCCAGGTGCGGTAACTGTGCGGTAACCGTGCGGTAACCGTGCGGTAACCGTGCGGTAACGGTGTCCCAATCATACGAAATCCGCTCTATGTAGCCATCGAGTAAATGAACCAATATTAAGACAATTCCATTCAATGATGTATCGAGATCGAATGCAAAACTTTTTTCACTACAATAATAGTAAAACAACAATGAATTAATAACCTAAAGAAGTAGTATGAAAAAAATATATACGGACAATTCGGTTAAACGATGTATAATGTAACAAGACAATATTAATGTTCCAAGATCTGAACAATGTCATTCAAAAACGTCTCACTTGAAGATTGCGTTGCATGACGAAGAAAGTTCTGGGAAGAGTCAGCAATTTACAAGAGACTAATCTAAATTCCAAAACGTAGTTGCATATCTAATCAAAGAATTTCCCCACAAAAGTTGTCCTTCGTTTAGCAGCCATATATGGTAATCTTACCTTATAGGGAAGGTTTTTGTCGATTTTCTCGACTTTTAAAGCTTGAAATCACCTGAAACTTGCAGACATTATAGCGAAAACACTAATATCAACAATCGGCCATTTTGTTTGTTTCCATATATGGCATGGATTCGCTAAAGGAAGCCCAAAACTAAAAGCACAGGGAACCCGCACGAATGACATACAATTCTTTGATATACGAGTTGCTTCACGAATGCAATGCTTCTCATTTCACACATTTCCAAACGCCATCTTGAAAAGTAACCGTGAGCCTTTGCATCAAAAGCTTGCAATGATGTCCATCTGTGAATAATTGAGCCAGATGTGAATAAATGGTATTTTTAACTGAAATTCAGGCACAACTACTGTCATTTGATGCAAGTAAGATGACATGGATACAGTAAAACAACTATTTCTTAATGACACTAAAAAAATCATGTTTATTGATGGCACGGACTACTCGAAAATTAGTAGCCTGCGTAGCGACCCTAAGGTGATTGGGGAGGGCCGGCCGAGCGCGGGGAGTACCAATCCCTTAAGGGCCGCTACGCAGGCTAGAAAATTAGGGTTAGTGTAGACCCGTTCAAGGAATTCTTCATTTTCACTATACGTCAGATCGGCCATCTTAGAGGAACTTCAACAAAGGATTCATTTTGATTTGTATCTATTGTTTATTCCTCGAACATGGCCGCCTGTCTTTTATCTTTTGAATCTCATTGGGGATAGTCAAAACGCTCAATTCAAATGCATTTTAAGGAGCGGTGAAGAACTAATTTCGTTATCAAGACCATATACTACGGTACAAACGAGGTACACGTTATGAACGCTTGCTATTTTTAGTGTGTTCATGACTTTATTTGATCTTTTTTTGGGATTTTTATAACTCCTAAATAGGGTTCAGTATTCCTGTACATTTCAATGACTTTATTTCGTAGGTTTTGATATAAAAAAATTCGTTTTTAAAGCCCAGAGGTTTAAATGTCATTGACTATACACCTATAAGGCACTTGAAACGTGTAGCTCCGTGCCAACCGTTGGAATATTCAAATCTAATTTGCATCTCATTTCCTTATTTGGAACAATTCAACTTACCCTAGCCAACCAAATAAGCACGAATCTGCACGAATTTGCGACAAAATGATTATAATACACTGTCAAAGTATATAATAGCTTATAAGTCGTTTATCATTAAAATAAATGTCTCCCTATCTCTCCTAATAAAATATCACAACCAAAGTTTTATTCTCTATTTCTATATACATGACGATTCTGCAAGAGGTCTTTGTGAAAGTTTGTATACTTTGACAGCTGTGAGAACTGGAGTAGGTGTTATATTAATAGGGCTTTAACAGTTTGCTTTGGCATAAGAAATTCTGATAATATTACTGTATACAGCAACACGAGTTTGTCTTTTTTGCCTGTGGAGAAAAAAAAATATATGATCAGGAATTCAGCGTGTAATGCCCATGTAAATATATTATGGCTTTTACTAAGGCATCTTTCAAGTAGTTGCTATGCTTAAAATGATTGACGATTCAACGAAACGTTGTTGCCATTGAAAACAACTCATTTTTCCTTTCTGTGATTCAAAAAATGGACTGCCAACAACAACAACAAAGTACTCCACGTACTGAAAAATATACCTCGAAACATGAGGACCTAACTTTATTTTGTCTTGTCATTTTGAACCACGATTTTGAATGCCGCCAGTCAAATTTTTGAATTTTGAAGACCATGAAAAGTGCATTCATTATTTCCGTACAGCTTCTTTCCAGGAAACAAATGATGATGTATAACTTTAGAAAAGGTTTCATAAACCTGTGAAAAACTAAAACTTTGATACAAGATTCACTGTCAAAAGGGTTTATGGAAACCACTCCCCGAAACGTTTTGTGTGAAGCATGTAATACACTACATGCACATCACAAAGTCTGCAGCAGCAATTGACTGAATTTTTTTTTTCCTTGCAAGAATCAGAACGTCATTTTCACAGATTATCGGTTAGAACGAGGGTTAGACAGTTTTAGGGTTAGGATTTGTGTTTGTTGTAGTTTTTTGTTGTTGTGGTCTTGACGGAATATGATTCTGAGTTTGAAGAAATAACCACAACCATGAAAAGTAAGGCTGTTCACACATGTCCAGATATTTCAAACCCACAAAGTTATCTTCATTACGTTAGGGCTATTGTTTACACGACCCCACTGAACTCTGGACGATGATCAATTTTCGTGTAAACGCACATAATACGCGCTCAAAAAATATATGTATTCGTTTACAGGTAGTCCCTCTCGCAGCTGTTAAGTGGCTCGTTCCAAGGTCTCCTTCTAGAATGAGATGATATGGGAACGAGCAACTTGATGTCTGTGTAAGTTTAGATGTAGCCTGAAACTATATTATTTTACTCACTGTTTTATAAAAGGCTTTAGACTGCATACTTAGACCCTCAGATTTCTCTACTAAATCATCTAGTTTTTCACCTCTCTCTAAAACAGTTTCAATGGTATTATGCTGGAAAGGAAAAGACAAACAGAAAATTAGTTCACTTTTTGAAATAATTTTTTCCCGAGATCTTGATGTACGGACCCAGTCCATTTTAAAACGTACAAAAAAAAAAAAAAAAAAAAAAAAAAAAAAAAAAARAAAAAAAAAAAAGGAAAACGGAGCCCAAGCCAATGCAGCACGCTTAGCTTAAATTTATACTTTCATTCATAGCATAATTTTATTTACATGTTTATCAATATAACCTCTAAAAGAGTCAACTGAGCCCAGTTGGGATTCCTGTGTCAAATACCACCTTTCAGTTCCAGGTCTTATAGTCCATAATTATCAACACAGGAAGCCCAATGGAGCTGAGTTGTTTCATATACCATTCTTTTGCAGTTGTCTGGTTCGGGGCTAAAATAACCCCCAAAAAATGTCTGCACTTACTAGAACTACTTTTGTTTCATCGAGCTCAGCTTGTACTTTAGTCATGGCATCTGCTTCTCTTGGATTCTGCAACATCAAATCAACATGGTCAGTTGCTGTTGTTCTTTTTGAACCATGAATACAAGGTGGAGAAATAGAAACCATCAGTTTACAAGTTCAACATAGTTGCCAATTAATTCAAGTCTGTCTGCATTCCAATTAACTTCTCCTGGCCTGCTTTTTGTGCTAGTATATAGGAAAGTACATTGCCAAAAATTATATAGGCCTTGTTCTCATCTGCAAACATTTTCTCTGCTGTCATTGGTGGAGACATGACGTGATAGTGCCTGCCCGAGTGGGGGTACTTACTATTATCAGTGCATAGAGCCCAACATTTTAGAAACTTTTGTTGTTGAATTATGATAAAAACAATTTATTTCACAGACAATTATATAATATGTACAAGTAGGATAAGTATTTATTTTTATATGTAAAGTATCTAAGATTAGAGTGCACATCACATAACCATGAAACAATTCTTAATATGTATTGCTAAATAAGATTTAGTTATCAACTAACTAAGAATTCAACAAAGCATAAACACAATGTCAATTATTTAAATTACTTTGTAGCATTGTTCTCAATTCTTAGTTAGTTGATAACTAAATCTTATTTAGCACTACATAGTGAAGAATTGCTTCATGCTTATGTGAATTGCACTCTACAAGCTCAACAAAAGTCTCAAAGGCCATTTTATCATCCTTCATGGTTGTGATGGGAACTAAAATGTTGGCCCATGACACAAAATCCAGAGCATTCAAGGATTCCAAATTCCAGGCTTCTGCATTAGACAGATGGTTGCAGATCATGGGTTACACATTCCATGAAAAGTTTGGTAGGATTCTGGATTCCACCATTTTGTCTTAATACTGGATTGTAAGTCAATCAGTTAATCAGTCATTTTTCCGTCAAAACCGCACAGTTAGCCAGACAACAAAATCACACAGTTAGCCAAACACTTTTTCGTCGAAATACATAAGTTAAACATTAACTATTTTTTCGTCTAAGTTGAACTGTTAGCTAGGCACTTTGCCATCTAAATTGACCAAAAACCAGACACCTTTTTGTCTAAGTCGGACAGTTGGTCAGACAAGTCATCTTATCATATTATCAAATTTTGATTCATAATGCAAAGCATCATATAGCTATTTTTGTTGCCACCTTCTCATTTACAAAAAATTTGAGGTCACAAATTTAGGATTCCTATATTGCTTCATCGCATTCCAGTTCCATTGATGTGTGGGAATAGATGTTGAAACAACAGTTTTATTACCTGGTATTTTTGTAGGTTTTCTGCACACGCAGGATATACAATGGTGCTGCAATTATCAAGGATTTCTGTTATGAATTTTGTAACAATTTCTTTCAACAGCTTCTGACATTGAAATTACTGAAGACTTACTCTGGAGCCGCTGCCTTTCTTTCTGCAGGTGTAACAACAGTTGAAAAATCTTCAAGTATCTAAAAATACCATATTATCATTCAGCAAAAAACTTACCGTCAAAGCATTTTCTTTTGTCATGAACATGTACTAGTACATAATGTATTTCTGATGACAATAGCCATATATCATGGTAATTTAGAAAATAATAAAAAATGTAGGTCGACTCTGAATCTTTCCTAGTTATAGGGAAACTCCAAGAAAGAAACAAGATTTCCAAACAATATTTTTTATGTACCACAGGATACCCAAACCAATTTGCAATTTCTTACCTTATTTAGAAGTGTAAAGGCAACTCGTTGTGGATATTCTAAGTCAGCTATAACACATCCAGCAAGAGAGTCTTGCCTCACAAACACATGACAATTATATTCTAGGATTGAAAACACAAAAAAAGAATTAATTTAAATTTCATAATTTTTTAACTCTATTTACCAGTAGTACACGTCATGTATATCAAATTCAAAATTTTAACTCGCGTATTTACTATCAAATCATGACACATTGTGATATGTCCAAGCTTATTGAGGTTAAAAAGAAATAAACTACAATCCTTGACAAAATCCTTGGACCATTCCAGCAAATGTCCTCACTTAAGCAACACCCGCAAACAATTCCATCCTCCCTGACCCCCTAAATGCAATGTTGTCATTCATCATGTAACCATAGTACACAAGCATTCAAAACAAGAACCAACATTGATGAAAGGGGGCTAAGGGGGAAAACTGTGAAAAAATAAAGGAGAAAAATGTAAGGCTGAAGACAAATAATTCTATGGTCCAAGGTGTTTTGGCAACGATTGTAGAAATAATAGAGAGCTATATAGTGGTTGGAAAGGAGGCTATTCAGTGAAAAATACCCTTAAAAATAAATCCGAAAAAAATTTCCGTGGGATTTGAACCACACAACCTTTGGATACATTGTACTACCGATACTTTACCAGCTGAGATACAAGGTCAGGCTGGAAGAAATTTGGCTTGTAATAGATGTTGTTTCGCAGCAAATGAAATGCAATTTATGTATAACTAGACGCTTGTAAAGCGTGATGCGGGCTAGCTTAGCAAAAGATTCACAATACAAGATAAAAATTGCATCTCCAATGAATATTGTGACTATGACGTAACTATATATGAAAGTAAAATATGCCGTCGAATACCTTAGTTTTCTTTGCAGTTCAATTCTTATCGTTAACCTTCACTGTCTGCTATAATCTTATCATATAACTTATTAACTATCAACCATAATCTTTTTGCTATAGTGATTGTCCTACATTAGCAATGTATTTTGTAAAAATATTTATGGAAGCTCTTTACTTCTTGGTTAGCGATGTCACATCTATTATTACTTACATAGCAATGCATTTTAGATGGCATGAGTGCATTCTTTAAATTTGGTTTTATTAGCCTTTCTTTCGTACAAAAGAAATCTAAAAATTGAAGCAAAACAAAGCTCAATTCAAAACTTGTACTTTGTCATTTCTAACTAATAAAAAAACCCGATGATATTAAAGCAATTTCTTTGAATTTAAACAATAAAAACATTGTCAATTAAACAGAAAAATACCTTTTGCTGTCTATAAATGTGGAAAAAAAGCCAGTATTTGAGCTGATTTCATGTTGAAGCTGTACTGAATAATCATCGAGCTGGACTGGTGAGGAAGGCGAGACTATTTTCGATGCAAAATCGTCTTAAAATGATAACTAGAAAGCTTGAAACTTGACAAATGCAAAATCCTAGTTCAATTCTTCAATGAGAAAGCTTTTGTATTTCTTGTTGATAGTTTTTGAGTACTTTTTTCTCTGTTATCGGCGAAGTACTCGCCATTTTGGATTCTTGAGAAAATTTTCAGTTCGAGAGAGACTGCAAACTAATAGGCTTCCTGTGGTTCGAGAGAGACTGGAAACTGCAACCCGACAGAAAAAAGGTAAAACTATAGCTGGCTAGCACAGCTAGCCCGCTAATTATGTGGTGTGTGTGGCACTAAGGAAATACAAAAACTTTTGAAATAATGGTTAGTTATAATAGTCCCTGAAAAAGGACTGAATATTATGAGTGAAAGACCCTTTAGTTAGTAATAAATTTGGAAAAACTTGAATGCAGTGAGAATTAGCTGAAGTGGTACAAAAGTACAGTTCAGAGTTCATAATGGACCCTATAGTAACATGTATCTCATTGTGAAACAGGGTTTTGAGTAAGACCTTTAAGATTCAAGCCTTGACTAGGATCTTATGCAATGTAAGAATCACAAAAAAACTTGAAGGCAGATGGAATTTGTATATTATAATCAACCTAATAACAAAAGGATCCACAATACAGTCTATGAAAGAATTGTTCCTCATCGACAGCCTTAAAATACATTGTACTTCAAATGATACAGTTAATTGCACAGGAGCTCTGAACTATTGAGAATAATATATTAATTCGCCATTCTCTTAAATCAATTGGATTGAGTGCTTGTTCAGCACTTGAGACATTAGTAGCAAAGTGCCTTTGGTAATTTAGTATGAATATAGTAAGGACATGTAAGGCTTTTTATATTAAATGCTATTAATTGATGAATTAGACTGCAACTAGGATGCCAAGATATATTAACATTGTGACTTACCTTGTTCTTTAACTGTAGCTCGCTCATTTGGTCTAGTTCTCTCCACAAGAATCTGACTTGTGAACTGCATAAATTCTTTTATACTGCAAGACGTAAAAATAATTTCAAAGGACAAAATTAATCAAACTAACAACATCTGTAAATTTAATCAACAAGCTTAAGTGTTTAAGACCTACAAGGAAGCTACTAAATCTAAGATAGCTTACGTAAAATCTCTTAAGAATCATATTTTTGATCTCAGACACCTCAACCTATCCACTTTAGGCAGGTTATAGAACTGATGTTGTTTTTGCTTCGATTTCGCAATTTAACGTGTAAAAATCAGTTGCCTTTTGATATGAAACACATTTAGTACGAACATACGACACAAATTTCACCATATATTTAACAAAGTAGAGATCAGCCATGGCATCTAAAACGAAAATAAATGTTCAGTCGTCCCAATGTGTTCTAATTTTCGAAACGTACCTTGATCTTTGAAAATACCCAAAGGACTGAAGCTCGTAGGCAGAAACAAGAAGTTTAACCTTGATATCTTTTTGAAAAACGCACAAAGCAAATAACTTCATATTTGTGGATAGAAATGGCAATTTTCTTACCGCTCGTTCGTTTTTACATCAAATTTTCGAATCTAAATTTAGGGCCTAATGCCAGGTTACGTGGCAAAAATGTCGTAGAGAAGATCTACGTCATAATGTCACGGCGGTCACGCAATTTGCACTACATCAAAGATACCTCATAGATTAAAAGAAAAACCAAAGCAAACCATTTCAGCTTAAATTAGAAAACTTAACAGGCTTGAAGATAGGCACTTACGTTCGGCAAAATTCAGGCAAGGCTTTGAAAGATTTATTAAGTCGAAAATTCGGGCTCCCTGTGGTGGCAAGACTGTACAGTTTCCTGTTTAATTTTTAGCTAGAGTTTGCAATAAATGTTAAATACGTTATTACCAAATTTACAAAATAATCCATGGGTGAAATTTAAAAAGACGATGGGAGTGAGATTCGGCTTCTCTATGACCGAAGAGAGACGAAAAGAGATTTTTGGAATCAAGGTAGCTTAATGGACGCGAGTTGTTGTTGTCTATTTCGTGAAGATAATTTTCTCGGTCTACTTAAAAAAACCTAATGATTGCACTTTCCAAGGTCAAATATATACATATATATACCATTCTGGTAACGCACCATTGGACAAGGAAAAGCTCTGGCAGATTGGCTAGGAGGATGCATGCCTGCCGTACGAGGCGAGGTTCAAGCCATCAATATTGCGCAATAACATGTATAGATAACTGTAGATAACTGTGTACGAGTGTGAAACCGTATCGCCTAGTTTCTCTCAAGATGACATCGAACGGTGAGGGAGACTATTTTTTGTTGTTGCTCTTTTTTATATTTTTCTAAGTGCCACAACCAGGCTATTTCTATAGTATGCCGAAACTCAACAATTGTGATTGCTTCTAATGTTCATGGTCCATAAGAAGCGCTTGCCTGTTCTAAACAAAGCTAGGAGACTTTGAAATCGTGAAAGCAATAGTATTAAGGCGTAAATTTTGAATTTAATAAAAACTCCCGGGTATCTAGTATTTTGAAATTCGTTCCCGGGTGCCGGGTATCTAGACACTTCGTATTTTATTACTTTGCCCTATTTGGGCAGGGACACCGCAACAGCTTGAGCCAATTACTGCGGACCCTCTACTCTCACACTCACTCCTACCTCTACATTAAGTATTTTAGCACACAACACTCTTCACATGTTGATTTTTGCTGAGGCAGGAGAACCGGAGGAAAACCCTCCTGGCAAGGGAGAGAACAACACATCAAACAAACTCAAACTCACATACGGACCACAGCGGTTAGATGCCAGCCCTATCCACCCATGCCACCCTATTGTGATGGTATAACATTGAGGACATGGATTGGTAGAAAAGCACAGGAAATGCAAAAGAAAGGAACATACCAACAAATATATTTTATTTCATTATAATATCATATATTCCGAGTAGCAATCGGTTGTTGATTCATATGTGTTAACATAATTTTTTAACATAATTCTTAAGTAAACTGACAAGGTCAATCAGTAAGTGATTTGATCAAAACCAGAAGATGTGAAAAGAGAGATCGCAATTTGCTCGCTTCATAAGCAGAAGATCAGACTAAGAGATTAAAAAAAATAGATGGCTACGAATGAGTTCGCTTTCATTTGATCGTGATGAATTAGAGTGAAATTTGGATCTTTTGTTATCAACAAATCCTACTTAAATTGTCATTTTCATTGCACGTTCTGAAATGAAAGCGGCTCTAGATAAGTGACGATCAACAGACATAGTTACTGAATAACTAAATTACATTAGACCGATCTTATCCTATTTCTAACTTGTGTATATAATCTGACCAGTAGATCTTCGTTAAAATTATTATTGTGAAACTATATGCGACTGTTAAATCTGTTTTTCAAAAAAGAGTTAGGAGAGAGAATGGGAATTTGCGAACGACAGTTTCTTTGGGTATATACGTGGATGGATATTCTTCAACTATGACGTCAACAAAGTAAACTTAAGATAAATAGGTTTTCGCTGTATGTCATGGGTTATGTGGTCTGTTCTTCAGTGTCCATGGTACATCTAGATCATGCTTTCTCATCCTCTCGTCCTCTTCTCCAATAACCCGAACACCTATTAAAAAAACGTTGCCAGAGAGATTTCATGACCGAAATGAACTATGGTTAAGCAGTTTGAAATAAGAAAGTTTAGCAGACAATACTTTCCATTGCAGTGTACACCACTTTAAAAAACGTTGTCGGGTTCAGAATGGTTAATTTATCAAAGTGATTTATGGTAACTGGAACTTTAAATAATATTTGCATAAACAGCATTAATTAATAACATTTTTCATGGAAGAGACCATAATCATTTAGCCAAGACGGTGTTCAGGATCTGAAACACTTCTTAACACATGAATCTTAGCTTTGATGACATCACCTTTGTGAACCAGACAACTTTTTTTTAATTCAGTGTATAACTGACAGAAAACAAACCATGGATGATAAAAGCACTAGTATTTTTATTATCCATGATTGTTGACCTTGCGTAATGAACTTATTCGTCATCTTGTAGAAGCTCTAAAACTATCGTGGAGGTAGAATCGTCCTCGGAACTCAAACTGTCAGTATCGTAGTGGGAAGCGAGTGCTTCCACTATTTCCTTTTCTGCCATATCAATATCCACACTCATACTTTCTAGATCAACTAAGGATCTGTGTATTCCTTGCACTTTCTTTGGTAGATCTATGATACTTTTCTCTAAGTCAAGTCGCCTCTGTGTTTCCTCGTCTACCCCGGGTATATACTCCAATCGAGGGACATTCCATGGTTGACCTATAGGCTTGCTCACACCCACCATTACTTTTAATCTTTGAATCATAAAATCAGCTATTTCAAATTCCTTGTTGTTTAGATTCGTCTCCTCGCTGACCTCAGCGTAGGTATCCATGAGAACTGCTATGAAAATGTTCAGCAGAAAGAAAACCATTAACACAGCGAACACCACAAAGAAGACTGGACCCAAAATGGAATCCGTTAGTGAGAGCTCCACGAAGTAAGCCTTCCCAAGCATCATAGCTAGAAGGGTTTGTATTGTCAGGAGCAATGATCCAAATCCATTTGTATATCGACCGAAGTACAAATACGAAAAACTAACCAACGAAGCGAAGAGCACGAACGCTTCTAACGACAGGAGTTTGAGCTTTGGTGACGCCCTCACAACAGTCTTATAGAGAACAACGATATTCCGGTTGAATCTCATTAGATAAAGAAATTTTAAGGTGGTGAGGAATACAATGAGGGCGATAACATAGGTGTTCACTGTCGCCCACTGTGTGGTATACTGGAAGCTAATAAAGACGAAAGGGTTATCGTATACTTTTTGAATAGTTCTCTCAGCGTCGATCTTCCGTACTATTACCAAACCCACACAAACGAACGTAAGGATTATGATCACTAATTGTATAACATTCCAAAAGACCTGGAAGTACTCCTTGCGAAGATGAAAGATTTTTTTACAGTTTATGTACGTCATCACAAAAGTGATGGCCAACACTAAAAATTGGCTGATCATGACAACAGAGTTATTAGGCCCTGGGTTGGGATACAAACGAAAAGTTTCGATCCTTAGAAGAGAAATACTACCGCCCAGTCCTTGCATCTCCACGAGATGGGTTAATACACTGAAAAGGTTGGCATAAGCATTGTAAACAGTCAGTTCGACGAATATGGCCCTAGTTTGGTCATCAATCCACTTATTCAATTTCAGCTCACTTATAACTCGATTAGCCTGATCAGTGTTGTAGCCAAGATTTGCAGTGTAGCCACCTCCACCGTAGAAATTGGCCTGTCCCCAGTAAGGAATTCCATTGAGTTCTAGTATTCCTTTGTAGCGCCAAGGCTCTGGACATACACTCGGCGTCAGATTCGAGTTCTTCTTCCAGCCAGGAAGAAAGAATGACTGGACCTCATCGAATGCAGAGTAGAAGTTTTCACAAATGTTTTCTGTTAATCTCACAGAGCATGGAACTAAAAAAGATAATAATAATAATAATAAAAAAAATCAAAGTAATCACTCCTTAAAGCGAATTTGTGACTATCCCGTCCTTAGTAACTTTGCAAGGGGTTTTGGGTTCGGAGTCGGGGCACTGGAGAAGACGGAAAAGAGCCTTCTCTTCCCAGGATTAAAACAGATATACCAACAAATATATACCAACAATTTGATTAACTCCCAAAATGAGGCGTCATTTAAACGGGGCTTGTGTTCTTGTTTTTAAGCACTTTAGTGTTAGAGGAAGATCCTAAAGGGTGGTTTTTCATAAACCCGCAAACTTTGAAAGTCAGTTCTTTACCTTTCTTAACCCGAAGTTGTCGCAATCGTGGCATCCCTACTATATACAAGTTTTTGTCAGATGCGTATCCCTCAAGATCTGGATCAGACTTGGAAGTTCGTCCATCATACGCGAATGGAAGAAGGCTGCCATACAAATAAGACCAGAAAGCTTTTGGGTCCTGAACCTATGAACCAAGAATTTAAAAGAACCTCAAGCGCTTTATCATTTTGTAGTATAAGGTTCAAAAAAGCTGGGAATTCCCTTGGAAGGATTTACTTGGTACATAATTATATACATAAAAGAGATTATTCAATGAAAAAACAAAATTCGTCAGTGTACCGAACGCCATCTCTATCAAGAAATAAAAATCATTTGACGTTTTCATTCGCATTAGCATATACTTTCCTGTGTTCTGGAGTTCATGTACGTGACCAAATCGAAAAAAAGGAATAACGTCTTTTATTATCAAATATGAGTCTCGACGAGTAACTTTTGAATAAACAAACATATTTTTTTTTATCTTATTATCGAGACTTAACTATATGCATTCAAAGTGTCGTAGATACATTACCTCTTTGCTGAGAGCATTGTTTAGCGTATTCGTTTGATAATATGCCATTGGATCTCTATCCGAATAACTGATGACCACCAACATGAGCAAAAACACGGCGTGGAAGATATTTTCTTTCATTATACCATACATCTGGTTTTCTTTTAGCTTGTGTTGTCTTGCTTTCTCAATCATCTCTGGGTCTGGTGGTTCAAAGTCAACGCAGGCTTCGGGATGAAAATCACTGGCCTCGGACGACGTCCCCTCGTCATTCACTTTCTTACCTGCACTCGCATTTTGGAAATCACTGGGAAGTGTTTTTAATACAGCAGCCACAAAAAGAGCGATTCCGCACACTTTAATTGGTTGAGTTACAAAAGCGTCTTGGAAAAAAGACACAAGCATAGACGTAAGCCATTGCTCGGATATTTCCTTTCCCCACATCATGCTATAGAATAATGTTATGGTGGCTGACGTTAAAGTCATCAGAAAACAGAGCGTCCAAGCAATGTATACGGTCCAATATGGAATTCCTTCTTGTTTTTGCTTCTCCTCAGAATTGCTGTATTCTGGCTTATTTTCACATTTAGAGATTCCATCAAACTCGAAAACGGTACCTTGTACATCATCAAGGTCATTTTTTTCTGGTTTTGGTCGCGCCTTTCGAAATATCTGAATGATGATAACATTTACAGGAAGTGCAATGAAACTGCTTTGAATACCAATCATTAATTGTCTTATACTGAATCTTAATGGACCGATTGCAACAGAGGATCCATCAGTAGCTCCACCAGGTAGATTATAAAACATTGCACTGGTCATCATTGTCGTAAAAAGCAAGGACATGCAGCAAGATAGACGTTGGAGCCGAGTGAAACTGCTTTTCGGCGGTTTACCTATGACTGACAGCCACAAATGACCGTCAAATAGATCCTGAGAGGTCTTTGTTCGAAATAATGTCTTGAAGTTTTTCAATTCCTTATCACCGCTTACGATTATCAAGCGGTCCACAAGCCCGTCGTCCTTATCAAGCGCAAGCCAGCGGTCACATACAAAAATCCATTGTTGCTGAGAGTTAAGATCCCGAATGATGACGTAGCTCAGGTACCAAGATGAATCTTCACCAGACATGTCATGCCATACTCTTAAGTACTGAAGAGGTCCAAGGCTTGATGGTAAAGTGACCTGGAATTCATTTGTAGCACCTCGAGCAAAAAGGTGCTTGGTGTCATCTTGGAGAGACAAAGTACCACTTTGACCTTTTTGTCCGATGATATTCATACAGACTTTAGCTGTTGTAGCTGAGTTTTGCCAAGATCCAGTTTGTACCGTTATATGATAATCATTACTGTTGGCACCAAGATAACGACCGTCCTCGATCTCAATAATGGTTACACCTCCCTGTAAATAAATATAACGTCGAAAATAAGGTGATCTGATAACATTCTCTTTGAATTGTCAGAAAGTTTTCGGCTCTTCAGATTTCAAGACCGGGTGATGGCGCATTGATATATTAGGTACCATACTCTTGATAGAAGCTAATGCTAAGGAAGCAATAGTTATTCGGACAACTTTGACTATTGCAGAAATGAAGTTGTACCTCTAATAAGAGGCCCTCTCTTTAGCGGTCACTTACGAATTTTCCGAAAATCGGTTCAAATATGACATCTATTTATGGGTTCACCTCTATTAAACGGGATGACCGCTTAATAAAGGTTCCGCTGTACTTTGTTTTAAGAAACATACCTTAAGAAGATCTTTCTTGTCCTTCTTACGCACTAAGACTCCAATCAAAATATACAAAGCAAAGGCTGTACAGATAGTCAGAAGTACTGCAAGATTGTCCGAGATGTTTCCAAATCCTGCCCAGACCTGGTCAAAATCAATTGGGTTTGGAGCAACCAACAAACCTCCACCAAACTGGGTTAGATGGTTGCAGAGACAATGGACTGCGTGAAGCTTTGTGTTCTTTCCAACCTATGAAATCAAGGTGATGAGTGCGTTAAAGGGCATGGTTTGAAAATATAAATGCATCGTGATATAAGCAAAAACTTAGTCTTTATAATCACTTTATATGCTGAATGAATGCAGATATTGTAGGATTCCATCTTAAAACCGACGAATGGAAACGGTTTATTGAGTCATCTCATTCTATATGCTGAATGAATGCAGATATTGTAGGATTCCATCTTAAAACCGACGAATGGAAACGGTTTATTGAGTCATCTCATTTTACATATAATGCAAAATCCAAAACATGACTGCACGATCAATGATCAGCAAGGACGTAGTTAATTAGTTCATGACTAAAGCTGCATAAAAAATTACTGATAATAGTTCAAGCTATCAAAGTATTCTTTTTTCAATCCCACTCTCGTTCCCCTAAAATAATTAACTTTCGTTGTAAATTACATCAATTCATAAGAATCACCGAAACATGTGAAACGAGAAGTTCTATATTAGAAAATTAAATGCACACTACCTTGCACCCATTTGTTGTCCACACCTCCTTTTTTTCGTTCCAATATTTACAAGGTGAGTAAATGGTCGTTAGAGAATATGCCATATGCTTTTCTGGATCATATTTAGGAACATTATCAACAAAAGTAGCCTTAGAGATGTCTACTCCAGGGGGTAGGGTAGGTGGTCGCTCTGGAGGATCTTTATATTTGAGGCATGATCGCTTTTGACGCTTGTAAGTGCCGCAGTCTCTTCTTGTCCGACTCTGAGGTTCACCACCAGGCCTTTTCATTTTTAGCGCCAAGTAGTAATTTCCAGTCTCTTTTACTATAGACTCATTAACTAATATCGCATACGCCTCTTGAGAACACTTCTGTAGTCCTGAAGAGTCTGATGTGCAAAAGGATTGGTCTGGTATAGTTACATATAATGGGTCTCTCTTGACATTTGGGCGTTCTTTGTATTTAAAATATACATCTATGATCACATCTGAGTAGTTTGCTAGAAAGATGATGTGAAGAGGGATACTATCCATACTCCAGTTGTACCTATGAAAAGCGGTAGATCCCATCTCCTTGCCAATGAATGTCGCATTGCTGACCGGCGAAAGCTCAGGGACCTTTCTTGGGATGTACATCGAGAACGGTTTCGATAATCCATCCACTTTTATTTCGGTTGAGTTTTCCGTCTTAAGGTTTAGACTTACAGTACTTGATACATCCTCGGCGCTTGGGTCCCAAGTATTATGGTTTTCGGGGAACGCCAGGAACTGCGCATATAACAAACATTATTGAAATTTTAGGAAGTTCCCGAAAATATAATAGGAATAACTATTAATTTGAAGAGCATATTTTTGAGAACTCAAAAAGGGGCTGCAGAACAGTAATACTCGCCTTTTCATTAACAACAACAAATCAATAACGATAACCTTTGAAACTATTCAGTTACGTAAAGATGCTTCAATAACCAATGTATATTTTACCTCTGCATCAACAAATGAGCTATTTTTCATGGTATCACCAAAAATTTCATCAGAAGGAGGCATATCTACTTGCGATTCACCGTCTCCTAATGTTTTGTTCCCCATTTGACTCGGTTGTTGACGAGACACCACAATGCTCATTGATGGCGATTTGATAACAGTTGGTGCCTCTCCAGCAACCTTGAAGTTCAGCAAGCTCTTAGTCATTTTATGTACTAACTTAGTTGACTGCTTCGCTATTTCCTTGCCCTGAGAAAAATCAAGGAATATATCCAGTCATAATAAAAAAAGATTTGCAATATCAATTAATTTTGGGGGGGCAGATAATACGCGTTCGTGTTTTATAGAGATGATGAGAGTAACAGAAAGAAAATGTCGACTGCCGTTCAAATATGGGAAGGGAGATATGGTAATGTGCAATTTCAACTCTCTATATATCATCACGGAATAGCCATGGGAATCGAGATAAACTTACAGCTTTTCTTGCGCTCTCAATATCAGACCCACTGTCTTTTGGACTTTGAGATCCGTACACTTTTGCCGAATCACCCGAGGCAGCCATCAAGTTTCCCATGAGAAATGCTAGCGTTGTTGACGCTTCCTTTACATCCGATGTCCCTACTCCATCTTCAAACGAGGAATCGAGAAGACTCACCATGGTTTCAGAGGATTCCAGGATCAGTTTCTGTAATTTTTCATATATATATTGTGAGGTGTTATAGTTCTTTATTTTCCTCAAGATAATAAAATGGAAACACAAATTGAATTGGAAGTGTCCATTCTTCTTTGTATACTGTAAAAGGGACCGATTAAAACAATGGAAACTATGTCTTAGATGCAAAAACGAAGGAATCTTTTTAAAGTGCATTAAACGGTATGGGCTCAATTCATCTACTGGAAGATCGCTGGATTTGTATTTCTTACTTGTGAATCTAAAGGAACCTCGTCTTTGGCGATGGTCGTAGCTGCAAATGTAGGCCCAATTTGGTTTATTCCTTGCAAACTGTCAACTGTTACGGAATGGAGGTTCTTCAAAACATTAGTTCTCATCTGAAATAATAATAATAAAAAAATGAGTCTAAATCCGTGGAACAGAGATCAGGCTTTTAAGATTAAAACTTGATTGAATCATCCATACTGTTACTATTATAGATTCACGGCCTCAGGGTTAAAACTTTGACCCCAGCCCTTCAACACTAAAAATCTCGATTCGTACTCCTAGGCAAACCCTGAAAACAATGTGATTTCAAATCGTCAGACGATCCTCCCAATCGCAAGACTATAAAATAAAATGTGTGATCCATCCAAGAAGCTCTTTCCTGGTCAATCCTTATACCTCCTGTCCTTTCTTTCTGCCTTCTTCGGTCTTCTCACTGGTGGAAAGTGCATTCACGATTGACATTTTAGCGTTGACAACTTGTGCGAATTCTTGGACTTTACCATTACTGAGCAATTTCATGGCCTCGCTGTTATTTGAAGATAAATCAGATTCCAAATCCTCCAATAAAGCTCCCTTTGGTGTTGGCGGTAGTTTTACCTTTAGTAGAAAATATGTATTAATTTAATTAAAATGTAAATAACTTTAAGGTTAGCGGGAGCCTTTTGAGATAGAGGTATAAAACTAATTCACGCATATCAGTCTCGAGAATAGAAACCTTGCAGGTGACGTGAAATCAGCTGATTCATTGGAGGGCAAGACAAAAAAGTTTTCTCTCTTGAGAAATAAAATTCATTGTTTTGTCCTCAAGTTTTCGAGCTGCATTTCTATTAAAGAGCTGCTTGCATGAAAATGGCTTTATTTCAAAACTTCAAGCAGTACAAATATATGACTCATTTATATCTATTTAAAACAATTGGATTGAGTAAATGACGTCATCTACTCAAATTTTTTGCCCAAATTATTAAGGATTTGCATCAATATTTTCTTGAAATCTGTTGCTTCATGATTATTACACCCATATGGATAGGTCTATTTGATTTCCAAGTCTTTTCTAATGTTTCGCAATTTTCGTCCAAGTAGCCCTTTAACTGCAAGGGCAATTGTCCGTTCCGAAATTCAAAAAAGGGACTGGTGACTAGTCACAAACTCGATACCGTTTGAAGTAATCAAAAAACAGACACCTGGACAAGAAAGAGCATATTAAAATTAGTAAAGCTTCTGAGTTTGAGAGTATTCGGATTAATAATTACAGAGTTTCACGCGTTTAAAACTCGAAAAAATTATAAGGAATGTATGGAGGTTTTGAGGAGCGTCCCTAAAAACCATACATTCTCTCTTATTTTTAAAAATTTGAAAAAATTCCTACTCGGTGAGTATTCAACCAAATATGCTCAAACTTGACAAGAACCCTTATTTTAGTGTGGTATTTCATGTGGTGAGGTTCAGTTTTCGACGCATGTAATATTTTCATACTCGTTCCCAGTCTGCTTTTGAATTTCAGATTGGCCAATTGGATATTTTAGAGTAAACAGCTATTTGAGAAATTGTTGAATACTAAATACTGAATACTGCAAAGTGCATGCGTTACAAAATGACGATTCTAAACTTATTTGCTGTCTATTCAATTTCTTGACGGGACCTCTCAAAGTCAGTCTGACACCACGAACAATGGCTTTGAATGGTGATAGAGAACGACCAAGAATGCATTTCGCTCTTGGATGCACTACCTTTAGTATTCAACGTTTTCTGAAATAGCTATAAGCAGGTCCTAAACGTTAACTTGATAATCAAAGACCATCTAAATTGTTTAGATACCTCAACTGGCAACTGATACTCGGAATAGGCACGATACGAGTCGTAAACTCTAGCGTTAACAATGATCACAAACTTTGAAGTGGGATCACCGACGGGCAGCATGGAGGTTATTTTAGTCTTGAAACCATAATAAAGAGTAGTGGCCAGGCCATATGAATTACGATAGCTGTGTTCGTAGGTCAATGGCACATCATCGTCTTTCCATCCAAAACAATTGAATGTAAAGTTAGTATGATCAGCTAAACCACTTGGAAAATCTACCGTGCATTTTCCGCCATACGGTGGATCATTTACAATGAACGGCATCGATACACGACCAGTTCTTCGACCAACAATCTTGGCTTTCATAATCAATCGATATTTTCTACCGCCTAAAAGTGCATTTGGTTTAATAACTATGTTTTGATTATCCAAAGCAGTCGAAGTTAAGTTCTGGAGATTATTTAAAGGTAGCCATTGATTAGAAGCATCTTGAATGTGCATCTCCCAACTGTAAGTGATAATCTTTGAAGATTCTTCTTCGCAAGATGCTGATAATGAGTACTTATCTGTCAAAATTACTTTGGATTTGCAGTTTGTTGAACATCTGAAGAAAAAAAAAAAGAAAACAAGAAAAAAAAAATGTTTATAAATTCCGTTGTATGTGCATATATGCAGGAAACCACAACACTATGATACTTCAAGGTTGGAGATGTTCAAATCAAAAATAGAATTCTAGAAAGTATTTCCTGAATGCTCAAAAAAAACCCTTCTAGACATAAATACCAACTTTGCCCGTTTGTTTCTACTATTTGAAGTTGATGACCTCGCGCTCGACATGTGATAGTCTCCTTCACGGTTACCTGTGCCATTTTGAAAGGTAGCCGTGCCTTTGCATCGAAGCGAGACAACCGTTGAGTGTGCAGTGATAGATACCTGTGAATAATTGTCAGTAGGTGTGAAAGAAGGTTTCTATAATTGCACACTCAACGGTCGTCTCGTTTCGATGCAAAGGCGCGGCTACCTTTCAATATGACGCAGAGAACAGTGAAGAAGACTATATTGTTTCGCTTCTTATTGTATGTTTTTCTACGCCTCTCTCGTGTTTTCAGAACACCCGCGAATGTTTTGATCATAGTATGGAAAAAGGAAAACTCGCTTTTAACGTCTCAAATAAAGGTTATTGAAGAAAACATATAGAAAACTGTGGAATGTTATTTTTAAGAAATATGAAACGACTTCTGGTGTATGTTCTTCGATATTAATACGCGGAGATGGAAGGTACAAGAGAAGCAAACCTAGAAACACGATTACAGCGAGTGTTTCTATTGGTTTACGAGTGAGATACACACGCGAACGTGTTATGAGTCTTCGAGCGTCGTGAGGTACACAAGCAGTCATTTTATGTTTCTTGTTTGAATTTTTTCAGTCTTTTTCAAGCGAGAGAGGCAAGCCATATCCTTGTTATATTTTATAAACACGTTCATTTGCCAATGAAATTGCGCGTTATATCACAAAAATATTATAAAAAAAAACAGATAATAATCGTATACTTGTATGAGATAATATACCTGACATTACACACGGGTGGATCTCCAACAACTACAGTCATCAGCTGAGAAGCAGCGTTCCTTCGAGTAACTCCACTCACGGATAATTTTATCACCAAGAATATTAGATAGGTTTGATTTACTTCTAATTTACCAGTGAAAAGAGTAATCCTTGAGCTACCTTTATATAAACGACGTGGTAAAGACATATTACAAAAATCATCTTCATTGTACTGAGGAGAATCGTCAATTGGTCTACCAAGTGTGGCGTCCATGGCATCCGAATCAGTCATACTTGTATCAATGGTAATTAACCAGTAGTGCAGAAAAAGTGATGATTTGCTTGGATAATCTGGGTCTTTGGATAACCCGCCATCGAAATATACAGTTTTGTCAAATGCCCGTTCAATTTCTTGACCCCCATCTATTTTAACATCTAAATCATTTGGGACGACATCTAGAAAGACATCTGCTATTGACCAAATTCCAGCTTGTTTGTACATACTGACATTAAACCGAACAACATGAAGACCATAGTCAAGTATACTTGGTTGAAGAAATGTAGACTCTGTCGTTGAAATACTTTTTTCAATTCCAACCTTCTCCTTGCTGGTAGATGTTTTGAAGTAAGTCCAGGAAAATACCTTGATATTTGTCGCCTTACATACCACATTAGTAACCGACTCAAGTGTTAGAGCTGTTAGTCTTGTGATATTAGTTGGAGATGCAATGTCGGTGGACAGCCCAACAATGGATGTGTTTGGGTAGCCACATGAAATCTTCAGGATTGGCAATCTCTTTTGTTCCTTAAATTCCGAAAGTAAGTTCCATGCGTGAATGGAGGTGTAAAAAACCTTCACTTTGTAGTACATATTTTGGAATATAAACGTCGAGTTATTTTTCTCTTTGAAAGTTATGCCGGGGTATTTTGTCTGGCAGTGCTGTTTTCCGATACCTGCAGACGAACCATCGCCAAACTCAACATAAATGCAAGAGTCTGTGCCCCAATCTTCAGCAGTAGCTGTATGGGTAACTGTCTCATTCATCTCTTTAGGTCCATCGTTAACAAACACAAGACCTTTGATAGTTCCTTGTATCACAACAACGACGCTCAAAGTTTTACTACTCAGCGCATTTGAGCATTGAACTGTTATCGTGTAAGTTCCAGAAACTGCGTAGATGTTGGATACATTGGTTAGGTTGGAAGTCGATAATACTCTTAACGATTTCCCATCGCCAAAGCTGAAAATGCATTCATACGGGTTTGCAGTATCTAGGTCGAATTGAACCAAAGTTGGCGTCGAAATCACAGTATTGTTTGCAGCCACATGTGCTTTGTCGTTTATAGCAACCACAGGATAAACCTCGATCACTTTAGTAATGTTATCACTGCTAGCCTTATTGCTGACCTCAACCGTTAAGTTATACGTCCCTGGGTTTGGATAAGTGTAGTTTAAATATTGAAATACACTAGAAATAATGACACCGTTTCCCATATGATATCGATAAGTTGGCAAGTCTCCACTGCGTAAGGTAACATTGACTGTCATATTATCAAGCTGATAATACAGATCAAAGATGCCATGATATTCCACGTTGATACTGGAAATAATTATTGGGATACGTACAAATGCCACTGTGAATATTTCCAGTCTGCTTACAAGGTTATAACTCACGATGGACACGTTATAAGTGCCCGGGCTCATGAATTTGTGGGTGGTGTTCCCAAAATGCACATCGTAGACACTACTTATTACGGTTATGTTAACGTCTGTGCCATCTGTGAAGTTGACAACCAAATGAGGCAGTGTTCCTCTTGACAACTTCCAGTTAATGAAAAACTCTTCCCGTACCAAAGAATACATGCTAGTAGATGTGACAGCTAGCCCGCTAACCTCTTCTTGGACGTAAAGCACGAGCGTGCTATATTCATGCCGAGGAATGCTGATCTTCAGTTCAAAAATTCCGGGTTTAGGATAATGGTGTTGGAAAGTGCATTCATTTGTCGTGACGTTTACAGACTCGTCTCCAAAGATTATAGTCTTTATTTGTGATTGGTTGCAGTTGTTTATGGTAAAATTTGTGAGTTGATTGGTTGATACTATCGTCTTGGGAGTAGTAACATTTGGTGCTGCAAGGATATCAAAAGATGAAATCAATGAATAAGCTAATTGTTACAGCTAATTGTTACAGAAAATATCTATGACAGCATTGACAAGGTCGAAAGAGTTGCCTATCAGAGTTTAAATGCAATACAGACGGGGTTGATATTGGGATCATATTGGGGAGCAAGGATGGTCGAGCGCTTAAAGCGCCGGTCTATCACTGTTGTAGGCTCGATTTCCAGTCCGGCACTATATGTAATTTGAGTTCTCAGGCTGGCTCTCTTTTTAACTCCAAGAGTTTTCCTCTCTCAGTTTAAAACTAGCAGTAAGAAGTGTCGTATGCTAAAACAGTCAATGTTGACAAAGAGTATGTGCATGTGTGCACTTGTMTGACTACATAATCAAATTTATTTATCTATTTTGACGCTGTCAGATTTGCCCCCTCTCTTTCTGCACTAATCTTTATCATTAAAGGAATATGATGTCTTGCTGTGACGTCATTAAGCAATAGGGTTACCTTGTTGTATCGATGCACCTTAGTGCAGTACGAAAGGGCTTTTTACCTGGGCAAAGATGAATATTACACGCTTTGATCTCTTCTGATGGTCCAGTACAGTTTTGGCCACCATTTCGTGGCACAGGGTTAGTGCAGTTCCTTGTCCTGGACTGTAAACCACCACCACACGTAGCATTGCACGTTGTCCAGTTAGTAAACTCTGTGAAACCCCCATCTATTACAGGAACTGAAGAACAAGGATTTCTTTAGACAAATGAAATGTGACAACTTATTTGAGACGGCAGGGATGGAAAGGTGGGAGGGGGAAGCAAGTGATTACAAATGAAATAAGGATGCTGATGGTATTCTTACTTTCTTGTCCAAGGAGTTCAAACCTCAGTGCTGCACCTAAATTCCAAGTGTTAACAATGATGCGGACAAATCGTGAAATAAAGGTTTCGTTTAGAATATGTGTCACCACGGCGAATTGGTTGGTATTACCGGGAAACACCTTGAAAAGAAAAAAAAAAAACACAATCAATCCAACTATGAAACAACCTGTTATTGCATAATCTTTTAAATATCCATCTTGTCCCCTACATGGTACTGAAGGGTCTCTAAGGTTAAGAATAAATATTTCTTTTTTATTCCATGGAAAGGGAATCCATCAAAAGACATAGTGGATAGACGAAGTAAATTGTAGCGGGTCTGAAATGGGACAAGACCAGGACTATACTAACATGATGTGAAACTCAAAAAACCCTGAATCATATAACGATACCTTCGTTGTTCCATTTTCCTGATAAGTAGTCCATGTACTGTTTTCACGACGATACGATACGTTATAACTAGTTACATAGTTGTTTGCTATTAACCCGGGTCCTTGAGTAGATATCCCTGTTATCATCATATCAGCTCCAAGATCAACTTCTATATAAGACTTATCAATGCTCGAGTTTGCCTGCCAGCCCCCCAATTCCTTGACTCGATGAAGGCGAGCAAAGTTTGGTAGTGTCTGTGAAGAGAAACTTGCACTGGAGCTGATGGCATTATCGGAAATATACCCAGTGTTCATCCCAAGAGCTACAAGATATCCTAGAACAAAACACAATGAATATTTGGTAGTCTATAGAAATGTTTAATGTGTGTGCCTTAAAGCCCTTTTCAGGATCTATTTCAATTTGACATAGAGGAATGACATTAAAAAGCAAACAAAAATTACTTGTTGTACGATGGACAGGAAAAGCTATTTTATATTCTAGACCGCATTTGGAATTGATCCGTTGGTTAGGGATTTATCTCGGTGGATAGCGCTGTTTATCTCTTAGCACAATCGTATCTTGAAAGACAAAAGTTGCGAAAAACAAGTGACGCTAAATGACCAGCATCCTTCCTGGATTTCTACCTAAGTAAATCTTGAATAACCATAGGCGAACAGTAGGCCACAACATAATACTTATATTATTTAATAGTTTCCTTCCTAGAGTGCTCGCACTAAATGCGTGAAATATAAACTACAAAATAGGTGATAAATTATACAAATTCCTTTGTTTCCTATTGTATAATCAACACTATTTAGTAGTAATCAGTACTATTTGTTTCACGCTTTAAGTGCGAGCACTCTAAAAACTATTTCAATTGCAAGTTATTGTGGTTTAATCCTCTCCCTTAAAACCAAAAGTACCAGAATCCTCTTCCATTTCAAAAAGAGTTCAAAATACCTGAATAGCCATAGAGTTCAGCTCGTAAGCATATGCTCCCGTTCCATGTAACGGGATGTATCTTAACGTAACGACCGACGAGTGCTGGAAGAAAGGCGTTCTTAACCACCAGGTGAGAATTTGTATTGCCATTAAACACCTATAAAACATCGCAACCAAGAGAATTTAGATCATAATAGTAAGCTACTTATGTGACATCTCACTCCAGTGAACCGGATGAAGTTGACCTACAACTGTAGCATAAGATTTGCCTACAAAATGTCTAGGCACCACTCACACGCGCACCACAGTATACGATTTGCACACACAATTGCTAGACTCGCAATTCCATTGGCCATACTATTAGTTTCAGACCTAATTTGGAGTTTGATCTATGCCGCTTAAAACCGTTCTAGAAATGTTGCGTTGACATGACATGACCTAGAGCTCTTTTTAGTCGTATACTACAAGTCGTTCACAACAGTGTAAGTCTGTCTCAGACTGTTCGAGACTCTTCAACTTTGTTTGTGAACAGGCGATTCAATGTCATGACTTTCTTTAGTGTATGAATAACTAGGAATTAGCATGTTTTCAGAGCCTGGAAATACAATGATGTGATGATGATGGGAAAAATAGAATAGATTCTTAAACATTTTTATTCACAGTCTTAAACTCTTTCATTGATCTAAACGTTTTCATTGTTAATCTTTAACTTTTAAAAGAATTAGAAATACAAGTCGATGATGAAAAATTTAACTGAACAACGAAACAAAGTTTGATTTTGAAGCAATACCGTAATCGCCTTTTCTCCTTTGTGTTGATGCCAACGCCACTTTATGTCATCCTCACTGTATTCGACAGAATACGAACTAACCCACGCTTCCATTCCCGTAACATGAACACCTTGTGTTGCTATAAAACTTATCACATGTACGTAGCGAAGATCTATTTTTAAGTACTGGTCAGCGTCGTTCTGGCTTGCGCACCATCCTTGATGGACATTGTCAAGGTTAAAGACGCCGTTAGTAGGATGGAATGGATGCTGATCGCTAGAAGCTGTCATTGTATAAAATGAAGGCTGGTTTCTTTGGAGAAGAGGATCGTTAGTCTCTGAAAATAGGGCAGATTAATAACCGTTAACTTAGACATATGATTTTATCTTAGTAGAAGGCTCCATTAACCGTGATTACTATTTCAAGGTGTGTCCTATTTCAAAGACTGTCGTTTTATCGTTAAGACAGACTTAAGGCCAACGACTGGCCAACCTCAACCTACCGTATCCAAACAAATTCACTTGGACACAATGCAATATTTGCCAACTCTTCGGCTTGAATTTGATTTTCTGTGCGGCAATACTTTTTCTGAGTACATGTGCCCCGTTGTATAATATCTGCAATATAATAAGAAATATGATAATCTAATATAAAAAAGAGAAGTAATACCCAATATTTTGAATTGATTCTTGATTGTTTGCAATCACTGGTTTTAGGGTGTTTCGATCGTAATAAATAGCGTTTCGAGCGTATTTTTAGACTCCAACTACGTCGCAAATTTCGATTCCATTGCACTCAAATTTTCACAGAAGTAACAGTGATTATCCATAATTCTTTTTGATAAATTAATTTGCCAAAAAGCGAAGCCATTTGGATAAACGATGCAAAATAAAAACACCTTCATTTTTCTTCAAAGTTAATTTTGTCGCGAAACTCATCGCACAGATTGTAATAAAATTTTCAGAATCATTTTTCAATAACACAATTGGTATACTGACGAAGTTGAAATAAAATCCTAACCTAAAAATTCGAGTTGTTTAAGCAATGTGATGTACATTTCGACAAAAAGGACAAAGAGGTACATCTGAAGTTCCCGTATTAAGCGGGTGGCCATATAACGGGGTTCTACTGTAACAAATATATGTAGCGTGGGGTTCCTGTGGAACACGTCCCCGGGAATTGTGGGTGGGGTTTATCCATGTGTTTGGGACGCAGGGYAGAGTCAGTCGAGCGTCAGGGTGAAGCCATCGTGTTTGAGGCAGACTGGAGAAATAGGCACAAGAACAAGTACCCGAAATCAGGTTACAATATCCTTACAAGGTTACAAGGAATAAAAGTGTAGTCTACATTGGGCGCCAAATGTAGACTACACTTTTATTCCTTGTAACCTTGTAAGGATATTGTAACCTGATTTCGGGTACTTGTTCTTGTGCCTATTTCTCCAGTCTGCCTCAAACACGATGGCTTCACCCTGACGCTCGACTGACTCTGCCCTGCGTCCCAAACACATGGATAAACCCCACCCACAATTCCCGGGGACGTGTTCCACAGGAACCCCACGCTACATATATAATCTATCCGTACCTTAGTTACACCCTGGTATTTGAGTACCTGCCAACTCTGGCCTGACGGAGCATAGTACATAAAAAATCCATCAAGGCTTTGAGTGACAACTGACACATTAGAAATCATGACATCTCTCGCAAATGTTACAGCAAGAAATGAGTTGGAATCTTTGAATTCAGGGCACCAAGATATGCCAGATAAAGGATTGCCATGTTCTTGTGAATTGGTCAGGTTCCCTGTTGAGGTGACGTTGTGATCTACACTTTCGTCTGAGCTTGTAATAAGCGAGTAGGGAGTTTCTGAAAAGTAAGCATAATAAGAATTGTTACACGGCGAATAAGTAACAAATGTTGAGATTCGAGACTGTATATGTTTAATTAAAATAGACTATGAGTTCAACAGAGGCTATTCGACGGCTATCTTTCATTCTAGTACCCAGATCCTTCTCAGTTTCCGAAGTGAAAATCGAAGTCTCAACAAGCTGGAGATGATATTGTAAGACCTCGAATCGAAACTCGGTCGTACGATATCGTGCGACTCCGACTCATTCATCTCCAAGCACAACCTTTGATTTTCCCATAGAAAACTGAAAAGGATCTGAGTACGAAAAACATATGTCAAATGTGTATTATTAAAATCCTTTGTAATATCTCGTTCTCATTCCTCTCTATGCAATTACGACCGCTACATTTGAAACCCAAGGAGGAAAATTTAAAGAGTATAGGAAGTTAAATGCAAAATAGCTTACTCCTCACAGCGCTGATCAAATTTCATGAATGTGTCGAGAATCTACTCTAGAATGAGAATGAATAGAAAACAAGATATCCAAATTTCTGCTCTCTGATTAATGCTCATCTTGAGGACGATAGCTTCCTTCACGGTTCTTGTGCAATCTTTGAAAGGTAGCAATGCCTTTTTATCGAAGCAAGACGGCAGTCGAGCGTGCAATGATAGATACCTGTTAATAATGGTATGAAGGTGGCAAAGTAGGTTTCTATCATTGTATGCCCAACGTTGGTCTCGCTTCGATCAAAACGCGACTTTTCAAGATGGCGCAGGTAATGTTGAAAGGGACGCTTCCCTCTTCAAACAATCAAACATGAATGATTACCTCGATGACCATACACCTCAACACGCATTCCAATATGGATATACGATGGCACAGCTGATGTAATCTTGACGTAGCGAGTGATGATATCAAGACGTAAGTTGTATTCAACTAGCGCAGACATCGTCCTTAATCTGTTTCTACTAAAAAGCTTGATACATACGAAAATACATAATTATGAGATTATGCAGCTTCATTATTATCTGAATATAACCAGGGTTCGTACTCTTTTTAAGGAATTGTATGAACCCTGTTATCACACACCAAATGAGTACAGCTTGTGGTTGTGCCAAGTAAAAACGCTATGCTTATCTCTAGTGAACAAAAAATCCCTTAAGGTTACTGCTCCCCTTCGATGGAGTTTTTAGATCATTAAGTTTAAAAATTGCTTAGCATCTCGTATGATAAGAACCATAACACATTATATATCATATTAAAGCTGTATGACTGAAGAATAAGTCTATGAAGTTGGTTTAGCAAAATTGTTAATAGATTACTTATTAAAAATTATTAAGCTTAAGTTGCGATTTTGGCTTTGAGAATCTATTTCGCAAAAAGTTTGCATTAAGACCTCGCGTTTTTAATGGATATTGTTTAAGCCATAGTGAGGTAAAAAACTGTGCGAGCATTTTTTTCATTTAGATTTTCGTTTTGAAGTTATGGCGTCAAATATCAAATTTCACATCAAGAATTCGTAATTTGACATTCAAATGGCAATAATGGCTCACACGGTTTTTAAGTTCAATATATATTGACCAATACACTGTACAAACTTTGTTGAAAAAATAAATACTTTTTTCGATTTAACTTTTTAAAAATTTGGACTCGATTTTTGATTATTAATATACATTATCAAACTCATTAATAATTCATAATGTCATTAGCCAATGATATACTGAGAATCTAATCACGTGATTATACCTTTATATTGGATAAAAGGTGCATCAAGCTCAAAGTTGGGGGCGGCTTTGAATATTTTCAGGGGAGTGCGGGGCTGATTATCATTCAACGTTTTCCTAATACAGACCTAATTAATAAAACATTAGTTCTGTATCAGTGATACAGAACTAATGTTTTATTAATTAGCTCTGTATCAGGAAAACGTTGAGTAATAATAAGTCCCGCACTCCCCTGAAAATATTCAAATTGTCTAAACTCGCGTGTAATCAAACACAATTAAAACACACTGAAATATCAATATTGTAGCTATGCCGTTTCGTTTCCTCGCGATTTACTCGAACGTCGGATAAGCTTCTTTGTTTTTCTTGGCGCCTCGTCTTGTATGAATTTGACCATCCAAAAAATCAACGACTCGGCGTTCATGTCATCAAGACCACCAGCGTCAGCATATCCTGGAATGACTCGCTGTTTTTGAAACTGAAACTGGTGCTCCCATTAATGGCTTTCTTGTTCGCACGGTCTTTTTGCCGGTCGCAAAATACGGTTGCGGACCATTTTGTTGAATACTTCGTGGAACACTCCCCCGARCAATAGCGCTTTCCTTTATGTTGAATTTTAGGTCTCCTAAATCGACTCGACATGACTTTGAAGGAGAAATGAAAGCCAACTAATTTAATTTTTGCTAACTATGAATGCCTAATATCTTGCAATTCCTTTGACAATTCTAATTTTCTATAGTTTGGCAAGCACATTCTTTAAAAAACAATAGGAAAATAAACAATTTTCAGGAGTAAGTATAAAAAGCTTCTAATGTGACAATTCCACTTTCACTTAATCATTTAGAAATTCCCTTGATAGTTCAGTCGTTTCATGAAGGCGCCATACAAACAGTTATATTTGACGAATATCTAATAACGGCGACATACTGTGATAATTTTAATCGATGAAATGAAGCAAGATATTCAATTTTTCAAAAACATTAAAATGAAAATTATTAGAAAGTTTGATAAGCCGTATACAGAACTCGAGAGCGTGTTGTATCGGGGCTAAAGATCCTCGCCTTCGGCTCGGATCTTTATCACCCGATACAACACGCTCTCTCGTTCTGTATACATTACATAAATTACTTATTAATTGTTTTTACAAACCAATGTCATAGACGTTTAGATTTTTGTGTTAGCTTCAAAATATATAATATGTTTAGGTATCATTTAATGAAGCCAAGATGTGATTTTTTTCACAGTGGCACCCCGCGAAGGGGAGCAGCAACCTTAAAGTTGAAATACTTTGGTGCGAGGTATGGTAGCTGCAGATTGTAGGTATGGCATGGTGTAGACCCCTTGCATGTGACATCAAAGCAGCTTCGTCGTTGATGTACAGGATGTTTCAAAGTATAGTGAATGGTATGGTGCGGAAAATGGCACAGTTAAAGGGACATGGTCCACTAGCATGCAATGCGGTCGTGTTTTAGATTTTTCATATATGGAAAATGAGGTGACTTCGAATATCAATTTGCAATCCGTTTCCATCCATCGGTTTAACTGTCGAATCTTAAAGCATCTTCATTCATATAGAATAAAGGAATAATAAAGAGTAAGTTTTTGATTTTATTACGATGTATTTCTATTTTCAAACATAAACAAAAGCTCGAAAGGGATGCTGGTGGACCATGTCCCTTTAAAAACTATTACGATTTTTTCAAGTCACCCTGCTAAGGTTTTTATACAAATGCTACTCGAGAATCTGGACATCCCCTTTTCTGCTTGGCATGATATTTTATATCCGACTATATAACATACCTTCCTTTTCCCATGTTCATTGAACCGATAGAAAAACAGGCCATCCCGACTAAAGGCGAGATAAAACTGGCTTATTTCGTTACAGCAACGCCAACGTCCCTGTGTGACAACTCTTGATACAGTAACTTTTCCAAGCCCAAGATCAATAAGAAGAAATCTCTTTTTATTGCTTCCATATGTGAACCAAGCATTATTACCTATTCTATGTAATCTAGCAAAGTATGGTTCGTAATACTTCAAGAAAGAGCTTGCAGTAATGTCGTCATCTGGAATTTGTTTATTCTGCATGCCAAGAGGTTTGCCTTTGCTGTTTTCTCCCTTTGCTGCAAAACAATTTTAAAGTAGTGCAATGTTCAATCTCCTCCCTGAAAAGCTTAAAAAGCTCTGGGTTGAAAACTCGCTTTCAAGACCGCTTGAAAAGCTCTTGAAAATTGGGGAGAAAACGCTAACGAAACTCCAAGAAAAATCCTTGAATAGACTTAATCGGCTAACGCGTTGCCATGTTCGTTCCAACCCTCCCAATTCAAATCCTGTGAGAATAATAACTTTTGTTGCTAAGAATGCGACTGTGAAATAAAAATATAACGAACAATAAAATTTACTCCCAGGTGGTTTGCATTGGGTGGTTTATAGCAACGCATTAGCCGATTAGGTCTATTTGATTCAATATACAGTCGTTTTAAAGTTCATGGTTGAAATGTAAAGAACGTTATAGAAGTCTTAGCAAGAAACGCCCGGAAACGCGACCTTAAAAAAAGTAATTCTTCAAAATCAAATTTTTGTTCTTGAAAAGTCCTGGAATTTTGTGATTAAAACGTTCCTCGAACCCTGCGATCTGTTCATGGGTGATACAGTAGATGACCCACCATTTTGAAATGGATATTGTTGAGTCATTAAAATAATATATTTTGATGATTTATAGACAAAATTTAGCGTTAGCCCTTTCATCTGCATCGTGTTTGTATTGGTATCAGTATTTTACAATTCCTTTTGGAGGATGATTTACGAATGCGGAATCATTTCCTTGATGTTTCACTTCATAATATTGCTCACTTGCCTTCACAACCATACAGCTCTAGTCGCATACAAGGTAAAGTGTGCCACGTCTGTGGATGTATTCTTATATATCTCGCCCTAGATATGTTCAGCTCTTGTGTAACGATAGTGTTGCCGTCAACATTTCCCTGGAATTGCTAAAGAATTAAAAGATTTCAACATATCAAACAATTGTATATTCGCGCGGGCTACAAGTGCTTGTTTATTGTGGGATCCTTTATTTTCAAGGATGGGATGGGACTAGGAACTAGGAAAAAAACATATAGTGGCCGACATGTTGAAAAGTAATTTCCCTGCAAATTCTGTAAGTTTTAGCCACCCCCCCCCCCCCCCCCCAAAAAAAAAAAAAAAAAAAAAAAAAACACACACACTTTCCAACGTACTTCCTTATAAACAGTTGTGTAAAGAAGATAAGTTTAACACCGTAAAAAAGTATGGGAAACAACTTACTGACGTTTCGGGTGTTAATCCTTCGTCGGAGTAAAGACGAAGGATTAACATCCGAAACGTCAGTAAGTTATTTCCCATACTTTTTTACGGTGTTAAACTTATCTTCTTTACACAACTGTTTCTTTAGAAACACCGACGCAGCTCACACTAGTTTACCGCTAGTTCCCACCATTGTACTTCCTTATAAGGTGGGATAACCATATATGGTCAGCAAAAGTTTGGCAAACGAGTGAATTTTTCTCTGAACCAATTGTTTGATATGTCAAATTTGCAAATGAAAGGAAATAATAATGACGATAAAACAATTTAAAGCAAAACACATATACATACGAGTTTTAAAGCGAAATAACAATGAAAACATGGGATACAACCGCTCATTGCAACTGTTACAGGAAAAAAAATTATTCGCTTCATCTTGGTCAATTCGATTTGATCTGAAAAATGACGCCCCAATTTAGAAAACAATCGCCTTTGAGCAAAAGGCTAAGGAGTTTATAACTAGCAATGGTCCAGGATGGGTCCAACACAATGGCTCCTTAACACGACAGTTTTTCGATTCTTTGATATAAACAAACATAATTCACGATAGCCAGTATAGATTTAAATGACAACTGCTGAATCTATATAGAAGCTTTTTAAAAAAATGTCGAATTAGTCCATGGCGTAACACAAATACCTTCACTGCGGTGTTTTCAACGTAGTTCTGCCAGTCTTTGCCATCTTCCCGGTACGAGACTGTAAACGTCTTCACCCATGATGTATTGTCTAGAAGACCTTGTATTGCCAATTTATTAACTTGACGAACCCAAAATAAGTCAACTTGCAAGTATGGTCGTGTTTCGCTCCTCCCTGCGCACCACCCACCCAGTCCCCGCGCGGAATTCAGTCGTGCCATAAAAGGAGCAGTCTGGGAATTTAAATACCCGGATGCTGTGAAGGCGCCATCGTTTAACTCGTAGATTTCAATTCCAAGATCTGTGTTGCAAACTGAACAGAACAAAACAAATTATCAAAGAATGACTCAAGAATTGGTTGAAAGCTAATAGTGAGGGATTCAATGAATCAGTATCCACTCTTAAATCGAATAATATGGAATAATATTGAAACCTTTTCGAAATGGTAACTTTTCTTTGTTTTCGCTGTTCATTATCCATGGTTAAAAAATTCCAAGCCAAATGTTGTAACTAAAATCCGTAATTTTGTTCAAGTCAGCCTGAACAGGTATATAATTTTTATCTTAATTTTTGGCTAAAAAAGAGTTCTTGTATTGGTTGTTGTGGCATCTTATATCAAATAATTCACACATTTTAATTTCAAGCAAGATGCATGGAATACAATAATGCCAACACAGGGTAATCACTCTAAAATGCATAGTGGTATCATATTTTACTGTTTACAAGAAGCAGATATTGACTACAAAGAAAGATAGAGCAGAATACTCCAGTTTCGAGTTCATATCGCAAAACCGCTGATTTATTTGACAACAGATTCTCTTACGCAAAGACCTGACCAAACACAAAAGAGAGCACGAGAAAATGTCGTTATTACAATAGACTTCAAACTTTGCATTTTCCCTGAGTTGAGACTAACCCTGTATTCCCATGAGACCTAAGGTATGAGCCTTCTGGGAATACAGGGGTAGCCTCAACTCGGGGAAAATTTAAATTGTTAGCGTTATTGTACAAGCAACATTTTCTCGTGCTTTCTTTAATGTTTGGTAAGTTCTTTGCGTAAGAGAATCTGCTGTCAAATAAAACAGCGGTTATTCGCTTTGAATTCGAAACTGGAGTATTATTTGGAAATTATGAACCTATACTTAAAATTTAAGTCTGAAGTGGCTCATATGAGAAGGTTGCTAGAAAGTAAAAATTTCAGCCTGACAGGTTCTTATATGCGGAGTTTTACTATGTAATTCGCGGCAAGTTCATTGCTGACAGTAATCCAACTACCGCCAAACTCTTACCTTTGCAGCCATAAAACTCTACACGCAGACAAGGTAATGCAATCTTATCGTAAGGCATGATTTTCACAAACCGAGCTTGAAGTTTGCGCCTTAACTTGGTTAAAACCTTCGGCTTTCGAGCGTTTGTTGCTTTCAATAATTCCTAAAAATAAACAGTTATTGATTGAGGCATAGTTGATGTGAAAAAATTATACATGCCGATGTTGCCTTAATCTCTAGAAGTTATGAACTATTGTATTGCTTCAAAGCACAATATGGCATTGGGAATTTTAGTACTATCTTTTTGATATAATCATAAACATGAATCTATTTTGAATAAACAAAAACAACCAAAAAAATACAAGCAAACAAAATATAAACGAATAGTAGAGCATAAAGAAAATGAATTCATATACATCTAGCCTGCGTTCAGCCGAACCAAAACTGTCGTTGTCTGCTGAACGCAGGCTAATACATCTAGTAGGTTACAATGTAGGAATTTCATCGAATGGCATGCAGCCTGGTAGGCTCGTACGGCAGAAAAAATAATAAACATAACAACAAACACAAATTTTGATATCTAAACAACAAATTGAGGTAATTTGGTGCGTCGGGTCAGTTTTACTCAATCAAATGAACAACAATATACGTACCGCGGCAAATGCATCTTCATTACTATACTCGCTATACATAACCCATTGTTCATGTTCCTGCTCTTTGTAACCCAAGTGAAACGTATGAACGAAATTACCACCGACTTCATCGCCTTCTATTCCTATTGCTGTGACAATAAACACCTTTCCAAGGTCTATGGCGATATACTGGTCGTTAGGAGTCTCTGGGCACCAGTGCTCGCCGATAGCAGCCCCGAGTTTTGCTCTCCATGGCTCATTGCCTGTTTTGAAGGTACTTGCAGAGAAGGCGGATTGCGGGAGGGAATCAACTCCGAGGGGGTCTATACATGCTACAAACGAACAAAGAACGTCAAAAAATCTATGATTTCATAACCAGAGCAGATTGTTCGTCATAAGGAATTACTACGTCACAGTCATTATGAGCCGTGCCGCTGTGCGCGGCGTGTCAGATCAAACTCACTTGCTTAAATTAATCATCTATCCTAAAATGGTGTCCAGAAACGGAATGAGTAGGTTAATATAGGTAAGACGGCAAGCAAAGTTTCGAATCACAACATTTTATTTGAAAATACTTAAATAAGTCAGCAAATTAAAAATCTTTTTTTTTTCGACTGAATAGGAACGTATGCCGTGAAAATATGACGCAAGTCATACTTTGCAGTTTATTGAAATAATAAGTGTTGAGACTTTTTTTGCTGATTTTAACCGTTTAACCTTCTCCATCTCTGGTAATCATTTTGTTAAACGTATTTGTGATCACGTGCTAATGTAAGCATCCGGATGGATGTTCCCGCTAGAAGGACTGGTTGATGTTGACTGAAGTTTCTACAACCTGTGCACTAAAGCCATCTTTAGAGGTAAAAGCTCAACATAGCTACTTACTGTCAAAGCCATAAAGCTCCAGTCTTATTCTCGGTCTCTCATATGATTGTATGGGAGTTATCTTAAGCCATGATACTTTTAGGGGTGTTTTTAATACATGTCTAGTTGCCAAGTGATTGTCAATCGTGTTCTTGAACATCTAATGAAATTGAATTTATAAATTATAATAACATATAATGATATACTACAATACAGTCAATTGCAAAATATATACAGTACTTACTCGCTTATAAGAACCCATTTTTTTCAAATTTAGCCTAAACGGGTTCTTATGTAAATAGTGCTTTGTGAAGCTTTAGGCTAGGCAGGTTCTTAAATAGGTTCTTATTTGATGAGAAATATATTATACACCTTTGAAAAGTAGAAAGGTGGCATCTGTTTTCATACATTATTAATACCAAATTTATAGGTGTACATACAGGTTCAAGTTCATTACTTTTGAGTCATGTGGTTTTGCATGAAGATTTTTGATGTTAATTTTTGTATAGGAACCTTTCTATATGAACATGTTTCAAATTTTAGGCTAAATAGGTTCTAAATTGATATTTTTAGCCTAACTTGTTCTTTTAAGCGGGTAAGTACTGCAGTAGACGGTTTTTTTAATTTTTGAATGGAATGCGTGAGTGTCATTTACTGACTGACATACTAACGACTCGATAACATAGTGGTTACCCGTCTTAAGACGGGAGTAACCGCAAAAAGGTTGTGGACTGAGATACGTTGATTTAAACATTTACAGCTACCATCATGCTTTGCTGCAAAAATGGCGTTAGTGCACATTACCTATTGATCAAAAGAAAAACGAGCAGAAAAATGGGAATGAGCACCTTACATTGTTCATGCATCTGTTTTCTCCATAAGAGAGGTTATTAATTAATATCTAAACTAAAAATAGTAATCAGAATAGTGATTTTCACTCAAAACTTTTTCAATTTTTGAACACTTGTAATTTTTGGTCCTTAAATTTTAGAGCATTAAAACTTTCTTAAATTTTACTAATTATGATATGTTTTTATACCGGTACTAATGATATATTACATAACTCATAAACAAAGGCGATAGCCAGCCCTTTTTCATATGATCTATTGAAAAATCATTTCAAGTCAGTTCAATTTATTACTCATTGTATAAGAAGTATAGAGGATATTACATGGGCGCGCGGAGATACGGATTTTATCTTCGAGTTCTGAAAAGATTTTGAAGAGATTTTCAACACGAAAAGAAAGAAAATTCGAAAAGAAAGAAAATTTATATCTCCAAGCGACTATGTAATATTCTATTTATCATATAATTGCATATGAATGCAAATTATGTCATAAAATACCTTTTTTCTTGCTTTTACTATATAGAGAAACCTCGTGTAATGATACGTGCATATATAATTAGTTCAGTTGATTGACAGTTTCACATGTAATATTTGTCATATGTAAATTAGTTCGTTAGTTCGCTCGCTAACCTACATCATGTGTACATGTTGAGTTAAATAAACTACAGTCTACCACAGAAGAGTCAATTTACATGGTTGTCAGAACCGGGATCCACAATCCACGNGTACAACCTCAGCAGCAATCGTCAACCACCTCAAGAGTATATTCTCTGAACACGGTATACCATCGCGTCTTATGACAGACAACGGACCACAGTATGACTGCAGAGAATTCAAGTCCTTTACAGCAACGTATGGCATAGACCACGTGACTAGTTCACCACTCTACCCACAGTCGAACGGATTTGCTGAGCGAATGGTGCAAACCATTAAGAACATCCTGCGGAAATGCGACGAACAAGGTGATGACCCCTACCTGGGAATCTTATCTTACAGAACAACACCAGTAGATAGCCACCTTAAGTCACCAGCAGAACTCCTCAATGGTCGTAAATTCAAGACAACTGTACCATCTGCGCAAAGAGCCTTCCATACTGGGAATGATAGAGACCAAATACGACAAAGTCTACTTGAAAGGAAGGAAGATCAGGGCAAATACTACAATCAGAATGTCCGACCACTACAACAGCCACTACGAGATGGGCAACCAGTGCGTATGTATGACCACAAGAGGAAGACCTGGGAACCAGCGACGGTACAGCAGCCAGCTAAAGAACCAAGATCCTACCTTGTAAAGAGGACAGATAACGACACGGTGTACCGCAGAACCAGATCTGACCTACGACCAGATACAACAGCACAAAGACACGACACGACAGCAAGACCGCAAAACAATGAGCAGATACAACACAGCAACAAGGACTCAAGCACGCCTTGTCATTATACCACTAGACATGGACGTGTTGTAAGGCCCCCTGCAAAACTAGACTTATAAGACGCTTGTAAAGAGAGGGGGATGTAATGATACGTGCATATATAATTAGTTCAGTTGATTGACAGTTTCACATGTAATATTTGTCATATGTAAATTAGTTCGTTAGTTCGCTCGCTAACCTACATCATGTGTACATGTTGAGTTAAATAAACTACAGTCTACCACAGAAGAGTCAATTTACACCTCGAATGTGTTATTTACACTAATAACATGTTATTTTCACTAGTGAAAATATCAATTTTATGAAATGGAGAAATATAGGTATTTCATAGATAATTATATGATAAAATCAAATATTGATATAAATCTTTGGAGTAAAATATAGAGAAGATCATATCAAAATAACAATTAAAGTCATTGAAGCAAATTAACCATTGTGCCATTGATCAGATAAGATTTCAACACTCCTTAACTAACTGCAACAAATACTTCTCATTACTGATATCTGTTTTCAATCCCACTACATTCCTTATTAATTTTTGTTTTTCAAAATATTGTAATTAAGAAAAAGCTAAAATCCAAATAATAAGATGTCAGACGTTTCTGCAAAACAAGAGCAAAACCATGAACACTTTCTTTATTACTTAAATAGATTTAAACAATTTCATAAGTCTCAATTTCAAGAAAGATATGGAAAATGTGACATCAACCGACTTTGAAGATATTAATGTTATTTCAACCTGATTTTCCGATAAATGGGAGCTCATTACTAAGTCGTGTTTACCATGTTGTGTCACTGAAAATTATCAAATCACAATCTTGATAGCAAGTCAAGGACGTATTAATTGTAAATAAATACTGGAAAAAGTCTAACGTCAGAGGCATAAGCTAATAAATTATCTAATAAGCGAGACAGGTTTAAGAGTATATGATTTTCTAATTTCACAGTGATGCATTTGAGGAGAATTCTTGGAGTTTTTGCCGTCCTTGTTGCAATTCCTGCATGTCAGGCAATGACTGCGGTCAAGTTTGCCAAAAAGTGTATCGAAGAATACAAAACAATCCTGAACAACTACAACAAGGACGAAGGAACATGTACAAGATGGCAGGTAAAATAGTTTTAGGAGAAAAAAGACAAAAGATCTATGTAGTGATTTAAAATACTTAGATGTCAAAAACTGGCAGAGAAGCTCGTCACCTCTTAGTCATGATTTTCGAACACACATTACCAAGAATCTGTAAAAAAACAAACTATCACCGCCATGTTGGAAGAACAGTTTACAGAAAATGAGGAATGCTATGTTATCTTGTTGTAACAAGGCGGCTATGGTGCAAACCGAGAGTACCAATATTCGACTCAATTTTATGTGAATTTTTTTATGATTTTGTCATCTGATTCGTGAGCTGGGAATCCGTTGACTATACCCATATTAATGTTTCGTTCTACTATTTTATCTCCAACTATCCCATTTATTTATGCGTGAATTAAACTTTATAGGTGTTCGTTAATTGTCTTTCAAAACGACGTGAGCTACGAAGTCAAATGGTGGACGCCATGAGATACTTCGCCACACAAAACGCCATCTTTATCACGAAAATGAAGCTTTGCCCGGAAATTGACTATAAAGACATCAAAGAAATCACCGATGAAACAGGTAGTTAACAGTTGGAATATACCTTCCTGTGACGCAGATTTCAGTGATTTCTTTAGACAAATAAGACAATTTTACGAGTTTTTTTGTTTTTTTTGTCTTTTAAAAATATCACGGACTAATTGTAATTCCTTTGGGTTTACAGATTTTGCCAAACAACACAAATATCTGGACAAGATAGGTATAAGAAATGATATTCAGGCCTGTCAGCTTTTTCTAGGTTCCGCACTCAGAAATTACAAAAAAAAATATCGGATTTATTGATAACAAGATATGAAAAAGCCTTGGTATGGCAGTCCTGTATTGCCAATTTTATTCAAGACATTAACGATTTTTTTTTTAACTTTTCACAAAAAAGTAATCATAGATTTCAATTTCCAGTGACCGACGAAGCGGACCAGTGCGCTGCTGACGTTTTCAAGTCGTGCCGTAAGGACTTCGTTTCTCTTTTTGCGTCTGAGCATAAGGTAACTTGAATACTCAATACATACACCTAATTGAAAAAACGTAGTCGTGTTCGAAAATGTCACATCATAGAAGCTAAGACCGAAAGGGATTTTGAGTACCACTAAATTGGGATTACATTTGCATATACGGTGTATATCAAGTAGAGCTAGTGAGATTAACAGCATGATAGTCTTTTATGCTGGAGAGCTGTTTGTTATGAAATTAGCCAAATTGTTTGTCTTCCCAAGTACCCTTTCGGTCTTAGCTTCTATGATTTGACCTTTTTGGACCCAACAACGTTTCTTCAATTAGGTGTATCTTCATTCTGCACAAATCGTTTAAATCTATCGGTTAAAAAGGAATAAACGAGTTCTGTAAAATATACTTAGTTGCATCGAAGACGAATAATTCAACACTGTCAACTTAAGAGAACATTGGAGGGTCTGAGCGCATTCATAACTTTCAACTTAGCAGAGATATGATTTTTTTAACTCAATTTATCGGGAGCAGTACGGAGTAGGAGTCCTCTCCACTGTCGTGACTTCTAAAAGTCGTCCATCAAAAAAGAAACAAAACAAAAAAACAATTAACGATAATGAGAAAGAAATCCCAACGTTCTTGTTTTCATATTTAGAAAAATCAGGCTATGAAGTGTCCAAACTATTTTCCGAGTCTTAACAAATCGAGATGTTTTCCTTTTATCTTGCCAAATGCAATTTGTTTACCTAATGTGAGTCGTCAATTTCCAATATATAGCTTGAAACGTTTACTTCTAAATTTTTCTCCTTTTAACAGTGAAAGTGTATGTGTTAATATAATACATTAGAATTAGAATTATGTATTTTGAACCTACTTAAAATTACATAAACTCACCTAGATTAGTTATTCTACTTGTGGGTTTGTGTGCAATATTTTGTATTTTAGTGTGCATATCGTCAAAAAATTTTAATTTAATAAAGTTGAATGGTAATTTTGATCATGTCGAATTCTAGATTTGCGATGATGTAAGTTCAGGAATCAACTGTATGACTGAAGAAGCGAAAGCTATTGGTTGTAAAGCTGACATTATCAATCATCTAGCTAAGATGATGAATGTGGTCGGAGGTTTAATGGTGCGAGAAGTCCGCAGATATGCCGGCGTGGAATGTGCCGCGGATACTCCAAAGAACTAGTGTTGAAAAATAAATAACGTTGAAAATTGAGAAATCTACCCATACTGTAGTTTATACGACTATACAAACTCTTTGTGTTTGTTTTGGAATTCTTGTTTTAAGCAAAGAATTAGAAGCAAAACATTCACAAAAATCATTATCTGTTTAGCTGGCTAACTCACTCACTCGTTTACTCGTCACTCACTTTCTTGTTAACTCTTGACATTGCTAATTTTATTTCAAATTCCTTGTGTCTGTTGCTTAAATCAATACCTGACTGATTAGTCTGCGCATCCCATTTTTTGGTTTAATTATTGATTTTTGACCATTCACAGAAGAGTCAATTAATCAAAGAAACGGCCGATATATTGATGTACAAGAACAAGAGAAAACCTCTCCCTCGACTGGTAGACTCTTGGGACTGGTTAAAAGCTGGTTAAAAGACTAACAATTTTTTTACGATCATGTCATCATCACAAGATGAGCGAGGAATACATTCTGTGATATTCAGATAAACCGTTTTCATCATCATGACGAAACAAAAGGACCATAACAAACTAATCCCCAACTCTCTATTAAAAATGGTGAAAACAAACAAATAAACATGCATTCTAAAAGAGCCAAATACCTTGATCTTTCCTTCAGTTACATAATCATACCACTCGGCTCCGTTTTTAGAGTACGCCAGGGTAAACACGGTCACAAAATGCTCAAAGCCCTGCATGGCTATAGCTGTGATGGTTCGTCCATAAGGACATATAGTAATCACTAGGTATTCGTCACCTCCTGAATTGTCATTTGCACGCCAATAACTATTTACGTTTAGTCTTGCCCTTTCTGCAGATCCAGCACCAAGGGATGAGAAATCCTTACTTTCTATTTTATGGTTTTCACTGCCAAGTGGTTCATCCACTAAAAAAAAAAGTTAACAAAGGGATCCTTTATCCATAGCACAATTTTCCCACTTTTCTCTGATCAAAACACTTTTTCGATCAACAATTGAACAACAACGGAAATGTTTTCACTATTATCATGATTAAATAATTACAGAATATTCAAAATACATTTAGCTTAAAAGCTTAAGAAATGAAAGAAAAGCTAAACCGACATGCATTGTCAGAACTTTTCCTATGAATTCTCCCACCAATTATTCATGAGTTTGAAAAGTAACTGAAAAAAAAATACATGAATTTGTTTCATTATATTTTCAACACTGGAACAGATTTGCTTTCAGATTTGCTATTCCTTGGACTTCTTCTTGTGAAAATTCTAATGAAAATATCAAATAGTTTATCTTCTTCAATTTCTGTTTTTGCCTGGTCTTTGTTCGCAATTCAGCACCGGGCTTCCAAAAGCACCCCTTTCCTGCATACAGTGTTATGGTTAAAGGTATATGAGATAAGGTTAGTACCTCTACAGCCTCCAAACTCGATTCTCATACATATCCACAGTTGCCAATGCAGAGCGAGGACACGTATATATCGAGCAGTAAATGGCGTCGCGAGGATTTTCTTCATGGTATGATTGACACTTGTCCCAGCAAATGCCTTTGAAATAAAACATAAGATTTTCACCTTTAGGATGAATTCTGTGCCTAGAGGTTTTCACGTATGGGAGTAGAGATCTATTGTTATAGCATGGATAATGTAAGAATTTACGGCGAACTTCACATGTGCGGAGTTTGGCATATCGGGAAAGATCAGAGCAGCAATAACGTTACAGCATTAGCTTTGGCCCCACAAGGGAAACGACGAAGAGGCAGACCGATAACAAATTGGAGGGGACAGTGTAAAGAGAAAGAAAAGAAGAAGGATGGTCGTCTTGGGCAGTTGCAACAGAACGAGAAAGCTTGAGGAGTGCTACAGAGGCCTTTTGCACCACATGGTTTGAAGTAGACTTATAATTCGACACATGTGAAGTTCGGCGTTTAACCTGATCGTAAGTCTCTCATTCAGCACAACACGACAACAATAGAAAACGAGACAAAAACTAGCTTAAAGCTGCTACGAGGGAGATATCTTTTGCATTCATTCGTTTATTTTCCTGTTTTATTCGTTATTGTTCTGCGGACTTTAATTATAAAGCGGTCCTCACAACGTAGCATTACTTTTTCTAGGGCATGAAAATATAAAACGTAAGGATTTCGATATAGCGCCGCGTATTTTACCTCTTACCACCGATTATTTTGTGGTCTCACTTCATTGTAAATTGTGTGGAATACAAGTGCCTGCTTCAAATCAGACGTTTACTCAAAAGAACAATGAAACCCACGATTAGCGAAGCAAAAAACTTACTTCTTGATTTGCCTCTTCATATGTTGTCCACGCGAACCTATCATGGCTATATTCAAGAGAGAAGAGATCAACCCACGATGATCCAACACCTTGTAACATAAACCTTGTGATCTTATAATCTTCGAGCAGGTCCACCTCCATGTACTGCCTGCTGGTGTTCAGTCGTGCGCACCATCCTCCGCCCTCCATATTAGCGTTAATACGGCCGTACCAAGGTTTAAACGTAGGCCCTAATGTGCTTGAAGCTGATAATGACTCGTTCTTTATAAGACCTGTTTCAATGCCGATGGGGTAGGTACAGTTCTCGTGCTTGTCTAAATATGGGTAGAATATAAAAAAAATCAATAAACAATTACTACTTATTTCGCGATTTGGAGTGAATTCTCGTATGCTGATTGGCTAAAGTTACTTTTGCCAATGTTAGCGTATGATTATTATTGTGCATGAGCTTCCATGCAACCTCACACATTTTCTTATTTGTTATTTGACTAAATTGAGAAATATATTTATATTTTTTATTCTGGGACCCGTTGTACGAAGGATGAAACGAGCTATCCAGCAGATAAAATGAATGCAAAATCTAAGAAGTAGATAACTTTAACCGATGGATAGAATTCTTAGTAACAAAAGCTCTTATTCCCACAAGGATTTGAATTGGTTGGTTACTTAGATAGCAACATACACGTTTGCCGATTAGGTCTATAGCACGATTATTACAATTCTTTAACGCATGGAACAACAGATAACATCATGATAAACATCCATGGCATTATCAAACCAGCAATTCAACATCCCATTGTTTGTAAAAATGACTTTGAAATTATATATTAGTTTGAACAAATTAATCTACATGGTGAAATTATGTATACAATTTCTGGAAACGTTTACCAGACACGCCCAAATTCTATTATTTTTATGCAAGATACTTTGAAGTTTACTTTAATTTCGAATGTAGCTAATGGGATATGCAAGATATTTTGCATTTGTCTATTCTTTGAACCTGAGAACGAAAATATTGAGGAATCCAAGAAGGATGAAAACCTAGTGGAAAAGCACAGATTTGGCTTGCTGCTGGGTGAGAACGAAGTGGAAGAGAAAATAGACCAGTGCATAAAGAAGTCCACGTTGTATAAACATATCTGGGCTGTGAATATATTCAAAGGGTTGCGTTGCGAGAGAAATGTGCGAGTGTCAAAATCAAAAGCAATACTACGATATCGTCTATAAATCTAGAAGAGATTTCAGATAAAATGCTAGAGAAGAGTGATCGTTTTCTTCGGTGTGTACTGCTTTATTTTCTCCTCCACTTCGTTCTCAGGTAGTTCTTATTCTTGGAACACTAAGTTATTTGTTTGTAGTTGTAGTCTAGTAATTCCCCAACATCGTTACCAAAATCTGGTAGTTTCTTGAATTTTGGATTCAGGACCTATACCGGGTTTTGAACTCAGCCCCGCACTCCCATGTTGATAATCAAAGCCTCCCCGGACTTCTAGAATGCAGGTCTTCTTTTAATTTTCAAAACCTACATAAAACAATAGAATTGGGGCGTGCTTTGTTAATAAGGTAGAAAGAGATGTTATTTTTACCTTTGCAGCCAAGTAATTCAATCTTCATGCACGGTCTTTCATCATATGATGGACTGACGCGCACTCTTTTGGTATTTATCGGACGCTCTAGCCAAATTTTCGTTAAATGATAATCAAGATTATTAGCAACATAAGTCTGAAAAAGAATATAAAACAATAATAATAATACAAATAAGTACCTATACAAATAATACAATAATACATAGCTATAATAGTCGAATGATTACTCAATAGGTCATTTCAGTGATGTGTCATACATTAGAAATCTAGCTAGAAAAGAAAGAATAAGAAAACACAAACCAAACGATACTATAAAATTAAAATTATTAATCACCCTAGTCTTAGGATGTCCATTTCAAATTTCCAGAAGGTAAATCTTCTTAAATTCACCAATTTTACTAAGAAATTCTCTGTAGTTTTTGGTGTCTTTTTTTTCATTCCTGCATTTCCTTTAATTCTCACCTGATAATTCTCAAACTCAAACTCATTAATTTTTTAGGACGATCATTTTAGTGGTGATGATGGTTAACGATTCCATTAACGATTCGATTTCGAATGGCTGACTTATCGCGAAGTGACTTGTTCTGGTTGGTCATTAAAATGTGGTTCGCTCCGGCTCACTCTTCGTGCGATAACCATCAACCTCTTTCGCTTTTAATAAAAGTAATAGCTAGATAATCTTAAAAGCTCTTAAAAGTAGATCAGTGAAACCGTCACATCATCGTAGCCTTAGACAATATTTCTCAAAGTGATTGTATAAAGGAGGGTACTTGTCTTTATCATTTGTAGTATTTACTTACACCAAGAATTTCCCAAAACCCTTTGCTATCCATGAAAGAAACGGCTATTGATCGCGCACGCCTTGATGTTGCTGCATCCCCAACGGTTATAATTCCAGTTATGATAGTTTCATAGTCCAGATCAACCTGATGGTGCAACACAACAATCAATGAACACATCAATCAATCAACTAACCGACCGACCGACCGACCGACCAGCCAGCCAGCCAGCCAGCCAGCCAGCCAGCCAGCCAGCCAGCCAGTAACAAACCACTCCACCGACTGATCATTCAAGTGTTTTTAATATACTATTCATTTTTTCTTACTTGAAGATAATAGCTGGAATCAGTATTTTCAGTCATCGCTGAACACCAAATCCCACTAGCATCGAGTCTTCCCTTCCAAGGCTCATTTCCATTCAGATACGATGAGGCCCTTATTGCAGAGTTGGATAGAGCACCTGTACTCAGCCCCAGTGCGTTTGTACACGCTAAAAGTAAGAATTGTTTTCATCTAAGTTGTTAACCGCCTTTTGCTTGGATTGGCCGACTTTTTTCACATATCCCCTTCCTTTCTCCCTTTTCTTGGATTGTGTTCATTTTCTCCCACCTTGCCTTCTACCCTTTCCTCATATGCCTGGATTGGGCGACTTTTCTCCCCTCTCATTTCCTTCCCTTCTATCTTTTCGCCCTTTGCTCTGCTTGGGAGATGTTTCTCCCACCTCTCCTTCTACGCTTTCCCGATTAATAAGAATAGCACACACACAAATCGAGATTTAATTTGCGAATACACTCAAATTAAGGCCCTTTATTTGGAAAGTTCACCAATACCAAAAATGCAGATCAAAAAACTTAACAAGGTTTATAATTGCCCGATTTCATACAGTGGGAGACTGGGTACAAGTCCCTTAATTCGTACGACGGTGAGATAAGACTTATATAGAACGAAAGAACGTATTGGGAAATACTAACTGTCCGAATTTGGCGTCAATCAGAATATTAAATGATTTACAGTCTTTCAAAAAAATTAGAATTTCCGAAGAAATGTATAGAATCCCGGACGTGCGTCCGGATTTTTCTAAATTCCCATACAAAATGATGTACATTCGAACAAATCGAAATTTTAGGTTGAGATGTTATTGAAACTTCGTCAGTATATCAATTATGTTATTAAGAAATGATTCTGAAAATTTTATTACAATCTCTGCGATGAGTTTCGAGAAAATTGATTTTGAAGAAAAATGAAGGTGTTTTTATTTTGCATCGTTTATCCAAATGGCTTCGCTTTTTGGCAAATTAATTATCAAAAAGAATTATCGATAATCAGTTTGACTTTTGAAAGTTTGAGTGCAATTAAATCGAAATTTGCGACGTAGTTGGAGTTTAAAAATACGCGCGAAATGCTATTTATTACGATCGAAACACCTTAAAACAAAACAAAACAAGACAGACAAACAAACCAATAAAACAAAAACAAACAAAACACAACAACAACAAACATGTCGATTGTTTAGATATCGGCTTGTGATTTTCCAACGCGTCGTTAGATTAAAACTAAGAAAACGCCGCTAAATGCTATAATAATTCAGCTAATGCATATGTTAGAAATATATTTACTATAATATTTTTTTTTGAATGCGAAGCGAGTGAACAAAAAATGGCCGTTATGTGGATATAGCATTGAACCAAGCAAGATATAAAAGCTTTGACGGCACACCTACCATTGAATCCATAAAGCTCTACTGTGAGACTGGGCAATTGTTTCCATCTGGTGGGATAAAATCGAACAAAGCGAGCAGTGATTGGTTGGAGCAAGACAGCTCTTAAAGCCCTGGATCGATCTCGAAATCCACTGAATATACGGGCACTGCCATTTTCTAAGTAATCGGTCCATAGTTGACCAGACGGACTATAGGACAAATAATACGACCAAACACCTTCTGCGTTAACATAACTAGGCTGCATTGCAATAGCTTTGACAACAACTCCAGATATTTGTAGCCCTATCTGGTAAAAAGATGGCGTATACTCGTTCAAACTTCTAAACCCTTTGAGTTGATGTAGACGCCCAAACGTAGGGTTATCGTGGTAAAACGATCCTTTCAAATCTTTGATCAGATGCTGTTCAACACCAACAGGCGAGGAATTATCTATAAACATACACGCAAAGAAAATAAAAATAATAATTATAATAATAATAATAATAATAATAATAATAATAATAATAATAATAATAATAATAATAATAATAATAATAAGAAGAAGAAGAAGAAGAAGAAGAAGAAGAAGAAGAAGAAGGAGAAACAAAACAAATAAAGAACAACAAAACAACAAAGAGGGGAAGAAGAAGTATAAGAAGATGAAAAAAGAGTTCTTGTTTCAAGTGCCATCACGTGGTTGCAGCTGTCAATCATATTCTACCTTCACAGCCGTGCAGGGATACTCTCATACAGATCCAGTTTTGCCACTGTGTTGGAATTAAACGCACATATCGAGCCACAAATGCGTTTATTAAAAGGTGTTTAGTTGGAACTACGTGGTCACTTCCTCCACTAAAGACCTGAATCAAAATATTGTGTATCAATGAGTAATATGTTGCTCTGTTTCAATCTCGCTCGTGTTGATCTAAGTTAATACTTTTAAACTTTTTTGTCAGATCAGGTCAGATGGAAAATGTGAAGTTTTTTTAATTGCTGGGCGTTACTTATGCAATTTATCAATCGACATTCTCATAATTATCTATGCCATATATTGTGGGATGAGTGGGATGATATTGACCGTTGATTGGGTAACTTGGAGGACGTTCTACGTTCGATGATATGAACTCTTAGTATTACCTTTGGACTGCTGTTCTCAAGATAATCCAACCAGACCTTTTCATCGCTACTGTAACCCACGCGATATTTTGTTACCCATGATGCATTTGTTCCACTTGGGACCATTCCAGTCCCCACTGTTGTAATCCCAGTAACTTTGTAATCGAGAATATTGTCAAACTGGAGATATTGATTGACATCATTCTGAGATGCGCACCAAGCCACGTTGGGTCCTCCTATACGCATACTTCCATACATAGAGCTGAATGTTCGGTCAAATTGCGTTGAGGCGCTCATACCAAACGTTGAGCTGAAATCTTTACTGATAAGTATTTCATCTTGGCATTCTGAAAAAATGCAAACGAGAGTGCTACTACATTATGTAAGTTACTAAAGAGCAGCCCTTGAATTGCTAATAAAATGTCAATGCCTTGTAAATGGCCAATTATCATAGTCATATCATAGTCATATCATTATCATAGAAACTAGGCATTCTTTCATTAGAGTCATATAATGATGCAATTTGTGATAAGGTATCCTACTCTGTAATWAGTGATCCGAATAATCGGTTGCATASWTTGTTGCCCGCAACTTGCAAYGCTGCATATTCCTTAAGGAGCAACAGACGTTTCAGCATTCCAAAATGGAAAACGGATCGTTTCAGAAACACGTTTATAATGAGCAGCTGTATTAATAATAATAATAATAATAATTTTTAGCGGAGTAACCTTTTTAAGCTAAATTATATTATAAATATAGTAGTTTTTGGAATTTTTATTGACGAATATTTATTATTAATAATTATATTATATATTTTGTAAATACGCAATTCAGCCCTTGGCTGCCTATGTATTTTATAATAAACTATCTATCTATCATCTATCTAGTCTAAAACATTAGGACAGTCTGAATCGAATGGAACGAACCTAATGTTTAATTCAGAATATTATGGAAAACAGAACACTTTCAAACCACTAAAAAAGTGGACCTAACAATAAAGGTGCAGTTCTAAAGGTGCGGTTACAATGAGCAACTTCTTCAGCAACTTGCCTCGCAACGACGTAAGAATTGCACAGTGTAAAAGCGGATCTCAACGTTTTTTTTTTCTTGCGTGTCGTGTTGACGAAATAGAACTCAGTTCTCTACTTTGCGCAAGCATTGTAACTTGCAACGCTACTGCATAATGCCACCCCTCTAGCAATGTTTCAGCCTATTTTCGAGTCACGCACACTGGTAGTTCATGCTCAATTTCTCATTTTGAATGTCCGTCATCTTTATTTGCCTTCCAGCTTACTTCGGCCAAAAAGTCAACTTGTAAAACAAGTAAGCGACTTGCAAAGTGTATCGTTCCGTCTACACTTGCGATATTTTCAGAGCGATTGTCAAGCGACAATCGCCACTTTCCTATCGCGCAAATCAAATCGTAGGTGTACGTAAACAGTCCTGCGATTGTTGCAGCGATGGAAAATCGCTGCGAAGTTGCGGTTTAATTTCAAGCATGTTCGAAACTCAGACGATTGTCGAGCGACGATCGCCACGACAATCGCGATGCTAAAATCGCAAGTTTAAACGGGCCTTAACATGGCTAAAATTTTCTGGGCAAATTGTGCCACAGCTGCGTTGCAAGACAAACCAATTCGATCAAAAGGTAAATATTTCCATGTCTGCTGTATTAATAGAAAAAAAAACCCTCACCTTGGCATTTATAAATCTCTACCCTTAAACATGATCGGTAATGCCATGCAATGGTGTAGAACTTTACTTGAGTTGCTTTAACAGGAAACTTATAATAGATTCGAACGATAGATGTATCATCAGTATTGATGTTAATATCCTAGAAAATGAATCCAATAATTAGATTTTTGACTCTACTTTTACTTTATTAGAGCAAACGCAGGAAAACCATGAAATAAAATCAAACCAAATACTAAAAAATAGCGGCTACTTAGAGACAATTTGTCAGTATCAATGAACCAGAACGCAATGTTATGGTTTTCCAGCGTTTGCTCTATAGAGTCTACAAAAAAAACAAACAAACAAAAAAAAAAAAAAAAAAAACATCAAGAAAAATAAGCACAAAATATCCTCTCAAACCATGTCCTTGTATAAGTACTACAGGTTTAAAAAGTGAAC